GGGGATTTTTTTTTTTTAAACTTGACATGCGTCTCCCCTACCGATTCCCCGGGATGCGCAATGGTTCGGTCCCCTTTATCCTACCCGCGACCACAGAGTGACACCAGATGGGGGGTGCGTGCTATCTTACCCTCCCTGCGCGCAAAGCAACTCGGGATAGTACCAAATCCCTCGTCACTTTGCTCTCTGCTCGGGTTAAGATATGAGAGTTGTACTGGGGCCTTCTTTCCTCTTATACCTGCCCCCACATTACTCGTATCCTCTCCTCAAGTCCTTCTCTGCTCTAACACCCAATACTCACATTTTTCTCCTCCAATACTCACCCTTTCCTTTACTCTGCCACTCCATTTCTCACCATCGCTTACCTTACCCCCGTGCATAGAGAATCCCCCCTTAGCACCGTCTTCCCATGTAACCTGCGTCCACCAAATAAATGCAGTCCATATCAACCTTCAGAAATCTCCTGTTTTAATCGTTTCCGTCAAATACATCCAGTAATGTATCATCGTATCCCTTGGTTTTCCTCACCTCTCGCTAGTCAAAATCGTACATTAAGTGTCATTGTACCCCTTGGTTTTTTCTTATCTCTCGTCCTTCACTCCTCTTCAGAACACCGGCTTGAAATCCCTGCTGTTATTGCGCTGCGTTCACAGCCTGTCCCCCTGGCTCTCCTTCTCGGGTCTCCTGGCCACTTGATCCCGTAGGATCCCTCGTGGCATACTTTCTTCAGTTGCATACTAGTACTTCTCAGGCCGGTTCTCGACTGAGGGTAGCTGTGATCTATTCAAGTGTCAACCTGAGTTGAAGAACGACCGCTCGGGGACGGGTGCGACCAACGCACCCGCTGTGAAAGGTCGTTACGAAGTTGCTGAGTCAACTCGACTGACGCCAGCGGTGAAAGGGTGTTCTGGCCCTAATTATTTGGTTGGTGGGAACCATTCCCGACCACCATGTGTGGCACCAGATCAGGGACAGAAAGCTGCTGAAAGGGCTTTTATGAAAGAAATTTGTGTCTCCTTTTTGTTTGTTTGTTTTTTTTTTGTTTTTTTTTCGTTAACAGATAACGAAAAAACGCCAAAAGATACTGCACCCCCATTCAACCGTACTCAGAAGTCGGCACAAGTTAAACGAGAGGTGAGGAAAAACAAAATTTGGAGTATAGCAAAATTTTTTAGTGAAAATCGGATCAGAAGATGTGAGGTTCCCGCGAGACAACATAATGTTTCAAGTTTGTTTGCTGAAACCTGGGATTGTTCTACACAAGTTGCAAACATTGTGCCGCCTGTGTTGGCTGACATACACGTGTGAAGGGAATATTCATTTTATCGCAGGAAACATGGGCCCACACAGGGGTTGCTTCCGCGATTCACACAGAGGTGACCACTCTATATTGGGACAAAAGACAGAAAGGCTCCGTCTACTTCTTGGGGGGTGGCATCTACCCACGCTCTCCCAAATCCGATAAACATAGTTTTATGTCCGGGGAGCATCTAAACTTGCTCTTACCCGCTGGATTTTCAAAATCAATGTTTTCCAACCGTCCGGGGACTTGTTCTTCTCTGCCGGATTTCCACAATCAAATCAAAGCGTTTCGAACAGTCCGGCGAGCGTCTCAACTTGCTCTCACCCGTCAGATTTTTTAAAATCAAAGTTTCTAACGTAGTCCGGGGAGCATCTGAACGTACTCTTATCCGTTGGATTAAAAAATCCACATTTTTCCAAAAACAGTTCGGGGATCATCTCAACTTGCTCTTACTCGTCGCATATTTTCAAAATCAAAGTTTCTAAAAACAGTCCGGGGAGCATCTTCACTTGCTCTTACCCGTTAATTCAAAAATACAACATTTTTCCAAAACAGTCCGGGGATCATCTCAACTTGCTCTTACCCGTCAGATTTTCAAAACCAAAGTTTCTAAAAACAGTCCGGGGAGCATCTCAACTTGCTCTTACCCGTCAGATTTTCAAAATCAAAGTTTCTAAAGACAGTCCGGGGAGCATCTTAACAGTCGAACAATCGTTCTCACTAATTTTACCTGGGGCCAAACAAAAAACTTGGCTGCGGCTGTGTCGCCCTGCCCGTAGGTTGGTGACCGCTTGTGCGGCCGTCTTTCCGGGAAATATTATGTGCCGGGTGCTGGTGAACTGCTCTTTGGGGTCCCGGCCCGTCAGTCCGAGGATGAAAATCTGCGTCGCTAGCTCATCTCGGTTCATCTCCTGGGTTTGAAACTTGCCGGCTGCTCCAGCAGCTCTGCGTCGCCCTGGCCGATCTAAATTTCTAACAAAATGGCTCCAACCAGGGTAAAATCCCCGCGCAACACGGGAACGCCATGGCGTACGTCCGTGGCGTCCGGGCTGCGACCACAGAGTGACACCAGATGGGGGGTGCGTGCTATCTTACCCTCCCTGCGCGCAAAGCAACTCGGGATAGTGGGGAAGTTGGGTGAAGTAGGGTCACTCACCACTATACATGTACAGGGCTCGAAATTCATTTTTGGGAATAGGTGCACTGGTGCACCCAACCTAAAAAATTTGTTTTGGGTGCACCAGTGCAGTTTGGGTCCATATAAGATAAAATAGGTAGAATGTCAGCAAAAACTAATTATGTTTCATTTCTGAAGGAAAGTACTATATAATAACAATGATTTTATAATTTTTCTGACACTTGGATATTAAGAATATGCTGTACATACTACTATACATTTAACATCGTTACATACCTATAGACCTGTGCATCCACAGAAAAAAATTGGGTGCACAGCTCCAAATCTGGATGCACTTGAAGGTCACAGTATTATAATGCACCCAGTATTTCAAGCCCTGATACAACTTACAAGGCACATTCCATTTGCCCTTGAAGCCAGTTAGCAAGAGTGTAAAACTTCTCCCTGGTCATTGACCCTGCCCTGAGTGGCATTGGAAATGAGGGTTATTTGTCGACCATAAAGCCTTTGATGTTATGGGATAACCTGACCCTTGTACACTGTAGTCATTACAGAGTCAGATCCTGATGTGAGTGTGTGATGCAGATCATAACAAAAAGGACATGCACTATTTACAGTGGGGCATAGTTACAATACGTAATGTTGACTGCAGAAAGTCTGTAATAACATTCTGCCCTAAGGCCACACCAATTTAATTTCTTGGTTAACGGATTTGCCGCTTCATTTTTTTCTGATTTGCAAATAAAAATAAAAATGCAGAATCAACTGCAAAATGCTCATATTTTGCCATGAACAGTTGAAAACAGTCCTTTTCATCCTAGTTGTTACAGTTATTCCATCTTTCAATGCAATGGTATCATTAAAAGTTCAAAATTCATTGTTTAAATTTTGAACCAGCCTGGTGTGTTGACTTCATGGCTCCTATCGTACCATTTGGGCCATAATACGATGCCTAGGCCTGTTTTTATTTTTCATTTTTTTTGCCTGCCCGCTCCATTATTTTTCTAGAAAAATCCGTTAACCAAGAAATTATATTGGTGTGGCCTAAGGACTGCAACCCTTTTCTAAAGTGTGAGCAACAAAAGCTATCATTCGACCTCTCGACCCCTAGGTCCACAAGCAGGGTCACTAACCACTGAGCCACAATCACCGCCCCTCAAGAGACCAGACTGTAAAACTAACTTGTGGCTGTTGAACCCTGATCGGCATTGGAGATGTGTTAGGCCTTTGGAGCGTGCAGGGTGTGATGTTATCAGTTGTCCTGACCCGTGTGTATTCACAATCAACACAATCCCTGCAGAATCAGAGCTAGACGCTGTGAGAATCTCAATATCATTATAATGAGACCTTTCTTAACCCAACCCTATCCGTGCATAGTGTTGAGCTTATTAAGGAGGAAGCTTTTGGCTCAATCTGTACTCAAGCATGGATTGTCATCAGCCCTTCTTATCAACCAAAAATTATATATATCTAGGCCACCAATTTGTTGTTGTAATCTTAGTGTGATCTCAGTAGGCCTGAATGACCAGAATGAAATTTGCAAAATTAAGAAAAAGGATTTCATTTTTTTCAATCTCCATATACATTGTAGATTAATTATTAGACTCATAATTTAGAGACAATTTTGTTGAAACAATGATATGAAGAAAGTTGAAGCTATAGACCTAGTCTATCCAGTACAGTCCTACACTTTGAACACATCTATGTCAATCTATGTGCTAATGCAAACAATCCATCATTCTATGTTCAGAACAGATAGTCTATCAACTCCCCTTCAAACCCAATTAGAATAGATTAGTAACACTAACAAGGGACACATGTATGTATGGTTAATATGAGGAGCATCTCTTGGGGTTCTGTATCCATGTGATTTGTCTGCAGTTTTATAATCTGTCGGGTCTGCCTTATTGGAAAGTAAACACACATTCAATTTAGTGTAACAGTTGTTGTTTCTGTCAGATTCTAAATGATGTTCCTGTCACTTATTTTTGCAAACTTTAACTTTTTAAGATACATGTATAAGCCAGTAGAGTGCTTTCTGTCCTGTAGATACTTAAGAACAAGAATGGAGCAATGCATTTTTATCAGGGAGGTTGAAATAGAAGATAGATTTCATGTTGAGAATTTTTTTCCATTGACAGATATACAACTACAGATCACCAGAATGTCAATAATGGCATTTGACCAAATCAACCAATCAATATCTGTCCAACTGTGCCAAATACAAAGCTGGTCTGTGGCCTCAAAAATAGAATCAGTAAATACAGGCTTAATCACACAAAATGGGTCAAACTGATCTCATCAGAATGATGATCAGCAATCTGGTTACTAGTATTGTAAAAATTGCTAACTGTACATAATCACAATGTTTGCCTTCCCTGTCACAAACTTAGCTTAACTGTTCATTGAGTTCATTTATTGCAGCTAAACTGGTTTGAAAGCACCTTCATTCCCTTGTTTATATTCTAGCAGAGACAGATATATGTACATATACAATCCTGTCCCTGTGCTGTAAAAGTGATATTAATTTTAGTAACCTACTTACTCCTTTCTCCACAGACTGCAGACATCTCAGTATTTGAGGTGACCATCCGCTTCCTGGGGGGTCTGCTGGCTGCTTTTGCCATGACCGGAGACCAGGTAAGACTTTAAATATAAAATACAGATGCAGAACTTGCCTGTAACAACAGCTGAGAGAACTTAAATGAAATATGTAATTACAAGATACTGTAAATTCATTCATTTTTGAGGGAACTTGATTTTACAGTAACTCTTGTAAAAGGGGAAAGGAGGTTTTCACTGTGTGTTAAGTTCTGTAGTGTATAAATGGTGAAAATAAAACCACAGCAAACACTTTGAGTTATACTGTACTGTGCATGTGCACACATGTATGATCATGGAGAAGAGAAAGTGCCTTGACTGTTTCTACTGTTTCCCTACAGATGTTTAAAGACAAGGCTGTGTTGATCGCCGACAAGCTGCTGCCTGCCTTCAACACTCCTACAGGCATTCCCTGGGCACTCATCAATACCAAGAGGTGAGAAATCAGTCTGTTTCACTGTGAGTGTGTGTTTGTGTGTGGGGGGGTCAGTGTGTGCGTTTGAATGTGCATTGAATGTAAGATAGAGTGCATGCGTGTATTTGTGTATGTGTGCATGTATTTAAGGCAAGATAAAAGCATTGATACCTTTTTTTCCTTATGTACAGGGGAAATGGTCGTAACTGGGGCTGGGCATCTGGTGGTTCCTCACTCCTAGCAGAGTACGGCACGTTACACCTGGAGTTTGCCTACCTGACTGAGCTGACTGGGAACTCTGTATACCTGGACAAGGTAAGTTCTACAGTCTACCCTTTAGACTAATCTCTATCAGAATCTAATAGATTACCAAATTACCAATAGAATAGCTCTGGACATTGGCCAAAAAGACTGAATAATGTTCCAGGAGAGTTAGCCACCATGGGTTACAAATTGTACTTCCTAGGTCTGCTAACCCTTTGGCACACTATTCAGTCTAATTGGCCATTTGTAGTGCTATTTTATCAGGAAGGAATTGGAGTTTGGTAGAGACCACTTCTAGAGATGGATATCAACTATTGGAGCTTGCAAGAATTGGGTTGTTCTCACTGAGTGACTTTTGATATTTCTGTCTGTCCAGGTAAAAAGAGTGCGTGAGGTGATCTCGGAGTTAGACAAGCCAGACGGACTCTACCCCATCTACATCAACCCCAAGACTGGCAAGTGGGGACAAAGTAAGGCAAAAACTCGCTTTTTAGATGGCACGGTTGAGATAGAATAGAAGTTGTTTTTGAAATGTCTTGAAATTTGTTGACTGTAACGTTTTGTGTTATTCATAATCCGTATGTGTGTACAAGAAAAGTTATACATCTTTAGAAGTTGAAATGTGTAACATCTGTGTAACATCATATCACCAGGGTGCTTAAAGATATTTTTACTGCAACATACTTTTGGTATGCACTCCTTCACACATCAAATGTACATACCTAGGGTATGTTGCAGTAAAAATATCTATTTCTCAAGGTGGCGATATTATGGACCCTGGTGATATTATAGACACAGATGTTACATACATGTGCATTTATACATTAAAGCTTATACATATAAACCTTCATTCCTCTGATATGCAATGTCATGTAATCCTGTTGGTGTGAATGTTATGGGTTACATGTCTCTTAAATGTATAAGTCCAATGTTGAACAGACCTGAAGTGTACATGTATGTTATCCTTTCTGTATTCAGACCACGCGTCCCTGGGAGCGATGGGAGACAGTTTCTATGAGTACCTCCTGAAGTCCTGGATCATGTCCGGGAAAGTGGACAACAATGCTCGCAGGATGTACGACCAGGCCATGACGGTGAGTTAGCTCTCTTCCTCTCGTGAGATTTACTTTTCCTTTGAATTGTTATATCAAGTAGTACTGAGGAAAGTCCTTGTCTCATTGGCTTTTGTGTTAAAGAGTTATGTTCTGTAGACAATGAAAGAACAAACCTCAGATGTTGAAATACGACACTGTAACAGTAATTTGTCCTCTCTTTTTGTTGTGTTTGCTTTGGTGCAAATTTACCAACAGAAAGTCAGCACAATCAAACTATGTGGCCGTAATACTTGCACATAACCCATGAAAGCTGTATGGTATTTGCTCAATGATCCAAAGTTGCATTTGAAGACAAATTTTTCTTAAAAAAAACACCCATACAAGTAAGGATACAACATAGCAACATGTTTTGCTGATTTGTTGTTTTTTTACTTGTTTTGTTTGTTGCAGGCTATTGACAAGATGATGGTTCAGAAGTCTGCCTCAGGCCTGACGTACGTGGGAGACTACAAGAACAAGCGGGTGGAGAAGAAAATGGACCATCTATCCTGCTTCTCTGGCGGGATGTTCATGCTAGGTACAGAGGCTGTTTTGTAGTTCTAACATACATGAATGCATAGTCAAGGATCCGTCAGAAGGATGACGGCTGAGACTCACAGTTAACCGGTTTCGACTCTTATTGCAAAGTCTTCATCAGAAAATACATTATAAAACAAGTATAGGGGAGCCTCAAGAACAACCAGTTTGTTGGTCGTAGTAATGGTGAACTGGAAGAACAATGCTAAAAGTAAGCAGGAAGTTTTTGACTTCAAGGTGGTGTAGAATTTGTAGAATTTCAGTGAAGGAGTCAAATTCAGCTTTCCGCACATCTCTAGGTTTACGTCTTGTCCTCTTGCTAAAATTTGATTTTAAAATGAAGGACAGCCAAGGAAACAAGTCAGTGTGGCCTAAATGGCACTGGTCTGTTCTGCATGTTTCTGATTGGTCCGACTGTCTGGTTTCTTCAGGTGTAGAAGGAGCGCCTGAAGAGCTGAAGGACAGGTACAAGGAGCTGGGCACGGAGATCACCCACACCTGTCACGAGTCTTACATTAGATCAGGTCAGTAGAACCTACCTACCTTGTCCCTTGTCGGTAGAAAGGACAAAAAAGGCTCCTCTGGTTTGGGGGGGGGGACATTTAAGAAGCATTCCTTTCTCATTAAGTAATAAGTAGTGATATTGTTATATTAAAGTGTTCTTCTGAGCAAGGAGCTTATAGGCACTATAGGCTCCTTGTTCCGAGTAAGCCACCAGGCTTTGAGGAAAACATTTAAGACAGTGTCAATTGTTTTCTTAAGTTGTGTATCTTGCATTTTCTTAAAGTATTGTAATGTGTCATCCTGCAGCCACCAGACTTGGCCCTGAGGCCTTCAGATTTTATAAGAAGATCTTGGGTTTTTTTATGAACAGTTTTCTGGAGTTTTTTTCCATGTGTGTGTGTTTTATTTGAATGTTTCTTGTGTCCTACTCCAGCCACCAAGCTTGGTCCCGAGGCGTTCAGGTTTGAGGGGAATGTTGAGGCGATGTCCATCCGGCAGAACGAGAAGTACTACATCCTCAGGCCGGAGGTCATCGAGTCGTACTTCTACATGTGGAGATTTACCAAGGACCCCAAGTACCGGGACTGGGGCTGGGACGCAGCACAGGTACAGTCTGAAAATATTAACTGGAAATCTAACTCTAACACTAACAATTCTAGAAGCACTAACACCTCTTCTGGCACTAACTCTATGTGTGGAGATTTACCAAGGATCCCAAGTACCGAGACTGGGGCTGGGACGCAGCACAGGTACAGTCTAAAAATATTCTAAATTTTAACAGTAAATGTTACAGTAACACCCACTCTGACACTAACACTACATGTACGTGTGTGTTGAGAGGGCCCCAAGAACCGGTATTGGGGCTGGGACGCAGCACAGGTACAACCTGAACATGTTAACTACAAATCTAACACTCAGAGGTGGTATTAACAGTAACACTAGCACCTTTTCTGGCAATAACACTATGTGTGGAGACCAAGGACCCCAAGTCCATGCCCCAGCATCCCAGCCTGAAAATACAGATACATATGTATTTAAAAGTCTCACCAGTTGGCACTTGTGTGGCTGGGGAGCCGGGTTATTACTTCGATAAACAGTATGGAAATTAACTGCAAGAATTCAGAACAAAAGGTACCATATGTTAACTGTTTCACTGCATAGCAACTGGAGGATAAACATTATCAAACACTCCTTTAACTGGTGTCAGAAATGAGCTCCAGAAAGTTTCCATGCAATAATTTTTTTATTTTCTCTCTCTACAGGCCTTAGAGAAGTACTGTAGAACACCCGGCGGCTTCACAGGCATCCGAGACGTCTACAACGCCAACCCCGCCCAAGACGACGTTCAACAGAGCTTCTTCCTAGCAGAGACTCTTAAATATCTTTACCTCCTTTTCTCAGAGGATACTCTACTACCTTTAGACTTCTGGGTCTTTAACACAGAGGCCCACCCCCTCCCTATAAAGACTTCAATAGGTGCCAAAGACAGTCATGCCAACGATAGAAGGTAGTATGCTGCAGAGAGGCTGCTGGAATGATCCATTCCAAACGGGGGTGGGAAGGGGGTAGGTGTAGGGATAAACTAAAATTGCAATTTCGAATTTTTATGAAGATGATGATGGTTGATACTTGCAATTGTAGATGTTGCCAATTTGTATATTGTAAAAAGGAATCATGGAATTTATATGTTTGTTTTTTGTGTGTGTGATTGAGTAGAGGTAGCCTGGGTACCATCCTGGTTAGTTTACGTCCGCTCCTACAGTCGCTACCACCAAGCGACTGTAGGAGCGGACGTAAACTAACCAGGATGGTACCCAGGCTAGAGTAGAGGTGGGAGGAGAGGTACATTGGATTGATGTAAAACTGGCCACTTTACATGTAGATTTGGAAAGTCCTTTTCCAAACTGCTCCAGGGTACCATATTGGATGCCCTGCAGTACAACTTGATGTACAGTCAAGCTTTACTTCGGCATTTCAAAAGCATACTCACCTTAACATCATGTCATCTTTACTTCTATCATAGCAGAGACAGTTTTGATGATGTTGAATTTGAAAAAAAAATATTCTGAAAAAATTCCTGTCTTTTCTTGATTTAATGTGACCAGTGCTAGGCCCTGTCCACTGATTTTTTTTAAACAATAATTATTGCCTATTTTAATGCTCTTTTTAGATTTGCAATTGGTGGCATAATTATCAGCAATACTTGGTGTGTGCATTTTTCCACCTGGCTTACTTTGCTTCCACCAGTGATGATGTAATTTGACAATCATGTTTGCTGGTCTATCTGTGCCCAGCTGTAGTACTGATGTACCTACATTAGAACAGTGTTTTTGTCATCAGCAGTTAAAATTGTGAAACTATTTTCCAACTCAATCATTAGACTCACAAAATCAGTTCCTCCTGAAGGAGACCAGACGACTTGGTGGTAAGAAACTTGGCATTAAATATTTAAAATCCAATCTGTGTGTTCCCTACCCTAATGACAATGGAAAATGGTTGTGAGGGGGTCCAGTGGTTGTGTTGATTGGCCAGGAAAACCTTACGTTTGCAGAACATACACCTTTAAGTTAGTTAGTTGGTTGGTTGGTTGGTTGGTTGGTTAGCAGAAGGCCTTTACTATGTAAAATTGGATGTAACTGTTTTCATACGGTTTATGACTAGCTGGTTAGCCAGCCAGGTTTGACTGTACCCTTAAAACCCTTGTATAGATCAGTTACACTCCCCTGCACAAAATTGGACTGAAGCTGTGGACTAAGCAACACAGTTTGACTACAATGATCAATACATGTATGTGCTTTCTCCTGCACTGTTTTGAACTTCCACAGGGGATCCTCCATCAGGTGCAATAGCTTGCGACAAACATTTCATACATGCAGGGCATTTGCTTAATATACTTGCTGAAGATGGCCAAACCACAATCATTCATGTCTGTATGGTTAGATGTACCTGGTACAAAAATGTATATACCAGTGTATGATCTGTTTATGGTTGAATTGGAATGAACCTGTAGCTTCCTTATACAAATGTAATTGATTTCCAAGCAGATGTCAGGATTCAGTTCAGTCTGTGTTTTATGCATATTTTTGTGGCATTTAGTACATCTTTTTAGTGTTCTTTTTCTGTACTTTTTGTCTTCCCATAGGGGTAGGGGAAGAAGAAAAATTCAGACCACTAGAGAGGTATAAAATTCTTCAAAAACATGTTAAAACACTGACCCAACATCTGCTTGAGATTGGTTAGTTAGCTGACAGCCATAAAAGGACATAGAAGGTAGCTCTTCAAATGTATTTATTGGACTGCTGGGGACTTTGTGTATTTAAAGGCTTGATGCCAGCTTGTTATTCATGCAACAGACATAATGCTATTTATTCCCTCTACTTGTCACTTGGTAGGATGCAGCATTTTAGTTTGTTTGTTAGAGTTACTATATCATATTTCAGTTTACATGTATCTTTGTTACTATAGGGAACTTCCAATCTTAAAAGTGCACCTATTCAGTTTCTCAGTTCTTAGAGTCTACACCTCCAGAATCGGGGCATTTAGAGTGATCTATATACTAGAAAGCATGTGGAACCGAGCTCATATGCATATACATGTACATTTTCTGTTGTGGCTAGAGGTTTTGCATTCTGTATGTTTTTGTTAAACACAAATTCAAGACTGGAACAATATTGGATGGATGTCTAGTCTAGCTACACTGTAACTTTGATTTATACTGTGTACGAAATTTAAACTCTTATTTTATGGGACCAACCTTGGAGGGGATCCATTGCATACTACACCAGCACTCAAGCTAAAATCTAAGCTCTAATAATTTCCAATCCATTCCTGTAAAAATCATATTACAGTCAAGCTAATCATTCACTGGCCGTAATGTTGCTAGCTGTTAGTTTTTGAGAAATACATGTGTATTCATGTTATGTAAATTCAGAAAATTTAGTTTTGGCTGTTGCAATAGTTTTGCTTGGTGTAATCTTGAGAAATTTGGATGAAATGACTGTGTTGTTGATTGTAATGAGAATCATGAATTTCTTTATGGTTAAGACCAGTATACATGTACGATTGGAACTGATTATCACGTTTATCATAATGTTCAAATCCCTCTATTGGAACAGTGATAGCATAGGATGACTGTTTTTCTTATTGAACTTTTAAGACTCTTTTAAAATTTACTGTACCTTCCAAATATCCCATGTGTTTATAGATGTAAAGGACCAGTGTTCAAAAAGAATATATTATGTTTGTGTATTCTGGTATTGGAAAGCTAGGCATCTTGGTGTCTTTCAGGTACATGTACCAGGTAATACGTACCCAGAAATATGCAAATGTTCTGTACATGTTTGTGCTTCAGGGTAATACCCCCCCCCCCACACACACACACACAGGTAAGGTATTCTGAGGTAATCTGATTCCCATCCTGAATGTTTGTAACATTTTTGATTGATAAGTCTGTGGGACAATGTGAGAAACATCATGTTCGAGATGTGCATTTTCCCTGTTGTGTAAATAGTGCACATATTTTTATGCTATCAGGGACAGCAAGATGATGTGTAGAAAAAAAATTAGCTGTTATCAATTCCTAAAAAGTGAATTTGTTCAGTCTAGTACTGCTTCAGTTTTGACTAATTTTTGATTTTAAAATCACACCATTTTTTGTGACAAATCGTCATGCCCTATATTTACTTAGTACAGTGTATAATTGATTGAACATTTTGTGTTGACTGTAGTTAGTAAGTGGTCCTGTTTCCCATGATTAAGTTCTGTAGTTGTCTCCTACCCAGTGTATGCTTTTATGTTGGGCTCAGTGTTCTGTAAGTGGAAAAGATGTACAGTGTATCATTAAATTAAAGGTATAATTTTTCGATCAATTTACTCGCTGTCCTGTTTGTGTGATTCTTTGACTGGTTTATTACTGTACTGATGATTGTTAATGTTAATGTATTTAGACTATTTTATATAACTCCAGAAGCAAAATCCAACTGAAACATTGCCAGAGTTTATAAAGGTACTCCCCAAAAATTATTTTCAAATGAAAAATGTACTAAAACTTGTACCATAAAGCGGGATTCTATTTCATTTACAATAGCATGTTGAACATACAGAGAGACATTCACATGGGGACATCTAACGGTTTACAGTATTACTGCAACACACCGCCTTACTGATGTATATCATACACGAACATGATACATGTAACATGTCATGTGAGTCTATCTCATCATCCTGACAACTTTTGGCACTTTTCTAACTAAAACATCACTTGATAGCAAACTTCCTTGATTGCAAGTAAAATTCCAGAACTTTCTGAAAAAAAAGAACAGTCTTGAGATAAAAAAAAAGTGCTGCTATCTTCCTCCAGAAGGAGCTCTGCCTTTTTCCTTTGGCTTCAGCTCAAAGCTAGCAAACACCTTGGCTTGAACTGTCACTGTTGCCATGGCAATTCTCTCCTGGTACGTCATTGGCTTGTCTTGGTCATGTGACTGTCCCTGAGCAGGTGGCCCCTCCCATTCCCGACAACTCTCTTCCTTGATGCTGATTGGCTGGCCCACAGATGAACGGAGTAGTCTGGCAACTTCCACAGCTTTTTGTCGTGCATTTCTGACTGCCAGGAGACAAGCTTGTCGTCTGAGAGAGAAAATCCAAAAGTTTCCTTTACAAAACACGATACAATCTAACAGGTTAACAGAAGACATCCTCCTTCGCAGGGCTAAAATCCTCCGGTTCCCTTCCGGTTTTAGCCCTGCTATTTACCGCTGACAGTTTGACTTCTGGTGACGTCACTTAAAAATAATTCATGAGCTTGCCTTATTTGGCACAAACCAGACGGATGTCGGGGGGCATGCCCTAACTCTGTCTCGGCTTTGGCCAGGGCTTTGGCCGCTGCTGGGAAGCCCATATAGCACAGGCTCTTCCCTCCTCCTGTCCGCACACTCAGAAAAACGTCAAGCAGCGCCCGTAGCGTCGACTGCTGATGCTCACGAAGCCGCTCGACTCCAAATAAATCTTGCACGGCTCGCACGAAACTTCTAGTACTAGTATCTGTAATAGCCGCCATCTTGGCCTGTCATGTAAGACGTAACCTGATTGGCTAATAGGTTCCCAGCGACCTTTGCGGTTTTTGCGCAAAGCTCGGTGCGCAAATTCTCTGATTGGCTGACAGCAGTTTGGCGGTGACGTCACCAGAAGTCAAACTGTCAGCGGTAAATAGCAGGGCTAAAACCGGAAGGGAACCGGAGGATTTTAGCCCTGCGAAGGAGGATGCCAGAAGAAAGAGATATGTTAAATATACAAGGAGTGGAAGTTCTGCTCTTTCTACAAATACCTTTAAACAGCAAAGCTGAGTTAGGTACAGCTTACAATGTTCTGTTTTTTAACTTAATCCTTTTCCAGTAGTGGGCAATGGGTGAATGATTACAATTGTCACTCAATCTCTCAGCCTCCAAGTCTAGAAGCAGGGTTTCCAAGCATTAGACCACAAGTTGTCATACATGTATCTCTATACAATGTTATACTACTGAGATATATAGCGCGTCGGCAGAATGTACTGCACCTGCGCGAAACCTGTAATGTATTGTGCTTATCGCTTCGGCTGTACGTCTCATATAAGGTCGTCAACATGACGTGTGTAGTTTCCAAATGTTGTGTTGGAAAAGATATTGTCTGCAAGACTGCAACACTACAGGCAAAATTCTGACCAAACATCCAACGAAAATTGTGTAAAATCAGGATTTCGCACAGGCACAGTATGTTCTGCCAATGTGCTGAAATATCTATGACTGTAGAAAAACCTGACCTGAGCTCCTCCAACCTCTGCGGACTGTGGAAGAACTCTGGGGTTGCCACGACGACCGTCTCGTCCATCTTCTCCACCAGGAAGTTACAGACGCCCTGGCACTTCAGGAAGTCCACAAACACCACCCTGACCTCCCCCTCCATGTGGTACAGTCCATCCACCCTCTGGATGACCTTGGAGATCTGGGTGTCACCTTCCTGATAGAAGGTACAGGAGACAACATGACAGTTAAACATTGATCATCTAGAAAAGTACAGCAGCCATCCCCGATATTGAGCCTCGAGGCAATACATGATGACATCAGTCATTTGATGTATTGATACTGAGAGATATTACTAGTAAAGCTGCATAGCTGGTGTGTAACGCCTTGCAATTGAAACTGGTTTGCTACATTTCTTTCCAAGTGTAGATGTCGATGATTAAACATTACAGAATTCTGAATTTTCCTGTGTAATTTTGGTCACCAAAGATATTTCTTCCAAGGACATTACTAGTATATAGATATATTATTCCTTGTTTCCTCTAACACCCTAAATTTAGGAGGAAAAAATTTTTAAACCCTTAAGCTTTAAGATTAAGGATAAAGTGATATTTTGGATAAGTGGGCTGTGTTCTTCACCTTGACATGATGCGTCTGCAGCACCTGTAGGATGTAGTCCAGCCGTCTCTGTACGCTGGTTTTAGCCTCCAGCACAGCTTCCTTCTTACTGCTCACTATGACGGTCACTCTGGAGGAGTCAACAGTTCATGGATATCAGATCATACATAATGTCACATAATCATAAATTAACATTCTAAAAATAGACATAAGTATTTCTTCTTCTTTTGCATTTTATATAATCTGAACTAGCTGGTATAATGTCTTTCACACAACACATCACATACAAGCACCAACAACTGGTTACATATTTACATCAAACATGCATGTCAAACCCTACATGGTTAGTACCTGAGATATCACCTGACTCTATGGTCGTCTATGAAGAAATATTCTCCATAAATTATTAGACGTTGCAAACTAAAGATACAACGAAAATTATTATCTAACTTGATAAAGGTATGGGCATACGTATACTCTTCTACAACTCATGGAATTAACGCACAACTGCTGTTGGTAAATCAATTTAAATATATGTGCTAGTTGTGCTTCTTCAGTTCAAGACAAACTTCCCCAAGTTGCCCCCCTCCCCACGTTGTCAGAGTTTCCTACATGTACGTACCTGGCGCGGTCGGGCGGCAGAGAAAGCTCCCCCGTCGCCGAAACCTCGACCTCGTTCTTCCTGACAACCCTCCGGATGTTCTCTTCGTTTTCATCCACGTTTCTCGCCTTTTTCTCGCGGTCTTTCGTGGCCAGAGAAGCGAAAACCTGCACGGGGCGATAGGCCATCTTTTTGTTGACATCCGAAAATGGCGCTCGAATTTAGACTGTACCACTACTGTTTTGGGGGTGTTTTTAGAAAAGATGACGTGATTTTCAGACATTCTGAATTATCATACCTAACATTGTGTAACTAATATTAATGTGGACTACAGCATGTAATTGATTTTTGATACGTTTTTGTTCCGTTTTTATGTAAGGACGTTTTGGCGCATCAAAATTTATATATACTTGACCTTTACGTCATGCTAGAAGCGCCACCTACTGGACCATAACAAAAGTGCAGGAAAAGGTACAGCACACTGCAGTATGATTTAGATTCCAGTCATGTTTCGGTACGTGCTATATATATATCAGTCGCTGCGGCTGTGACGCTGTGTTGTCTTCAGGAGGACCAGTCTAACGGCAAAAACACCGCCATGACTGACCTACTTTCCGTCGAATACGAGATCTACGGGGAAGTTCAAGGTAAACGGTGAACATCGTTCTCTTGGATTTCAAGGGCACCGGCACAGGGGTCCCAGAACCCCTAGTTACATTCAGCTTGTTATTGGACGTGCGATGCAGTTTCATAGGTCATATAGAAGACCATATACATTTTTATCATGACATTATAGTTAGAGATATGTCACTACTAAAGTTATTGTCAGGGATACACAATTTGCGGTTTAACGCTCATGACGTTACTACCTGTAACGTTACAGATGACGTTACATATTACAGATTGTGACTGTTTATACTTTCCTGTCCTTTATTTATATCACGTGGTCGACTCAACAACTTGCATCGACAAGGTGTCTTCTTTCGAGATGTGAGTAGAACTACCCTTCATATGCTACAGTTTTGAATTTGACGTGTATCTAAAACGTTTTAGATGTACACGTGGGTGCTATTTCCTTATGTTCTTGCTGGTGACTACTTTACCCAACATTTTAATTCAGCTAGCAGTGATTGTAGCTTCAGGAATACCGGTAACCACAAAGAAGAATATTTACAGAAACGTGTATACCAAAGATTCACATTACTTATGTAATAATTTGCTGAGGGCACCTGAGTTTAACTGAGATGCTAGTATTTGTTTGCTTGTACACTCCAATCTTAACATCTTTCTGAAACCATACCTATGCACAGCACGAAAACAGATATTTAAGCAAACTTTCCGCAATATGTAAAGAGGTATTAAAGGTGGATAAATATTTAAGTTGACTTTACGACTTCGTAAAGGTTGCTGAAAGGTAAATTCCGCCTTTCCGTCACCTTTCAGTGGGCTTAAATACGACGTAAATATATAAAGACATTTAAGCAAACTTTCCGCATATGTAAAGAAGTATTAAAGGTCGGAAAATATTTCAGTTGACTTTACGACTTCGTAAAGGCCTCTGAAAGGCAAATGTTCCGTTTCGTAGCTTGTTTTTAACGTCTAACCATGTTCCAAATGGCAAATAGATAAACGAGTTTATGCCCAGCTGGCTTCACACTTTCATTTTGCTTTATTTGTGAAGCATGACAAAACTTACATTACTTTATGTCCTTCGCGTGAACTTACAAAGTATCCATATGCAGACACCCAATGAGGAACGTGTCATGTGATAGGGCGGTACCCAATGGGATACAAGACAGCGAGGTTCAAATCTACCGGACTCAACTCATTTTTATGGCGTCTATTTCGAAGATACGTCGACCCTCCTTCTAATTGAGACATTATGGCTGAAGTTGAGAATCTCATGGAGCGAGGAAAGGCAAGAAAATTTTCGACTTCTTTAGAATATGTTGAAATTGGTGAAGACCCAGTCGCAAAGAATCCAGGGGCTTCTAAGCAGCGGCAACGACAACACGACTCTCGGCCCGGCTCGGTCTGTCTGACAACAGCCAGGAGGACGGAGGAGAAATCTTTCACAAAACGCCGTATACGAGGGAGCTGATCAAATATATGTTTGGAGATACAAGTAGTCAATTCCTTGTATTGGTGAGCTTAGTTTAGGAATGTATTATTTTGAACTGTTTTCATTATACGTAATCTGCAGCTGGGGAGGATACGTAATAATGTGACAATATAGTATGAGCTAACATCTTCTTCCAAAACATTTTATTAGGAATCATTGTATTTTGTATGTTTTACTCAATAAATTGTTCTCAGATCATATCTGTTTCTGTCATCATATTCACATATACCGACGTAAGTTAAGGTTATGCACAGCCGATCCAAATGTTCGGAAAGGCAACTTAAAGCTTAAAATTGTCCGTAAACAGTGATTAAAGGAATAGTTTACAAAGCCTTTACGGACATAAAAGGTGCGTAAAGGCACTGCTAAAGTGCAAATACGTATCTTTCCAGTACTACGGAAAGGGCACGTAAAGACAATGTTTACGAGGGACTTAAAGGCAGCAAAAAGACCTCTTAAATTTTAAGCAAACGCATGCTTTCCGACCCAAAAAGGTCCGTAAACAATACTTAAAGGAATTGTTTACAAAGCCTTTACGGACATGAAAGGTGCGTAAAGGCACCGCTAAAGTAGTGCAAATACGTATATTTCCAGTACTACGGAAAGGGCACGTAAAGACAATGTTTACGAGGGACTTAAAGGCAGCTGAAAGACCTCTTAAATTTTAAGTAAACGCATGCTTTCCGACCAAAAAAGGTCCGTAAACGATACTTAAAGGAATAATTTACAAAGCCTTTACGGACATAAAAGGTGCGTAAAGGCACCGCTAAAGTAGTGCAAATACGTATCTTTAAGTACTACGGAAAGGGCACGTAAAGACAATGTTTACGTACACGGAAAGGTGCCGGAAAGGTGCGTAAAGATGGAAATTACGCCGCCTTTAAGCACGATTTAAGCATGCTTAAATATGGTTTTTCGTGCCGTGATGATGATCAGAAGGGATGCACACCGACAAACAAATGCTTTCATGTCTCTTCCGTCGGCTCCTCCAGAACACCCGTAAGCAGGCCCGGCGGCTGAACCTGGTGGGGTGGGTACAGAATACCCGACAGGGCACTGTGGCAGGCGTGGTGCAGGGGCCCAGGAACGCTGTCGACCAAATGTGAGGATATTTTACGTCATAGTATAACAGAAAATGGAAATTCCTTAGACATGAAGAGGGATAAAGAAATATCATATCTTATATATAATTATTTTATTCACTATAGCTAGCTATCCTTCTGGTAGCTAAGCTAAAATTTTTCTCTTATGTGCTAGCCTACTTAGTTTATCGGAGGATGGCAACCAGGCAAGTAGTAATGATAATACGATGATACGATGTTCTGGGTCAGTCTAGTTTTCGTAGTACATGTATACTGTTGAAATAGTCTTCTAGCCTGTGGAGTCCAGCCTTGTTAGCTTTAGTGCGCTCCCCAAGATCCGCTCCGAGGCTCCTTTGGTGGCGTAGCAGATCTTGGGGAGCGTTCTATTGCTAACAAGGCTGGACTCCAGGCTAGAGCTGTCTTCCCTCCACAGGAAGCACTGGCTGAGGCATGTCGGGAGTCCGATGTCGAGAATCGAAGGGGCGTCGTTCGACGAGAAAAGCATCGCCCGACTGGAGTTCGGAAACTTCGACATTTCGTACGGAGGCCGACGTCATTAAGTCGGCGACATGTCACCTTGTGCGACCTTGGACTATTTTTGTTAAAAAATAGAGAGGGAGAACATCGTGAGCTTCAATGTTCTCTTTAGCTCCATTTCACAACCGTTCTATGACTATGGCTGTCATCTTTCATCTGTCAAAAACAACACTAGTAACTAGTTGAGGTATCCTTGCGGCATAGACGAGATAATAAACCCATGATGTGCTAGAAATAAACCCATGATGTGCTAGATGATGAAGATTATCATTGTCTTTGATAGCCCCAACAGTGAATATCTGTCGTATATTGCAAAGCTAGCTAGCCTAGCTACTAATAAGTCTTGTGGCTCTTGTACAGGGTTACATGTACTTAGTTCGGATGTGTTCGGATGTCTTCTCGGATCTGAAGTTAAGTTCGACGTCTGCTCTGTGACTGCGATGATGGGCAAACGGATGAAGGCTGTCGTGTCTAGGAATATATATAGCCAGAGCAAGATAGCCTTAGCAAAGAGTCTGACAGATATGGATATAAATATGAATGAAAAGCTTCAAATTCCGCCAGTAATTTTCAGGTGCTCGCCCGTAGTGAACGGGCAGACGTCGCTGCAGAGCCAGCACACCGCCTCAGCAACCTCCTCGGGCGCCGCGACGCGACCGACGGGGCCCATGGCGTCCAGCTTCGCCATGAAGTCATTTGGCAGCTTTTCCCTCAGTCGATCCAGCATGGAAGTAGCGGTGAGCCCTGGACAGACGGCGTTCACGCGTATCCCGTCCTTGGCGTACTCCACCGCGGCTGTCTGGGTCAGCCCCAGGATGGCCCACTTGGACGCGCAGTAGGGAGAATTGTAAGGCATGGGGCCTAGGCCCGACCGGCTGCTGGCGTTGACGATACTGCCGCGCGCCCGCGGAAGCGGCACACGTCCGGCTTGTCGGCCCATCTAGCCGGGTCGCTCACGACGGGCTCCTGCTGCAGCATCTGGCCGATCTCGTACTTCAGACACAGCCACACGCCCTTGGCGTTCACGGACATGACGCGGTCGAACTCGTCTTCTTTGTAATCCACGATTCTGGCGGGAGTTCCTTCAATCCCGGCGCAGTTGAAGGCGCAGTCGATCCGCCCGAAGTGCCGAACCGCGGCGGTTACCATGGCTTCCACGCTTGTCGCCATGGTAACGTCCACCTGGACGGCGAGCCCCGGAGTTTGGAGCATGCCCAGTGTCTCCTTGGCGCTCGGCTCGTCGATATCAGCCACCACACAGCTGTACCCGAGCTCAGCAAACCGGACGGCCGTGGCACGACCGATGCCGCTCCCGCCTCCCGTTACCAGGGCAACGCGCTTCCGTGTATCAGTTGCCATGGTTACACCTAGAAAGCAGAATTTACTGGAATGAAAGCTGATCTTCAATGCAAAATGTAGTAGGTAGCATGATCATAGAATAAACTTTCTTAACACATTCTTTAGTGTTTGCACTCTTCTATACGCAATCCCTGGCGAAGCCACACACTACACGTGACTAACTAACGAGTATACGTAAGTGTCATTCTTCGTCCTCAGTCTGAGATCGCCTGCTTAACCTCTACCAGAGTCCCACTACTTGTTGGTATCTGGTCCTTCGTACTACAGTATTTTCGAAAGCGTCCGCTTCCCCCGCGCTGTGTCGATCTGGGCTTGCTCAGTACTAACCAAGGTCGGCGTCCCATAAATGACATAAATGATAACCCGAGGTCGATGACCTAGAAACCTGGTCGCGCTTGGAACAGTTTTACTCTTTACGTACAAATGGCAAAAACGATTTCAGGATTTAATCTTACGTCATATGTTTCACACCTGTGCGACTAGCAGCAAGCATTAATTTAAGACACTTAAGATACATGCAGTACTAGTACCCCCCTCCCCCTGGCAAATCGCTCTGTCTGTTGACAACTGAAGGTGTCGTTGGTCTAAGTGTAAACCCATGGATGACACTAGTTGGATCTTGGCCCTTTCTTACCTGAAGTGTAGCTAAGATTCACCTGAGTTGCAGAAGAGGCCACCTGTGGAGAAAGACTGTGCCCTCGGCTGAGCTGGACGAGTTGTTGTCTGTCTGTTGTCACAAACGGCTGTCTCATGACCTTGAACTACGTCATACCAACACACCACTTGCCCCGTGTAGAGATCACTCCGCCCTTATTGGCCCAGGGCACCGGCATTTCCGGTTGCCGTGAAAATGAAATCCCTAGAAGTAAAACAACTTACACTGTACCACTTCAGTAAAGGGGCCAGTCCACTAGTGATGTGTTCAACTCCCATAATCCCATACAGGCACGCCAGCAATCAGAAACTACATAATCACCAAACAACGGCAGCATCAAAACACCAACCGTGGGACAATGCTACGTAGACTAAACATAAGGCTTTCATATAAGGGTAGCCGATGAGATCGGTACGTATGCGTGGGCAAAAGACAGCAACGAAAGAGTTTGTGGGCATGGGACAGCTGCATTGAATCATTCTTAAGGTCAGGAACAGGATACAAACAACCAGTTCAAAAGACACAATGTGACAAGGAGGAGGAGTTAAAAAAGTCCGGAGAAAGGAAGTTTCAACACAAACTTTAGTGACCTGACCGACGACCTGGTTCAGAAGGTTTCTATATATCGTTACAAGTTAGTGAACACCGTAGCCCCGATGGACGTAGCCTGGTGTGCAGTCTACCGCGGTTTGGGCAGGCTCTCTCCGAGCCTGCTGGGCCAGCTAGGGCCTGACACTCTTCAAAATATTACGAACACATAAGCTAACAAACCAAAAAACGAACGAATGAACACACTGGGAACAAAAATATCCGTGGTACCTAACTTTTATCAATTAGCATACAATGTTAAAACAATTATCATTAAGTCTATTAAGAGTGATTGCCTGCACGGATGGATCCTTTGAGCCCTGGAGGCCGAGTGTAGGGTGAGAACCTCTGCGTTATACAAAGAAGCAATGTAGCACCCTTTACAACCCCCCTGCAATTTTCAGGTGCTCCCCCGTAGTGAACGGGCAGGCGTCGCTGCAGAGCCAGCACACGGCCTCAGCAACCTCCTGGGCCGCTGCCAGGCGACCGGCAGGGAACCACTTCGGGTCTTGTCTCTCCCGAAAATCCGGTGGCGACGTTTCCCACAGTCGATCTCGCATGGAAGTAGCGGTGAGCCCTGGACAGACGGCGTTCACGCGAATCCCGTCCTTGGCGTACTCCACCGCAGCTGTCTGGGTCAGTCCGAGGACGGCAAACTTGGACGCATTGTAGGGGCTCAAATACTTCCCTGGGCGCAGACCTGACAAACTGCTGACGTTGACGATACTGCCCCGCGCCCCGCGGAAGCGGCACACGTCCGGCTTGTCGGCCCATCTAGCCGGGTCGCTCACGACGGGCTCCTGCTGCAGCATCTGGGCGATCTCGTACTTTAGACACAGCCACACGCCCTTGGCGTTCACGCCCATCACGCGGTCGAAGTCGTCCTCGGGAGTGTCGGTGATTTCGGCTGAGGTTCCCAGGATCCCGGCGCAGTTGAAGGCGCAGTCGATCCGCCCGAAGTGCCGAACCGCGGCGGTTACCATGGCTTCCACGCTTGTCGCCATGGTAACGTCCACCTGGACGGCGAGCCCCGGAGTTTGGAGCATGCCCAGTGTCTCCTTGGCGCTCGGCTCGTCGATATCAGCCACCACACAGCTGTACCCGAGCTCAGCAAACCGGACGGCCGTGGCACGACCGATGCCGCTCCCGCCTCCCGTTACCAGGGCAACGCGCTTTCGTGTATTGGTTTCCATGGTTACGGATCTGCACCTAGAAGACAGAATGTTTATTACTTCACCATTTTTGTTGTTTTTGTTGCAACATTTTTATTGTTTTCAGAATGGTGCCACGTACCTAGGCTACGAGTCCTAAGATGATCACGTGCAAATTTCGAACTTTGCTTTCTTGACACGACTACCCCTATCCAAGGTTATCCTCTTGCTCTGTTGTTGTGACAAGGGCTGCACACAATTCGTTCCTGCAACGTACCGAAACCACTCTCAATATCACACAAACCATACATATCGCACCTTTGCACCAGAAGTCAATTCTTCGTATACAACGGATATTCTAGAGGGTCCAAACGTAAAGTGTACATGAGCCGAAACATCACTGCTACCAGCCGTCCCCTGAAATCCAACGTAAGTCGGGCCACTCTATGGACAAAGTTCAGTGGACTTAAAGGTGACCGCAGAGGAAGAAATAGACGGAAGACGACGTTACAAGTTATAAAACTTGGTCGTATCACGGCGTACTGTATGGGTTCCACCCCACATGCGCAAATCAAATACTCCCCCCCCCCCCACATGTGCACGCAAAGTACATGTACTTCCAATATCTCTCTAAGATTCACCTGTGTTTTGAAGAGGTTGAATGAGACAGGACCTTGAGGTCTCAGCTAGAAAAATGGCGTCCCCACCTTGGTTTTCAGTCTGGCTAGGCTAAAGGTCAAATTCCGAACAACAGACTGACGTTCATCAATGCCGGAGGCCATTGTTATAGTCTCTTAGATCCTCCAACGCTCCAGGTGCCACTGACGTTTAATTTTTTGGAGAGTGCTGGCGTACCTTACTTTTTTACTGGGGAGGGGGGGGTCTGCACTCTTGGTACGTAGAACGTATTAGAGATCCTGTCAATATATGTATGTTAAATACATGTATCTATCAATTCCTTTGTTGGTATGCCTGCAAAAAGCCAGATGGATATGCGTATGTATGCAAAGTAACCTATGGGGAAGGAGATATCCATTGGGTACATGTTTTGCAGCTGTAAAGGTGGGTTCGACAAGTTTATTTGATTTTCGGCATATGATTGGGGTCCAAGCAGTGTGCTTTATGTATGTTTAGGTATTAAAAGAAAATAATTTGATGCCCCCATGCTGCTATATGGTGTGATATGGTCTATCAACAGTTGATCATGGTCTATCAGGCTACATTACATGTACTTTCAGGGGAGGGGGGTGGATGGTAGGGTTAGGGTTGTGTATTAGGGCTGTGTTGTGTATTACTAGTGTATCCAATATATGTTTTATCAAATCTATAAACAAGAATCAAACAACCAACAAAATGATCTGCAGAGTTTTATTCCTTGAGCAACATTCCTAATAAACATCACGTTCTCTACTTTTCCTGTTCACCAGTGTCAGACTCTAGGTCTTTACTGAACCTTCTTCATGTTCATACGTTCTAACTGGGAGTTGGACTGTGTTGACATTCTGCATACGGCTGTGGAGTGTGTTGGTTTACAAAGATTGTAGTATAGTTGTAAAATTTACATCAAACTTTTCTTTTTGGTCATAACAGAACCATTGATCCATTTCTGAACTGCACAGTGCTGTTGTTATATGGGGAAGGGGGAGGGGGGATCTACTAGTGTTAATTAGGAACGTTGCGATGCTTTTCTAACTGCCAGATGGTGGTACGCCCAAGGGTACGCTGCCATGGCCGCTGCGTGGCGGGGACGTCTAGTCGCCGAGGGTCTCGTGGTCGAACATGTACTCGCCCAGGCCAGTGCCGACGCGCTTCAGGTTGGTGACGTGGTCGGCGATCTGCTTGATGGACTCCACCTGCTCCTTCAGGTACTCTCCCTCCAGAAAGTCCATCATCTGTGGGGAACAATAGGGAGGGTTGGGGGTTAGACACTGCACAGATATGTGTTATTGATCATATTATCCTATAGCAGTAGTAGTATACAATGTTTGATCATGCTCTTACTGTAGAACTGGAAAAGAAACAAGCCTGATGTCTGATCTGATCTTTTTGCAATGTTACAACTCCTGAAATGTACCGTTCTTGACAGTACCAAAACATCTATGAATGGCTCTTACATCAATTGACAATGTATAATTTGCGAGGCTTTGTTTTGAGTAACTTTCTCCACATAACCAGTACCAATTTTGTGCCCAATTGCTACCCGAGCTGGCTAAAGGTAAGAACTGTGTTAAGTGTAGGAAAGGGTAATGTCCAAGCAGATCATACGGTGGCAAGGCAGTATCCACTGGCCAGAGGAGTGTCCTCTGGTGGCTAATGGACACTCCTCTGGCCAATGGATACTGCCTTGCCACCGTAGGATCTGCTTGGAGATTAGGAAAGGGTAGCTCTAACAGAAGAAGACTGAAGAGGTGACTGACCTGTGGGTCACCAACGGTGTCTGCGGTCTTGTGCAGATCCAGCAGGGACTGGTTCACGCTCTTCTCCAGCGCCAGGGCGGCCTGCATGGCGTCCAGCCCGGAGCCCCACTCGTCGTGGTCGGGCTTCTGGATGTGCTGCAGCACCACGCGCCCGCCACGCATGTTCTGGTACTTCATCAGCTTCTCCGCGTGCTCACGCTCCTCGTCCGACGCGCTCCGGAAGAACTTGGCGAAGCCCTTCAGAGCCACATCATCACGGTCGAAGTAGGTGGCCTGTGGAGGAAATAAAAAGAGGAATTGTAAATAGAACATCCTTCTTCTTGAACTTGGACGTCAGCGATGTCATGATCATCACAGGGAACGAATGTAGAGAAATAAAAAGGATTACAAGTTGCCCATTTTAATCATAGATCTGCGCCACTGTATGGGTGTAGAGCAGCACTAGGATTTTCCTGTCTGTATCTATTCTATCCTACAAGAAGTGCCGCAAATTTGTTTTCCTTGCTGGTCTGACAAGCATGCCAATGGCTTGAACTAATCGCATCAGTAACTGTTAAGAAATCTACTGAAAGAGACCTCTCCATGGGCCACGCCACTGAAAAACATTTACCAGGTCACTAATGTTGTTTGCTCCATGACAGCAAAGATCACAAGTCAGGTGAGCAGAGCAAAAACACCTTGTCAGATGTCATCTATTGATCTAACATGTGACAACAGGTAAACAGGTACAGGGTACCACCGTGGTCATGTGAACCTGCGCCGTTCCATTTGCCGTGCACACCCACAGGTTCCACGTTTCAAAATATATAGTGCCACCGGGTGGAAAGCTACTGATTGGAACAGCCGCAGGAAGGTACTGGGAAGGCGGACCGCCATCTTTCCGAGCCTACGCAGTCAAGGACATTCGACAAAAAACGTCCCTGTACTAAAGACATACACGAAAACTAGTTTTTCTGCATTTATACATAGCTAATGATTTCCCTTTCCCTTGTCTCACACAATCAGCAATTTTGAGTTCGTATTTCCGTACGATTGCGGGCGAAAAGTCGTCCGACGGGCGAGTGCGTGGCGCTCGACCACAGTATCTCTCCAAAAACAAATTTTACCTAAAACCTCTGCTGCAAAATACCCTCACGATGTTTAATACGCCAGCAAACGACACTCCACAAGAATCGAGCATGGGGATAGTTTGGCGTTTTCTTACAGCCATTCTGCCCCCATCTAGAGCAGAAAATTCGGCGGGAAATGGACAAGAAGTACTCACCATGGAGTGGTAGACATAGCTGGCGTACAGCTCGAGGTTGATCTGCTTGTTGATGCCAGCCTCGCTGTCCTCGTGGAAGTTCTGACGAACCTGAGACACCGCCATCCTTGGGTTCTGGAGTTGAAGTTTTGTTCAAAGACAAAGATGAAAATTGGGATTGAAGTTTGCGACGAACGAAACTGTCACGTTCTTACACTGAAGAAGCAGTAACAATTCCAGATCTGAGCTCGTCCGGAGGGGCGCGCGGTTTATATAGTTTTGAGCCAGTATTTCAAGTGGACACCCTCCCCAAATTTCGCTGCTTGTATGACGTATTTTTACGTGATTCTAACTAATATATAAATATTTGTCACCACGTATAATAAATATATATTACTAATAGTTATAGTGCTGAATTTTGGCTTGTTTTTGCGGCTCTAATTTCTGGAAACAGCGCTATACTTTTCTGCAGTAGGGGTAAAATGACATAAAAAGAATGGCCGTACAGCGGATGCATTACACAACAGCCATTACATCATCCCGTTTTAAGAATCGTCATTGGCTAGAGCAAGTCACATGACGTCCAAAAGATCTATGACTTCTATGACGTCGCCCTTCGCAAGAATGCACTGTCATGATGCCTCAGGATTTCTTGACCGTACGGTCAATAAGATCCAATATTAAACAGATAAGAAGATGGTCACTGCAGAAATAGATGGAGGTTTCTAGATGTTTCTCCTCCCAGTTATAGTTGGACCGATTAGGTTTCAAGAGGTAAATATTTAATTTTCCGGTCGGTCTCAACATACAGTAGCTTATGAAATCTTACAAAAGTGCACATGCAATATCTATTTATAACTTATATGGAGCAAAATTAAGATAATACTAGTAAGTAAGCCATAAAATTAAATGGCCCAAGAACAGTAACGTACTGTTTCTATTCTAGATTTGTGTCAGGCGTGATCTATCCAGTAGCCAATATTGAGATCTAGATGTTTTGTGAATCATTACACAAGAAGCTTTTGAAGCTCCTTGAGTACACATAATCTTGCAGCATTGATGATTTTGATACATGTACTAGTAAGTTTTTTGATGTGACATGTACATTTTATTTCTATATGATGTCGGTTCACGGAAGCCACGGCGATTTTCAGTATGCTTCCGATGAGCTTGTCACACGACTTTTAAAGTATTAGTCATTCATCACGAGTTGTTTTGTAAGATCAAAGTACATCCGAGACATCACCGAGCGTCGTCCATAGATGGCAGGCGTATATATGACAATGTATGTGACCAATGGTATGATACGCTCGATTCTCACAAGTTCGACGACCTTAAACAAGGGCCGAAGGTCGTTGAGAATTGTAATGTGACGCCACTTGACTATTACATAACAGGTTGTTTGTTATAGATCAAAGTACATCTAAGTTATCACCGACCTCAGCGTCCAAAGTATAAATTGTGGTCAGGTGTATGGTACCGGTATGCTCGATTCTTTGCCCTCAACAAGTTCGACGGCCTTAGCGAACAACTTCTGCCGAAGGTCGTTGACAATGTGACGCCAGTTTGACTGCATATTTTACATCACGAGTTGTTTTGTTAGATCAAAGTGCATCTATAAAGTCAGCACAAATTTTCATGAGAAAACATTCTAGACGTTTCTGTGGTAATCCACATACTAGTACTCGCCGTGAGAATCAAAGAATACCTGAACTTGTCATTAATAGCCATGTAATTTGTAAAGCATGTCTCAAAGTTGACAGACAAAACAAAAATGATGCAAAAGAAAAAAAGAAACACACTGACGTAGAGAAACGTAGAGATTTTAGCACAGCCACAATGAGGATGCTAGATAAAAAATCATGAAATACTCAGAGAATATTCCTCATGACGATGATAGAATATATGCATGGAAATACATCTCTCCTAAACCGGATACACTACAGAGTGTAACCCAAACCCCTCAGACTTGTACATGTTGTTGGGGCTACCCCCGGACATATCGCATTGCAACATGCGCTATAAATATGTGTGCGGGTTCGCCACGCTGCTCTGTCTGCTCATGGGTCTGACGGCGTCCCAGGAGCAGTCCGAGGAACAACAGTGTGCCGACATGCCGAACCTGGTGTCTGTAGAGTACGAGATACACGGCAACGTGCAGGGTATGGCGTATCAGTAGGCAACAATGTCTGTCTAGAGTCCAATGTCATAAACCAGGACGTCACGAGCTAGCATGGTCGTCAGCCATTTCTTCATCGGCTATATATGTTTTTGTTTTGACGAATATGCATGGTCAATGTCAACTTTTATCAAATATGTGTTGTGTTAGCTTGTGTGTATCGCAACTTTTGTGTATCTAAAATGTCAGTTCAATCCCTTACCACAACTGTTAATGTTTCAACTGTTCAATGGTGCGCAGCATGCCAGCGCGTATAGGGATGACGTCACCAGTGAGTTGCGCACTGTGAAAGACCAAATCATGCTTGTTGCATGGGATCAAACTAGTTGACTCCATGCTTGTTGGTACCACGACCGTAAATATGGACATCACCATTGTAGTCCCCAGTTATAATATCTTTGAAGTCCCTCCCTTTTTTCTCTTGAAAATTTTGGCCCCATTTGAAGACTTTTATAACGTTGTGTACTTGACTATAGCCTTCGAAGTAATCAATGTTGATATCGCCCCATAGCTGCATGTATACGTAGCAGTACCTATGTACTGTTGGCACAAAGGGCAGGCGTCCACGTCACAGGGCACACCTACTGTACTGTGCGGCATGTGTCCAAACACGTGTGAGCAGGTAGATAGAAATGGCTGTGCAATCATGTTGTCTCAATGTTTACTTTGTTCTGCTTCATCCCTCATGTCATGACGTGCCGTTCCGACAGGTGTGTTTTTCCGGGCGGTGAGCAGACGTGTTTTCACTTTTCGCATAGTCTTAAAGATATACAAACTTGACGGCAAAGTATAAAAAGTGAGCTGCTGGAGGCGGTTGCTTAGCCTGGAGTCCAGCCTTGTTAGCTTTGGCCCGCTTCTCAAGATCCGCGGGGTAGCTATAGCGGATCTTGAGGAGCGGACTAAAGCTAACAAGGGTGGACTCCAGGCTAGCAGTTGCTTGCGTATACGTACAGCAGGGCACACAGCATAGTCATCTAGCGATGATACGTTTAAGTGCATCCATGAACGCACGCATGTATTGGTTTTTTACTTGCATGGAGAAAACAAACGTCGACCAACGCATATGTCTTCGTATCCAGTACTTGCTTTGTTTTGGAATATCTTATGGTGTATCCTAACTATGATTATAATTTTTGTACCATCATTTTGCTTCATTAATACGCTATGCTAGTAAACGTACTTTCTGAAAAGCGATGTTTTGTTTCAGTACACAGAAGAGCAGGCCAGCCGACTGGGGCTGGTCGGGTGGGTGAGAAACACCCGCCGAGGAACAGTGGAAGGTGTGGTGCAGGGACAGCGAGAACTGGTCCATCAAATGTGGGTGAACTAGAGCGCTAGAATACATTTAGATACTACAGTAGACAGAAGCTTGTATGATATTTATGTTTACCGAAGGAAAACGTATTGTTTTTGCTTTGTTTCCTCTTCTTCTCCAAACCAATATCAATGTCCTGAACCAAACGTCTGTCACCATGCCAACTAGTGTTGGGTTACATCATGTTGCAATTTTATAGCAGGATGGATTTAGGCTCCTGTCACCATATATATGAATGTGTTTGAGTAAGAATTAATAGAGCAGACCATATGCGAAAGCTTAAGTAGTCTATGTTTGTTTGTTTGTTTGCATTTCTCTATTTCCGTACTTTTGAAATTCTAATATTGATATTTGATTGTGCTCCACCCACAGGAAACATTGGTTAGAGCACACGGGAAGCCCGATGTCCCGGATTTCCAGAGCGACGTTCAGAAACCAGAAAGACATCAGCAAGTTGGAATTCGACAGATTCAAAATAACGTTCTAAAGTCATGATCATAAAACATCGATCGTCAGTCTACGATCATTGGAGCCTCGCCATTATGACAATAGCTGTTTAGAATATCAATACCCATGGACTTTCGGCGTATAGCTGTAGCGACGTACTCGTACTTAAGTTATGTGGAAATGTATTCTGAAAATATCTTGATGCCGTATTAAAGCCGGTTTGTACACTGCATGTCTGTTATGGGCTAATGGAAATACTTAATCTGCTGGTATGATTGAGTTGTACTTCTGGTAAATATAGTGATCATTTTCATAGAAGTTAACTGATGAAAAAAGACATAAAACATGCATACAGACCTGCGCACGTACTGTACGTCGGAAAGCTTTTGAAGTGTTTCCTGTTTGGGAAAAAGGGGTCAAAAGCCATATTTGCATCGTTGCTTATAGACGTGCCCCTGAACTTAACGAGACGAGACGACGTCACCAGGTCACTGTCACCCCGACTCGTCATCATGACCCCTCAGTGCCTCGGATAGTCAGTCTCTAGCCTCTACCGGGCTTCGGGAGGCGGCTGGAAAGAGTAGAAATCGGCCAAATAGAGAGATAACATGCCAGGGGAGTTGGTCCGCTACTCTAACATGTTATCTGTCATCGATTTGGCCGATTTCTACTTTTTTCAGCCGCCTTCCGAAGCCTGGTAGAAGCTAGATAGTCTCTACCCAGGCTCCTTCGGATGATAACTAAACAGCGGGTAGTCTCCTCAGCAGGCTTGTAGGCCTTTTCGGGGCTTTACCACATGTGCTGTATGTCTGCACCCGGTTTCTGACAGCCATAAGCCATCTATACCTCGGCATCTCAAAATCAGAACTGACAGCGCTCAAAGGAAGAGGCCGCGTTGACATACGCGCCAGTGATGATTCGCATGTCTCTGATGTCTGAATGTCTGGAAATCGGCCGCGGGTACCATCAATTCAATCAGAAAGCAGCACATGATAAGCCAAAACAAGAAGTCAAACCGTAAGTCTGCTGAGGAGACTACCCACAGGGCATGGAGGCTAACAAAATGGCCAAACTTTCCATAGCTTCGTCGGGGGGGGGGGGTCAACTGTTGGTCAAGGTGACCCGTTGCAGTTGGCTAACTACTCTGGAAAACTATCCAAGCAGTTTCTAACAATATCAATTTTATAGCATAGTGATACTCGTCAAAGGGTAATTCCTTTAGCAGCCCTACAGGTTGGGCTTCTTTTATTGGAGGAGGTATTATATGCTGTTTTTGATATGATTACAATCATTACATCCACTTTTTGGTAGTCAACTTCCCATAAGGACTGCAACAAAAACTGATACTAGCATAAAATCAGAATACGGCACATGATAAGCCCAAAACACTAAAGCCTAACCCAGGGTACAATCATCCAACCAAAACTAGATTACGGCACATGATAAGGCAACTTGAACACTAAAGCCTAACCCGTGGCCTGCTAAGTAGGCTACATACCCGGGGGGAGGGCATGGTATGCCGTGAATGGTCCACAGACCGCGGGCCCGGGAGTGTGGAGAACCAGCCGTCCCGCTACCGTCCAGCATGGCCGACTTGTTTTCTCTGGACTTCGAGATCTTCGGTCTGGTGACAGGTAAGGGAACGTGTGCTCCTTCTAATTGCCTTATAGCCTTATAGATGTTATTAAATCCGTTAAGCTTTGTAGATACTAACGATACACGAAGAAGAATAGCTGTACTGAGGCGAACATCTAGTAGAAACATTTTAGAGAAATCAAAATTCTGATTGCTATGTGGTACAATTTATTACAATGTAGCTTTCGATAAAAGACGATCGGGTGAACAATATATCACATTATAAGCACACCTAACCCGTTAAAATTATTGTAAACATACAAAATCCCTGGCCTCCTACAATGTATTGCCGATAGTGATTGGTGTAAGTGGGGACATAACATCACGCCCACCGGTATCTGGTGGTTTATGGCACGCCACGGGAGAGGATAAATGGTAAGGCGAGAGGGCGGGGCCATGTTGTCAACACTGACGGCCGGCCCAAATAAGGGCTATAGGGTCAAGGTGAATCGCCAGTTACGAGGTCTTGTGCTTGGCAATATACTAGTACTGTGGTTGTTACTGCATATATACGTGAACTAGCTGCACTTAATAATTGATATCATTACTTTAACCAAAGAGAGATTTAATCAGAGTCACATCTAGGCTACAATTTTTTTATTTTTGTGTGAAATGTACAAATTAATCTTTTCTTATTGAACTTTTCTGCCATCGCCCGTGGCGGTCCGACGAAAAGGTGTTTTCTTCAGAATGGTGAGTACCACATATCTGTTACAATATTATGGTGATGGATATCACGTTTGCTTTTGCATGCTGCGGAACCATAGAAAGCCACTAGGATACCTATAATTATACTTGTCTTTCGCTGTATTGTAACTAGGATGTTAAGTTTCATTTTGTAGCTTTTTCGTATGGTACTATATGTTCAAAAGGCATACATTCTACCATGTGCAAGTGTCGCACAATAAAGTTCTTCTATAATATATGAATGAGTATCTCCGATGGCGTTGTGTTTCAGCAAGCTGGAACATAAAAAATTCCGAATAAGCTACTGAGTTAATTGTACAGCAATGTAGAGATACGGAGTTGTGGATGAGAAATATTAATATTGTTGCCTTCATTTGACGCTATGATATGTGTGGGCCAAAGAACAAATGTTGAAGATAACATTTTTACATTGTAACAAATACAATTGTCGCGTAATGAAGTTCTCTTATGAATGATAATCTCCGATTTCCGTTGTGTTCCAGCACGCGGAGCAGGAGGCGGTGAGACTGGGGCTGGTGGGCTGGGTGAAGAACACGTACCACGACACGGTGGTCGGGCAGGTACAGGGGCCGACAGACAAAGTACAGGAAATGTGAGGATCCTACACTCACTTACACGCCTCAAAAATCTTTATCTTTTCACCAGAGATTTCTATTCAACTTTTGGTAAATATGAAAACATCAATCGTATACATGTACGTCTACGCTTTTTTTTCAAACTAGATGGCATTGTTAAGAGTCTGTTTTGTCTTAAAATACATGTAGTCTCGGACATTTGAAAGTTATCTTGAAGAGAAGTGTCTTGCAATAATCTTGTAATCAGTGACGTCTTGCGTCATACTATAGTATGTCTAGTATAGGAGCATGTCTTCAGAACAAAGTTGAACCTTAATTGATTATCTGAAGTTTATTAGAACTCTACCTTCATGGATCCTTGATCACAGTTACCAGTTATTTTACATGTCTTGCGCTGTATATTTAGGACACATTGATTGTAAAACAGCATATCCTTGATATAGGCATAAAAACATTGACCATACGGTTTACCTAAGTAATGACAACAGTTTCCCTACAGGAGGCAGTGGTTGGCCACCAAAGGAAGCCCGTTCTGCAGAATCGACAAAGCGCAGTTTAACAACGAAAGACCAATCGGCAAACTGGAGCACGAGAAATTCCGAATAAGCTACTGAGCGAAGTGTACAGCAATGTGGAGATACGGAGATGTGGATGAAAAATATTGTTAGCTTGATTTGATGCTATGACATGTTTGGGCCCAAGAACAGATATAGAAGACAGGGAGGAACATAGTATTTTATTGTTGGGCGCTAAGCCACATGACAAGCAGAAAATTACATACAGAAACCTTAAGGGGAAGTCTCCTTGGAACTCGAAAAAAGTCTTATGTGTAGGTCTTACTCTATCTGTTGACTTTTCTATTGCCTGTTATATTGTCATGATCGCTGTTGCTCCAATTTTTATACCATTCCGTGTACCATTATGCAATGATATCGTAAAAACTCATGACATTCTTATTACTAGTCTGCTGTCTGCTATCATTGAATGGAGGTCAGGATAGCTGTGTGTAAAAATCTGTGTGAACTGTATAACACTTCAGTGAACCACACTGAAGAGGCTTGATTAACAAACTCACAAGAAAACCATATGTAAACTGTGAAGATTTTGAATTCATCAAAACACACAATATCAGAAGCAATTTATTAATTTCTTAGGCTATAATAGCAATTTTCCTTACTTATGGTGTCTCTTTTACAGGAGTTTGCATGCAGCATTAGAATTCTTAAGAATACAATTTTCCTGCAGAATAATAGAAATGTTTTAATGTATTATGTACATCAGAAATGTAGCAATTGATGTTCTATGATTCCCAAGCATAGCCTAATACATATAATACATGTTCTACAACCACCATACACAGCCAGCACACATAAATCATCCCTTTCTCGTACCACTTCTAGATATTGATATACTCTGGGGTGAAGTCAAATATGAATTGCCTGAAAAAATCTCATTTTGTACACTTTATTACAAATGAATTTTCTATCAACAAGATCTAATTTTTGTTGTGCCCTTATGAAAGTCAATGCCCGCCAATCAGCAAAGTTTACAGAATGCTTTGTCTACAGTACATGTATATCATACTGTACTGTAAAACTAAGAGCCTTGGGAAGAAATGTCTCTCATGAATGTCCGTTGACAACAGGGGCCTGCGCCAACACATCGTCAGGCTGCAGAACGCCGCAGTCTTCGACCCTACAGTCCGCCTTCGGTCTCTCATTGTACGTCGGCTGGTCCTCCAACCTCTGCAGCAGGGCAGTGCCTTCAATCAGTTGTCTGGAACAGGAAAGGAGGAATGAATGAAAAATGAATGAATGAACAAACAAATGAACGATCGAATGAATGAATGAATGAAAAGTGAATGAGGAAACAGAATAAGGAAAGGTTAAAACATTAACCAACAACACTCTGATTCCAGTATAGAAATGTGGTAGTTTGGCAACTTTGAATGTTATAATTTCTAACTGTGTAAGTTGAAGACCTAAAAACCTACCCAAAGGCCACATATTTGGTGTTCATCCATGCTGTAGGCTGCATGGTGATGTAGAACTGTGACCCATTGGTGTGTCGGCCCTGATTCGCCATCCCCAGGACACCCCGTCTGTCGTGGGGCACCGCAAAGTTCTCGTCTGGGGAAGACAGATTCAGATTTAATCATTCAGTTTTCTCTTTTATAACTTCAAAAGTGAAAAGGAATGAGGTCACACTTCTGCAGACCACAAAAACTACACAACAGGGGATTCCATCATTGTTCACATTCAAACATGTTCTGAAACTGTACTTTGTGCTCACATGGATCACAATCAAATGCATCTGTACTGAGACTGTTTGAAAGTGTTCTAATGTTAACAAAAATGATGCTGTGGACTGTTATGTCGACTTGACTGAAAGTTTCACAAACCTTCAAAAACTGGTCCATAGATGGATTCTCCAGCATCCCCTCTTCCATTTGGTACATCTGTGAGAAAAACACAAAACATATAAAATGGTCCCTTCATAATAATACTAAGCTGCATGAATCAAACACCATGCTGCTTAAAGTTACTAGTGTATTTAAGTCACACAATGCAATTCATAAACCCACCTCCTCCCTGTATCCATCCATTCTTGACTGTTCTGTGGAAGATTGACCCTTTGTAGTGAAGGTCAATGTTGGTGTCCTTGGAGCGACCTTTCTCCCCCGTGCAGAGAGCTCGGAAGTTTTCACACGTCTTCGGCACCTTGTCTGTGTACAGCTGTGGAGAGGGGAGACAGACATGCATCAGAATACCTTCAACTGGGTCTTCACAGTAGGACATTTTATCTTTCAATACTAGTAGTTTAGGGGCCTCTTTATGATATACGATATAGTTCTGAAGAACATTTGGAGTTACAGAAGATGGTAAGAAAAGTAGAATAGTGTAGAATAGAGCAAGGTGGGGCAAGAGAGAGAGGGAGAGAGAGAGACAGGGAGAGAGAGGGAGAGAGAGAGAGACAGAGAGAGAGAGAAAAGAAAATAATAAAATTCAATGAATGAGAGAAAGATTTCTCCCTTACCTCAAACAGTAACCTCCCTGCTGCCTCCCCTCCAATGGAAATGTCCAGGTACACAAATGTTCTCTGGAAGGAGACATACTGTAAGTTAGCAAATAGCACAGAAACAACCATGACCAAATAACGAGATGCTACCATGTCTTTGCAACATGTCTTGGCGGGAAGACGGAATATGACTCCGTCGGTTGACGAAGGTTGACGAGATCAACCAAAAATTTATGGTGAGTTTACTTTTTGTGTTGGAACAAAGCTTAAACTCTATTATAACTATGTCTTTGCAACATTAAGATACAATGGCCTTAAAATGTCTCTATACAAAGCTTGTAGTTTTAAATACAGGGAACAGATGTAACAACCCACTCTATGTAATTACAATCATGGCAACCAACTTGCCTGGTTACCAAATGTATTATAGCTCCCGAGTCCTACATCCTCTCTGCAAATAGAGGTAGGAGAGGATAGGTAAGGGAAGGGAGCTATAATAGGTTTTGTAACCATGCTAGCAATCAACTGCTTAAAACTTAGCCAAGAAAGACCACTATTATATAAAACTGACCCCGTTGCTGAGCCTGTTTTTGTAGGCCTCCTCCGCCAGGGCCAGGTACAGGGCCGGAGGTCTGAAATCCTGGTATTCGTGGTTGTCCTGTGCCCACTTGATCAGTTCCTGGTGTCCGCCCAGCATCTGGCCGTTTGCGAAGGAGATGATCTTTTCCTGGAATGCCCACGTCTCACCTTTCAGTTCCTGGAAGTAAGAGGTATAATCGTCAGAGAGCACTATAGGTATCTAGTACATGTACCACCATACCATGATACATGTATCATAGTTTAAATATACATGTATCTAATTCCAGACTATTTACACCAAAAAAAGGTGCCATTTTACTAGTAGTGTAACTTTTTTTTGGTTTACTGCTTAGGGCCTTCAATCCGTGGACCTTTACTTTTTCAACTGAAAATCTGAATAACTTCAAAGTTGAAGTACCTTCCTCTTGGACTGCAAGTATTCTTCCCATTCAAACTCCACCATAGGTCGGATGTCGGGAGCTGAAAACTTCTCTGGCATCTTTTGGTGCAGAGCCTGAGGGAAAACATGAAAAAGTGATCATTATACGTCCTGGCAATGCTTGTCAACAGTAAACATTAGATTTAGCATGAAAGTTCATTTGTGTTGGTACAAGTCATTATGAAATAAAGACTAAGCTTTTAATAACTTCCAACACTTAGATTACGGAATTGGGACTGAGTCAACCGAAAATTTGGGTAAGTCCCAAATCCGTAATCTAAGTGTTGGAAGTTAAAGCTTAGTCTTTATTTCATAGACTTGTAAACATTAGAGTTTGAGTCGCAAAAATTATGTTGTGGTTCAATGGGGGAGGGGGGCGACTTCTGATCTCGATAAACAAAGGGAAAATTGACCCAAATAAGGGTGTAGCCGTTCATAAAACTGTTCTTTCGTTTCCTAAGAACTTCTTGTAAGTCATGCTCACCTCGGCGCAAGCTTTGGCGATGTGGAAAGTCTCATCCTGTAGGAGTCCGTACACCTGGAGGTGCTGTACCTGCGCGTCCGCCGCCATCTTGGTTGCTAAGACGACATCACGGCTCCACACAACCTATCCCACAATGCTTTGGAACCCTGCAGGCGGACATTTTGAAATGTAGATTCTTGGTGTCTGCCAGGATTTTAATGCATTTATCCCCAAAAGTGAGTCGATCGGTTTCCTTTTTACGTTTAAAAAATGTAAAGAATCTCTGAGTCTGACGCTTATCGTATCTTTTTATTACTACTCCTGTCTTGAAAGGTAGAACTAGAACAGCAAAAATACTAAGAATCGTGTGGGGAGGGGGGCGTGTACAGGACTAAGGACCCAACAGGCAAATGCTCCATGTATTATCCCTTATGCAACTTCAATATAGGATAAGGGTTATTGATGGCAAAGTTACTTTAGCCTCTACGTCGGGAGGCGGCTGGAAAGAGTAGAAATAGCCCGGGTGTGGCAAACTGTTCTCCCCATGCTGCAGACCAATCTCTCTATTTAGTATTTGGCCGATTTCTACTCTTTCCAGTCCCCCCCCCCCCAAAGCCTGGTAGAGGCTCTTTAAAAGCAACTTGGCTTGTAACATGTCATGTTAACAGTATCTGTTTCTCATTTCTAAATCATGCTCCACTGAACCTTACACAACCACCATGATGATCAGTGGCAGAGGGCCCAGCCACTCCTGTCAGCTCTACATCCACAGTCCACAACGAGAAGTCCTTCTCTTATCTCCCACAGACGTACTGGGGACTGGACCCTCTGCACCGAGCCTACGTCAAGATGTTCGTCCGAGATGTCTTGGAAATGGACATCTACCCCGGCCACCCCACCCTGAACGTCTACGCGTACAGGAATCATCCCATCAGTCGTGTGGACCTGCTGGGGTGGGTGGTTCGTGTGGAGGAGAGAGAGAAACTGTTCAACTATGCCATCGATGACGGCACAGGTTTGTTTATTTAGGAGGCTCCCATTATTGATAATACATCACTATTGAGTCTATTCTTCCTGAAGTCCTCTTACATATAATACAGCATTAACATCTGTGTCCATAATATCACCATAGTCCATAATATCGCCACCTTGAGAAAAAGTGTGCTTAAAGATATTTTTACTACACATGTACATTTGAGGTGTGCAGGAGTGCATACCAAACGTATGTTGCAGTAAAAATATCTTAAAGCATGTACTGTTTCTCAAGGTGGTGATATTATGGACCCTGGTGATATAATGGACACAGATGTTATATTAATAACTATTATTTACATACACTTTTCACTACTTTCACAGGTGTGATCAGCTGTACCTGCTGGAAACCCAGAGTCCCCGTTAATACAGAAGAGGATATTGATTATGCTACACCTGGAACGTCGACAGAGCAAGAAGCAGCAGAGCAAGAGTTTACAGAGTTCTTAGCCTTAAAGACGCGGGAGATTAAGAAATGTGTCCGTGAGCTGAGACAGCCGGTGAAGCTTAGAGACTTGCTTCACGTCCGAGGACGGATCAAGTCATACCGCGGCAGAAGGGAAGTTGGCGCGGTGTATTTCCGCTGCGTCGATGACCCAACGTGCTCGGTGGAGATAAACAGAACAATGGAGCAGCTTCAGTTGTATCAGGATTTCTACGATGTCCCGTTTCAGCCGCCAGGGAGTCAGGAGGGGGAAGATGATACAGAGGCAGGTGTCGTGAAAGCCCTACAAGACGCCATCGCAGACTTTCTTAGCGCAAACAGCGCTGTCTTAAACTTTGACATTAAGGAACTGGCCACAGTGGACAGTCTTATGTCAGTTGTACAGAAAGCACAAAAGGAAAACAATGCTACAATGAATGCAAAAGAAGTAAATTCTCTCTTTACCCAGGCTGTTGGGGGTCTAGCAGACCTGGGTATTGTGTACAAACGGAGTGACAAGGACAGCCTTTATGTAGTTATTGACAGGGACTCTGCCCTGGAGTCGGCTGTGTTAGATATCGTGAGGCGAGAGAGTCAAAACCCAAAGTACTCGGAGTCAGGGTGTCACTATCTGCATGTTCTGGACTGTTTAAGGATGAAGCACAGGTTTTCTGGTGTCAGCCCCAAAGTTGTGGGTCGTATCTTAGACAAGTTGGAGTCACAGAGTGACATCATCAGCACATCAGAAAACCACTACATAGCCTTCTAGTATAGTCAGGATTACCTTAAAATTACACAAATGGAAGAACTGTATCTTATTTATAATATTTTAGTACATTGAGATTGTCTTGATCTAGATGTCTATTTCCAACAAATAATAAAACTGATAACAATATTGTTTCAGTCTGTATTATCTTGTTTATTACCTACTATGTTTTAAGAGTACAGACACATCCATAGAAGATATGTCAGACTTTGACTGAGTCTCATGGTGATCAAAAAGGGCCAAATTTCATTTTTTGGGGGGGGGGGAAGGAATGCACTTTTATTTACTGTTGTTTGTATTGAAAAATGTATTCTGCAAAGACTTTGTGTATACTGGTAATACTTTTATCAGATTCCTATAGTCAGCCTCTTTCTGTGTGTGTGTGTGTGCATGAGACTCTGTTTCTTTGATGTTGGTTTGTTTATACCTGGGCAGTATGTAGTTAAGGCTGCAGGTGTTATTCTTACAGGTGCCACAAGTGGTCTTACAACAGTCAGCTGACTTCACGTTACCTTCACGTTTCCTTGTTTTCTTAAATAATGGACTCAAGTAGTAGTGAACAACAACAACCTGTTGGACAATGGTTTCAAGTGGAAGTAAAAAGTAGCCGGCTCTTGTGTGAGGTGTCTGCTGCGTTGGCTAATGATGGGAAAACCATGTCGGTGGGGGATTTCTAGAGATTTCTATTGAGTTGTTATTGCTGCTATGGCGTCATGGAGTGTAGTTTGCTCAGTCAAACCAAGGACATTCCGTCAGAGGCCTTGGTGAAGCGTACACAGTGATGTGGAGGAAGTATATTTGTGTCGCATTCTAGGGAATAATATTGTCAGACAGTTGAAGGTAAGGTTGACTTTGTTTGTTACATACAGTAATTAGTTATAGCTGTTGAAATCGAATACTGATTTTAGTACATTGTAGTGTAGTTTGAAGACCAGTTCTGAGTAAAACTAAAAGAAGGCTATATGCTTACGTCTGTTTTATCAACAACCTGTTCTTGCAAATTTGATAGGTTTTTGTGAATCTATGATGGTATTATTGGTTAGCTATCCCATAGCTTGACGCACTTACAAAGGATGGTTGAGTATAATCTGTCCTGGGCAGTCGCACCCTGGTCTTTGCCGATAACGGAAGTCTGAAGGGTTCAAGGCGTGGCACTCTTTAAACCAACAACTTAATTTCAACACCTGCAAAAACATTGTTGCCCCCTAAAGTAACGTGTACGCGTATGTGTGGAGCCAGAACCTCACCATTGCGCCAAAGATTTTTGAAAGGCTCCAGAGTTCATACCCTTATTTCCATTAGAAATTTGTGGTCTTAAGCACCCTACTGTCCTCCCAGACGCCCCGTTGAGCGCTATGGGCTGCTGCGGTGACTGCTGTAACTGCTGCTGCGGCTGGCTCTGGGCAGTCTTCTGGTTCTTCGTCATCGTGCTGGTGGGCATCCCGGTGGCGCTGTGGCTGTCGGTGGGTATAAACTCACTCAGCCTGCTTTTATATAACAATAATACTTGTGTGAAAAATGCCTGTCTTCATATGTCTTCGTTCTTTAACACTACAGTAACTGAATCTTAGAGCGTAGCTTTGACAGTGACTTAATTTCTTAACTCAGTTAACAGTTCATTTTGTTGTATTCTATTTCACTTCACTTGGATTTTCTATAGTTTGACTATCACGGGATAAAGGCCCGTGACCTAACTTTCAACTACAGGTATTATTAGAGACAGTGGCTTTTTTTTTGCCACCACTTGAAACCAGGGCGTACCTCAAACCTTAGTCCTTTGTTCTCGCAAACTACAGATACTGTCAATGCCAAGTGTACGTTTTCTCCATTTACGCCTTCTGTCTCCATCCTGCAGGTGCTGTACGTGCTATTCCTGCCCTTCATCGCGTGCTGTGACTGCTGTCAGGGCTGTGCCGAGGCGCTGCTGTCCGGGATCCACCTGCCGCTGGCCTACGCGCGCTTCATGCTGCACCAGCGCAGTCTGTGCCGCGTGTGCTGCGGACCACAGGAGTGGCCATGAACTCAGAAGTGGCAAGGAATTGGAAATCGTAGAGCAAAACCTACCAAAAAACTTACCAGAGCAATGTGGTATCAACTAGATATCACTTCTAATGTTTCACTGTGTTTTCAAACTAGGTTTGAAAATTCCCTTTGGTCTACTATGTCCAATTTCGTATATATAATATATACCTGAACTAATCTCCTAGCAGATCTTAGGGTTAGAAAACCAGTTACCGCGATGACCCCCGGATTTAAACATACTCTCATAAGTTGGCAAGCTAAGATTTAAAAGAAATGTATAGCAACTCTATATCATAGAGAAATGTATAGAATTTTCCTATTTTATACCACGATATGATACCCGTGTGTGAGCTAGAGATGGTTTGTAAATATTGGACAATATCTCTAATTGTTCCTGTATCTTATTTTGTTCCCACATATCTATTACGTACGACTGATACCGACTTGGCCTTTCATTTTATTGTGAATATAGATTTGCAGTGTTTTGTCCGGATCTTGATGCACGCACGTCTTGTTTCCGGCGTTCACTTCTTACCGAAGAAGCCAACTGAAAATGAAGCACACAATTAAACTATATCAAGACTAGAGTTCCACGATCTCATACCTTCGCCAAATGATGTTAGCCTTTATGAATAAGAAATATACTAATCACCCAGATTATGCAAATAGCATCCTCAATTGCATGAATTATATCAGTCTGTTGATCATATTCTCCACCAAAAGACAGTCTTATCTTAACAAAGAATGCCATTTTCTCATAAATTATGCAAATGTGGTCCTTATTTGAATAAGTTATGTTTAATTATGTTCACCTTCACTTAACTTTCAAACACCCGAAGTATGAAACTCCAGGCAGTTACCACTATGCAATTATAACATTTTCTTATTAATTATGCAAATTAAGTCTTCATTTGCATAATCGATATTTGCCTGTGTTTCTCTCGTTCTTAATAACATATGTTACAAGCTTGAACTTACTATCATGGAATGCAGCTGATTTATAGAATTTCCTCATTAATTATGCAAATTACATCAATATTTGCATAATTGTACTATCATTATGTCAAGCATCACTTAAGCTACCTACATACCAAAAATCACGATGATCCATCAATCGGTTCTTGAGTTATCCTCTTTTAAACGTTTGTCCTTTAAACCCCCCTGCAGTTCTAGAGCAAGCAACTAGGGGGCTCATACTCATGTCACTTCATCCTCAGCACAAGAGCTATCTACCATCTAAATTTCGTCACCCTAGCATGTCTGGATCATGAGATATCAAAACCGGAAGTTCTGTTGCAGTACCATAACATGCCGCCAGGGGGCCCAAAATCTAATCATTTTGAGGTCTCATCAAGACCTACCCACCTACCAAATATCAAGTCAGTCCATTTAAGCCTTCTCAAGTTATCGTGTTTACACACACACACACACACACACACATACACGAACGCCTCTGAAAACATAACCTTCTTGGCGAAGGTAATAAAACATGGGTAGCCGTTCTTATGTAATCATTTTACTGCAGTAAATATATCGTGACTTACTTAAAAACTGTACACACGCACATACGCACAATATCTAAGTTCATAACACTAAGCTTTTATGTAGAACAATATCCTTATGGAACAAGCTTCAACATGATTTAATACTTCCCTGATGGGTATTACCCTTAACACTTAAGACAAAAGTAAGCAGACCCATGTCATTATATTCATGCTAGGGTAACCCAAAATTTCTTGTTGCTGACAATGAGTCTTGTTTTTGTGGTGAACCGAAGAAAGATAAGAAAATAAATCTACCGCGGCGGCATGTGAAGCTGTCTCCGGACCAGGTGCCGTCCTCCTGGCAGGTCCTGGCCACGATTCTTTGATCGCCGGAGACGGGAACCCACCCGAACCAGCAGCGGAAGTAGCAGGTTTCCCCGTGCGTGTAGGGGTACATGCAGCCCGTAGCTATCGTGCCCTGGACGTAAGGTCGGAATCCGCAGTCTTCAACAAACAGAAACAAGAAAAATCGGACATTTCAGAGAAATTCAGACTTTCCGGCCATACCGGGTCACAAGTCTGTCAATCAACTGAAACACAATCTCCGCCCACCCATTTTCACTAATGAAGGCAGGACTCAGTAGTCTTCAACAAACAACAAAAAATCGGACATTTCAGATTTCCGGCCATATACCGGGTCACAATTATGTCAATCAACTGAAACACAATCTCTGCCCACTCCCTTCCACGCATATGCTGAGGACCATATACATACAAATTCCTTTTAATGCTAAAGGTCTACAATTCCTAGCCGTTTGGGTAGTTTCTAGGAAATTATGATATAAAAGGCAACAAGCACAAAAAAATTAATAAGAAAACTAATAATGAGCTCGAGTACAGTGCCAGATATATCTGAGGCTTACCCGAACCTCCACCTCCCATGAATTGCCAGAAGAAGAAAGCGTCGGACTGCAAGGCTAGAGTGGCCACTAGAACCACCAGGAGGACTGCACGGGAACTGAGAATGAGATAAACACTACGTGAACAAATCGTTTTCCATATTGTCTTTGGATACATAAGTTTTATAATACGGTGGAGTATATTCCATGGACACAATCAAAGTCGACATTACCGTACGATACAATACAATACAAGATATATTTTCAATGAGTTATGTTAAGGCTGTTTCAGCGTCATTTTCCCTGTTCCATCAGGGTCAGGGTAAACCACAAAGCTACTATCCTTTCATGACAAACGGACTGTTTGTATATAAATTTTTCTTGCCTGGCACGAAAGGGAGCAAGCGTAAGACAACAGGCAAACCATGTACAGTGACAAGCAGCGCAACAACACTGCTGGTGAGGCCGAGGACGCAGATCATGTGAGGACACAGAGTGAGTGTCCTTGGTGACTGACCGGACTGGTTTGCGTCTGGCCAGCTGCAGAACAGCGTCCATGGCTGACGATTTACGAAACACTAACCTTACATATCTCGTGTTTTTCACATTATAGGGAACCAAACTCACCTCATATTGTCGCACGGGTGTAGCGTGTGGTTCTAGGTTACAGTATCAGCAGGCTATGTGGCGTCTGCTGTGATAAAACTCAGGAAGTCTTCTTGTGTTACAGTAGTGTCGCCAACCCGGCGGGCAGGTAGCTAGAGATGATTGTGATCGTCATCAGAATATCAAAAGACGGGTGATCGGACGTCACTAACTGCTGCAGGGCATCAGTGGTCGCTACGCAAGTTGGAAGGGTGGGGCCTGGGATAGTCTCCACCAGACTCCTTTTGCAGGCCGAATAAATAGTAGAAATCGGCCTAAAAAGGGATATCATTGGCCAGAGGAGATGGCCGCCGATAGTCTCCATTTTTGCCTGCACGGACATGGAGATTCTACCGGCGGCCCCATCTCCTCTGACCAGTGATACCCCTTTTTAGACCGATTTCTACTCTTTATTCAGCCTGCAAAAGGAGTCTGGTGGAGACTAGGTCTGATAGACCTGGGCGTTGGACTGAGCGGATGTGTCTGTAGTGTTTTATCAGAGGCTTCTTGGAAGTCGGGGCGTTGGAAGGGAAAGGTCTCTTGGAAATCTCCACAAACCATTGAAATTAAATGCTTGGTGCTCACAGACACCTCTTTGTAGTGACCACAAGAGAGATTTTTTCGAGTTGGTATGACCTAGTGAGTGAGTGAGTGAGTGAGTGAGTGAGTGAGTGAGTGAGTGAGTGAGTGAGTGAGTGAGTGAGTGAGTGAGTGAGTGAGTGAGTGAGTGAGTGAGTGAGTGAGTGAGTGAGTGAGTGATGAAGACATTGTGATAGGGATATACATAGACATAATCGAGAGTCGTCAAAGAAAAGTGAGGACTGATGGCCGTCTGTACTATTATCTAACTTGCGTGCCATCCTGCGCTGCTGGTGTCCGCCACACTTCCTGGTCATGTGTCTAAAGCCAGCCGTCGCCCACAACGATTGTCGTGCGATCGTATACTGTCGTCAGTCTAAAGTCGGCCTTATACAAGAAAGCAAATCTTAACAGTGTTTCGGTGGTCGCATGTCAACTATTTGATGGCACAAAGACTAAAGGGCTAGCTACCTGTTGTAAACATATTCAGCATATTCGAGGAATATCCTACAGCACACTTTGCATTTAATAATCTTTGCATTTAATAATCGACGACGACAATAGCAACAACAACGACAGCAAAAGTGCCTCAAGGAGAACTGTACTAAACAGTTACAATATTACAGAGTGCACGACCAATTACGAGGTGACCTTTTCTTCGGTCCCCTGTGTGGCGGCCTTGGGCAGTTTTGACTATATACATGTACTCACAGGAGTAATTTGTCTACGTAGTTCTTGAATATTCAATGTTTAATACGTTCCAGTGCCAAAGCCAGTCGCAGACACCGACGTGCCCTGCCCCACCGCGGTCAACACGGGTACTGCAGACCATGCTGTCTCAATCAGCCCACCAAGGCTATGAGAACCACACAACTGACTAGGTCCTTTCCTTTGAGAACCTATGGCATTTTGGAAAGCTGACATTTAAGATTTAAGCACGGTTTGTATCACTTTTTAATCGAAATGATTCAATTCAAGATGGGTTAAACACATACGCCTACGTACACGTTAACAAACACCACAAAAACAACAACGACGACGACGACAATAGCAACAACAACGACAGCAAAAGTGCCTCATGGAGAACTGTACTAAACAGATACAAGATTACAGATTGCACGACCAATTACGAGGTGACCTTTTCTTCGGTCCCCTGGGTGGCGGCCTTGGGCAGTTTTGACTATATACATGTACTCACAGGAGTAATTTGTCTACGTAGTTCTTGAATATTCAATGTTTAATACGTTCCAGTGCCAAAGCCAGTCGCAGACACTGACGTGCCCTGCCCCACCGCGGTCAACACGGGTACTGCAGACCATGCTGTCTCAATTGCCCACCAAGGCTATGAGAACCACACAGCTGACTAGGTCCTTTCCTTTGAGAACCTATGGCATTTTGGAAAGCTGACATTTAAGATTTAAGCACGGTTTGTATCACTTTTTAGTCGAAATGATTCAATTCGCGATGGGTTAAACACATACGCCTACGCACACGTTAACAAACACAACAAAAACAACAACGACGACGACGACAATAGCAACAACAACGACAGCAAAAGTGCCTCATGGAGAACTGTACTAAAAGTTACAATATTACAGAGTGCACGTCCAATTACAATGTGACCTTTTCTTCGGTCTCCCGGGTGGTGTCCTTCGGCAGGTTTGACTATATACATGTACTCACAGGCGTAATTTGTCTACGTAGTTTTTGAATATTCAATGTTCGCCCGCACGTATAGAGACTACGACTGGTGTCTCTACGTTTGATTATTCAGCTGACTCATTTGCATTCCTCTTGCATAGGACTATAACTGATCACTCTGTCTTTCCGCGGGGCACACAGAAGAGCGGTCTACACTAAAATAAGGAGCCCGGACGAGGCTAACTGAGCCAAGCCGCCGCGCCACAGGACCAGGACTAGGTCAACTTTGAGTACGCTCAGAACAAGATGGGCCTGGGGCAATGCAGGATGTCGTGATGCCCCCACGGCCACGACCTCTGAGGTGGGAGACGAGAGTAAGTGAGTGAGATGTTTAAAAACAGAGTGCTGCCGGCGAAAACATATTGGACTGAGTCAGGATAGAGATGGGAGCTGTGGGCAGCCTGCAGGCGTTTTTGGTCGTTGTCACCATATCCATTGTCGTCTGGGGCGAAGCCTTACCACGAGACTGCATCTGTCCGAAGAGATCGACGTTCAGCTCACTAGAAGTTAAATGTACGGACCGTGGGCTGACCGCCTTGCCCGACAACATCCCGTCCCAAACGTATCTCCTGTATCTGTACAACAACAGGCTCCAGCAGGTCGCCTACTTCCCGCCGCTACCCAGGCTGTACACGCTAGACCTCAGTGACAATCTTATCGAGACCGTGTCGTGGAGCTCGCTCTGTAACCTACCGAATATGCGGTATCTTATCTTAAAGTCAAACAGGATAACGAGTGTCAGGTTAGCCGCCTGTATCACGCGTCTTACACAACTGTCGATGGTAGACCTGTCGTGCAACAGGATCGCGACCGTAGCTGAGGGTGACCTGGGGGTCCCTCACATCCAGGCCACAGTCTCCCTCCACCACAACCCTTTCCACTGCGACTGTGAGCTGCGGTGGCTGATCGCCAAGCTGAAATGCCTGCAGAATCACCCTGGCAGAGGCTTAGCATCTGATCAATGCGATGCCACGTTTCTCCCCAGTAATTTAGGCGGCCACCGCTGCAGTTCACCCGCCAAGTTTCGAGAAAGGCCGCTTGCGTCTGTTTCTATACCGTCGTCAAAGTGCGAGTCACCGGTACGTCCTTCAACAACTTCTTCTCCCATTAAACCAAACGGCGGAGACACGGGGACGATCAAGAGCACAAGATCGTATGGCTTGATACGAAGTATCCCTACACTGGCCGGTTCGACGCAACAAATGGCTAACACTACATTTGAAGAAGACGACGCGGTGACGGAAGTCGTTTCTGAAACTCTGACCATTCGATCCGGCAACATCACCGATAAGGAAGTTGTATCGGTCAGCAATGTTATGTGGAAGAGAGATGAGTCATTGATTGAGACTGTCATCGGTGTAGTGTTAGCCATCAGTCTAGGTTGTCTGATGTTAAAGCTCGTCAAAAACCGGTACAGAATTTAGTCCACTACAGACTAGTATACAATAACATGGACACTAGACATCAAAACCCAAGCCGGAAGAAGTGAGAGAAAGTGTAGAAAACTACTAGTATATGGAAGCCAACATCAACTGCACCAGCCATAGTCTTAGACTACACCTGTACATACGTCTATAGAATCGCTCTGGTACCGGTGTTGTAAACAATACGTGGCGTATAGGTTTCTGAGACCGAACGGAATTTAACATGATAAGCCTATCTGTTAGTGTGTTTCGTTGTGACTGACGAATAACCAAACAAATAATTTATTGAAGCAAATGATGATTCTTGAAGGTGATACAGGCTATCTTTACCTTTACCCTTAGGCTTTATCCTACAGGCTATCATCTTTATCTCATGTGCATAGGGTAGCCTGGCCTTCGTGGCCACTTTTGTCAGGCTATTGTATTTTCCCCGTATTGATTAACATCGGTGCTAACTCATAACAGACCTCGACATGTACATATTCTTCCTTGTATATCTAGGCACTGTAGCAATAAAGAATATCTTGGTGGTGACAGAACTTTGTCTCAGTCTGGCTGCTTTCTTCTAAACCGCAGATATTTGTGTGTTTTACGTCCCTGTGTAGAATAAGAAGATGAAACGTAGTTTGTTTTCCAGAACTACAGGTTTGCGCGTCAATATATCACAACTATAAACATCTTGCAAATGTCACACCTATATTATATTAACAAAACATCAAAACGGCGGGCCTGTGTGTGTGCGAAAATGTACAACAGATCAATGAATACAGATAAACGTGAGATACATGTATATACCTGTATCAATCGATATCTGATGGAGGAAGAATCACAGACTACATTTATATAAAATCCATCGCCACAACTGAGTAAAAATTCAGTCACACAAAATTTCTTTCAATTCTGTATCAGTCTACACAGCCGTGGCCATTCGTTCTTTGCTGAACTAAGGCGAACGCGAAAATTGCGAGAACCGTTGTCGTAGACGCATGATGAAAGGTATAAAGTATACACATATACAAGTAGATCCCCTTTTATTGACAGACGTATATGTAGGCGTAACACTGTAGGCCTGGTGCCAGACAGGATACGATACGTGGCAATCTGATCCATAAACAGGTACCTGGGGAGGCCCGATCCAGAGGACGACAGAAAAAAGATCCAACGGACAAGGTTACGACGGTGAAAACTTCTACTCAACCTACTCAAGTTGTACCAGTGGCCTAAGGAGGGTCCCTGTGCCTACAGAACTTTCCCAGCGCGCCCCGACAGTCGGTAACCGTTCCTGACGCAGCGATGCCCCGTCTTGTGGTCGGTGTTCTCCTCCTGGTGGCCGCCGGACTGCTGAGTCTCCGCCCGGTCTCCGCAGACGAGGACCACGTAGAGGGCGAAGACCACGTAGAGGGCGAAGAGCACGTAGAGGGCGAAGAGCACGCAGAGGAAGAAGAGCATCACGAAGAGCACGGACACGAACACGCGGAGGAACACGCGCACGGTACGACTCCAACATCTAATCATCTCGGGGGTTTTGTCAGGGATTAAGTGGCTCTAGTTTTTGTAGATTGGTCACCGCGGGGGATTGTCATTTTAAATCATAAATCTAGGACACGTAATCCAAACTTTCTCCAGGTATCTGATGTCTAATCCTGGTAGGCTGATGTTTGACGCAGTAAAACATGTAAGGAAAGAAAACTGGAATACTGACGACGATGTAACATGATGACATGGTAATAGATTTGATCAACAAGGCGGGCGCCCACCGAAATGTTGTTCCGGGGGTCTGTATGGTAAAGCCTCACGACTGACCAGTTGTTAAGCTTTCAGTTCAAGGCCATTCGTTTTGTAACAGTACCGCGTAAGGTTTTTTTATTGACTGTTCCAGTTACTGATCCCTTGTCCTACCTAAATGCCCACCTGCAAATCCCCGTGTAGTAAGCTGTTTTTTCCATGACCGCATTAGCTTGTTTTGAACCTGAAAAGCTACGAGTTTCAGCTGAAATAACACGATAAAAAATAAACCATCACTGCACATAAAGTCATCTCCTTTTTCGCAATTTAGAATGTCCGGAGGGTTACGAAGAACACGAAGGGCACTGTTACTACTTCTCCACGGAGACGGAGACTTACTCCGGGGCCGCCGAGTTTTGCGAGGCGCAGGACGGACGTCTGGCCGCGCCCGACTGTCATGACGAACACGCTGCCGAGTTCTTCTACAGAACACAGTGAGTGGAGGTTAGGGTAAAGACATGAAGACGAGAAACATGGCTCTAGCTGAGATAAGAAATGATCACCTCTGACTCGATGATTACTAGCTGACGTAGCAGAAAATAGTATTTTATTTGTTGGCAGGGCCGTGTGATTCAGAGATGTAAATCCATATCTTGATCGAGATAACTTGATGTAATTTTTCGGTGAAAACTTAGAGAATTCTCCGCGATGTTGAACAGGAAAAGTAGCCTCCAGTTTTTCTGTGTGTTCGAGTGTGATATGCTGATATTAGGGTAAAGGAAATACTGTACCATTTACATGGGCATACATATGAAATCTTTGTTGTTTACCACCTTGTCACTGGAGTCCGGTCACACCACTTACTGTGCACCTATAAAAACACAACAAGTCATACATCATCATGACACAGTTCCACAGGTTACTACCGGTTAGCGCGCATTCGGCCGCCACACTGACCCGTACACGTGAGGTCATCTGGGCATTGTCAGAATGATATAGATGTATGCCAACACTAGACGCTGTTTGATTTTCGTTTTCTAGTTTGGGTTGCTTCTGATGGACATCTCTAGTCTCTGTGAGCTACATGTCAAATACGTGGCTAGCAGAACTTAAACCTCACCACTGGGTGATTTTACAGAACAGCGTTCCAAACATTTATTTTCCGATACAAGATGGTCTCAAAGATGATATGCATTAAAATGGTGACTAATGGGGGAAAAAGAAAACTTTTATAATAGTAAGATAGATTATATGCCAAGCGGAACATAAACAGGGGGTTTATTGATGTCATCGATGGTGAATCATTGCCAACTACCGATTCTATCAAACTCTACATCTTATTTCCTGACGTAGTGCCTGGATCAGTCCGGATACTGAGGAAGACTGCGGCAGCGGCCACACGCCAGCTGAGTTGAGTAACATTTTCTCGTTATATCTACATCAGAATGCTTGTTTTCCATTCTCCCAGTTATAGTTAGCATTTGATTTTGATAATAATTGCCAGGATAACATCATCGAAACACTCACAAATGTTGAATGGAGGGGGGTAAGATACGGTAATCGTGGTGTACAGTAATCTCCAAGCAGATCCCTTTCGGTGGCACAAAGACAGTATCAAATTGGCCAGGCAGTATCTATTAGCCAGAGAAGGTCGCCGGTCACCGTTGGTGTGGGTAGCGACAAAAAAAAAAGCGGCCATATATAAAAGCTAACGATCATTCCCCACAACCTCTGCTTGGAGAGTAGTGTACAGTACTCTCCAAGCAGAGGTTGTGGGGAATGATCGTTACATTTTTATATATGGCCGGGTTTTTTTGTCCTGATCCCCGTCGGTGGCCGCGGAGCTTCTCTGGCTAATGAATACAGCCTGGCCAATTTGATACTGTCTTTTTGCCACCGAGAGGGACCTGCTTGGAGATTAGTGTACAGCAGGTGTGTTTAAAATGCACTCGGTTCGCTGTGTGCGGCGGGCCCGGGGAATGTGTTCACGGCACCAGACGGTAGTGGTTGTTTTAATCGACCTGTTGTGGCTACAAACAGGCGTTGTTTGTGGATGCCAATAACTGCATGCATGCATGGACGAATGTATTGACGCTAACCAGGTGGAAAAACGTAAAAAAACATGAGTATATAAAATGCCCACGTACCGTTGGACAGGGACCGTGTATTCTCACGTCATTGCCTTCGACGAGTTTAATGGTATAAGGACATAAGGACGTCAGCTAGCTTCATTTACTCTCCAAGCGGAGGTTGATGGGGAAAGATCGTTACCTTTTTATAAATGGCCCATTTTATTGTCGCTACCCCCATCCCTGGGTGGCAAATGGACCCTCTCTGGCCAATGGATACTGTCTTTTTGCCACCCTGGGATCTGCTTGGAGATTAGCTTCATTAGCAAGATTACATGTTGGGCTTTTTTGCTTATGATATCCTTTTTTCCTGATTGTACATCTATACATATTCTGATCGTACCCAGTTTCTTGTAGTCTCCAGTACAACAGGCCAATAGAAGCCGAACGAAGCCCAACCAGAAAGGGTGCTATGAGGATTGCATGAGCCTCCCTTTTCAAAGCCGCACTGTCTGTCAGCAATGTCCTGTGTACTTTATTGATTTAGCTTTGAAGTCGGGAACAGAGAGACCCCGAACGGTTGATAGGATATATGGCAACTACATTTGGGGAAACAAACTCAGATTTTCTTCCTCTTGTTGTTCCTGTTTAGGACCCAGCTACCCTTCATCTGTGTCCACGCACCAAGTAAGTCATAAGGCTCTCATCCTACCCACAACTATTCTTACTGTAGTGTCTAGATCTTCTTAAGTGACATCCCTACTACTACTGTCAGTCAGTCTCAAGAGCAACCAACGAACGATAAATCTAAGGATGAATCCAGCAAGTATAAACATAGACATTTCCTTAGCCAATTGCAACTTAGCAGGCTTACGAGTTTAGTACTAGTGCCCGGCAGTTTTCCGATTGTATATCAATTCAGAAAAAAAAACAGCGCATAACAAGAAAAACAGGCCAATTCATGCATCAACTAAGGAGGTTGGTTACCTTTCTACTCGATTTCATCATCTTAGCCTCAGATGCACTACGTGCGGTATACTAGTAAACAAATCGACAGTCGGTACGCACTACATGTAGCGCACGTACTGACCAGGAGAGAGTTTGTGCTGGCAGTATTGACACCACAGGAGCGTGTCCGGGTGCGAGAAACCCCGCGACACCGGCGCACGGCTCCATCCGTGTCTTTGTTATGATAGGAGCGGCGGGGACCACAAACGTTACGGATATCAGTCGGCAAAGCTATTTGTAATGTGTCAATCAAACAAGTTACTAAACACAGGTTGAGTCAACATGTAAACAATGGGGAGCCCAACAGCGACGATGTCACTAACCCCAACAAATTAAACACGCACAGTGTTGTATAATGAAGATATAGATATTAAAGAACATCCTGTGTTGTAATATTAAACATGGGTTAGGCAATGGCCAAGATATGCTGTAGCAAAATGCCCAGACCGTCAACCACATGCGGCCTCTTTGAAACTTGAGCCTCGCACAGATATGGAGAAAACAACTGATGAACATCTATTGAATAAATCCACCGGCGGATAGTAGTGTGTCCTGTCTCCGATCAAGTGTAAGAAAATTTCTATTCTAAAGCCCACAAAATGGTGTCAGAAGTGGGATTGATCCAAGGTCTATAGCTAGCAACTGAAGACGTCCGCTTTATGTCTCCAAAGTACCTCGCTCGTCTGCTTTACTTCTAAGACCCCTTAAGATGTTGGGACCAAGGCGAACATCTTGCTTAGCTCCTGCTTCAGCTCTCCTGTAGACTACTCTGCTAAGTCATTGTTTCCTCCTTGTTTAGGATCATATCTTCTTAGAAGCAAGCCAGCAGCTACGTTCTTGAAGTAGGATGCCAATGCAAAATGAAGTCCACCTTATTCTCGATTATGCTGTGCTCATCATACATGTTTCTAAACATTTCCTCTTCGCTACATGTCGTTACACAGTCGTGGGTAGTGTTATCTAATTATGATGCATGTATGATGTCCCAGCATGTGACGAGCCGCCTGTCCAGCCGAACACCGTCAGGTCAGGCTGTGAGGAGCCGTACGACCAACAGGAGGCCTGCCACTACTCGTGCGGCCCGGGGTACCACCTGTACGAAGGGACCGCCTCTTCTGCTATGGCCACCTGTCTGGATGGCGAGTGGCACGGACCCTTCATGGTCTGCAATGGTACGTTCCACGCGATGTACATTACGCATTTACGATTACGCCACAAAAGCAATATCACCTATAGCACGTCAAAGTTCTACTGTATCTATTGAGTAAATGTATGCGCTGATTAGAATGTAGTTTTCGTTTCGGATCAAGCTCACAAAATGGTGTCAGAAGTGGGATTGGTCTTAGATCTCAAGACGTTCAAGTTGACAAGTTGCCCATTGCTGGTATTTGTGTGCCCTAAAAATGTGAATTCTACTCCTACCCAGCGGACTACCCGGAACTAGATCTGAAACTGTAGTTTCTGTTTTGCATTAAGCTCACAAAATGGTGTCAGAAGTGGGATTGGTCTTAGATCTCAAGACGTTCAAGTTGACAAGACGAACTGTTCAAGTTGACAGTTCTACTGTATCTATTGAGTATATGTATGCGCTGATTGGAATGTAGTTTCCGCTTTGCATTAAGCTCACAAAATGGTGTCAGAAGTGGGATAGGTCTTAGATCTCAAGATGTTCAAGTTGACAAGTCGCCCATTGCTGGTACATGTATTTGTGTGCCCTAAAAAATGTGAATTCTACTTCTACCCAGCGGACGGCCCGGAGCTAACTCTGAAACTGAAGTTTCTTATTAAGCTCACAAACTGGTGTCAGAAGTGGGATTGGTCTTAGATCTCAAGTTCAAGTTGACTAAGTCCAATCATTGCTGGTATTTGTGTGCCCTAAAAAATGTGAATTCTACTTCTACGCAGCAAACTGCCCGGAGCTGAATCTGAACCCGGGAGTCATGAAGAACGGCGAAAGCTGTGAAGCGCCCTACATCACCGGGGACATGTGCTCTTTCTCATGCGAGGACATGCAGCAACCAATCAGTGGCGACCACGACATGTCGTGTTTCGGGGGGGAATGGATCCATGCAGCCACAGATGAGTTAGGAGTACCCCTCGTCTGTAAGGACCACTTCGTTTGATGTTATACATGTATTAAGAAATGAGATAATCCTAGAGCTCCATTCGCATTCACCATTTTACTTATTCAGTTCATCGTAACACAACTGGGTTTCCCCTTTAACTTCAACCTATAATAAATAATTCCAAGTGGGCAAGTATATTATACAGAAGCAAGACCTTAAATCTTCTTGACTTTCACATTCTAAACTGCTCTTGACTAATGCGTCCCCTCTTACAGGTTCTTCTGACTTACTAAGAGTCTTGTTTCCTCCGTTTCAGGTCCTCCACCTGAGGAATAAGAAGAGCAGTGGCGAGACAGTCAGAATCTCATCTCCAGTGCAAAACGAGCACCACACCATCTGAACTGGCACACTGGTGCTCACAACATGTAGGAAAGTTTAGCCTCAACCGATGGATGTGCTGGTCAATTAATTGCAAACTAGTTGAATTTTGAAAAATGACCTGGAGTCATTTTGCAGAAGTTGTGGAAACGTTTTTGGTTATAAAAAGACGATTACCATCAACAGAATAAAGTGAATTGCAAGCCTTACACTTGTAAAACTACTCACTGTCTTGTGTTGAATTTAGTGTTTTTCATCTGTTCTTGTTTATATATATCGAAGGATATTCAAAGTTTATTTTATCTTCCTGTAGCATTCCAACAGTGTTGGAAACATTCAGATCACATTCAATGGAAAACCAAAGTGGGCCTGAGTAATTGCAATACACCCTGATTTTCTGAGAATGCAACAATATTAATTAAACCTTATACAATATAAACCTTATATATTACATCCTAACTATACAAACCAGCCCCGTACTGAAAATAAGAAGAAATTGGCCTCCCTACTTTTTGGTAGGTCACCCAAAAGACACCCTATTTTTTACACTCCCAACCCCTGCCATGCACACATGCCTCCTTTCAGTCTTATTATAAATACAAAAATGATGCAAGACAAAACTTAAATTCCTCAAAATTTGCACCTCAAAATGCAGAAAGTAGTGAGAGTGTAATAAATTTTTAAAAAGCCCCCATAAAAAGCTTACGCACCATGTGTCTTCACTGCGCATAGCATACTTATACCCAACAAAAAAATCCTAGCTAAAAGCCTGATACAAACACACTGCTAGCTCAGCCCAGTTTGGTAGTTGACATAACATCTGAACTCGTTGCAGAGGTTCCTTGTGTGTTGTGGTCTGAAAGTGCAGGGTTGGACTCCCAGAAGCCTCGAGGCCAGGTCTTTCATCTTCTCACCTGCAGAAACATAAGGTGGAGTTAACAGCACAGATCTACCGCATCTTGTAGATTTTATTAATAAAGATATCTACAATTGAGAACATAATGTTCCCAAAACGTAATCTCCTGAGAGTTACGGTTACAGACACATAACCTACTGTTTTAGCTGAAATCAATCACTCTCTAACGTCCTTTTAGTGATGAAAAAAAGAGTATTTTTGTTCCATTGACTCATATAACATCTGTGCACTGACCTGTACATAACATGATCTTCCCCTTAGTCAGGAACTTGACTGTTATTGCTGTTTTAGTCAGACAATCGTCTGACAAATACGGCGGGTCTGCCACAACAATGTCGAAGGACTTTTCCTCCAGTGGCTGTGAGAACTTCAGTGGACTGTTGAAGTCGTAGAACACGAAGTCTCCGCCGTAGATGTTGAAGCGCTGGTCGTACTCCAGGAGAACTGCCCTGCAGGTGTCAGGTTTCACCTCCCGCAGTCGCTTGTACAGCGTGGGGCAGCTCAGACAGGCAACGCTGCGGAGGAGAACAATGATGGAATGACAGAGTGAAATGGTAGTAGAGGTAGACTGGTAGTATTTGTATTTGTATTTGTATAGCCGGTATAACCAGCTTCACAGGCAGGCAGTGTGGCGGCAGCTGGCTACATACACCAAACAACTTGTTACATCTAACCCTTGGACATCTAACTCTAAACATTGTTTAAAGCTATCTAATGATAATGTAGTAATACATGTAGTACATGTATAAAGTATTTGATTATACTGGACATACTGCAGTTTATTTCTTCAACTCTCTCTCCAACCAACAAGGTTATGCCACTGTCAAGTGTGCCTGTACGTGAAGCTTCTATTTTAGACTGTACGTAGAGTGGTGTACAAATACATGTACATGTACGTCTTCTTACCTGCCGCCTGGACCAGCTACATCAAGAACCTCTCTGGTCAGAGCGTCAGCCGTGTCGTCTGAGTACCAGAACTGGCTCAGGTTCTGTAGGAAACAAGGAAAAAGCAATTTAGCGAATGAACAACCAGATATGTGTTTGTTCAAAATCCTACTTCATTTGTGTCAGTTATAGGTATATGGAGGCACAGACCCAAGACTGTATGACTGGGCATTCGATATCATTTGTGGTAGTACATAACAACTTTTACAAGGAGTCGGCACATGCTGGCCTTTTGCAGCATTTATGAGTCAGCACTGTACTGAGTTCTGGAATTCCATGGACCTTCGGCAGCCTGGTTGCCGTCCTCTATAGCTACTGCTGGCACCTTTCTGTTGATAGCTACCATGGCCTGGGTGCCATGGTAGCTGCCTGGCTCCCAGGCCAGAGCCTCAGTGGTGATCCTTTTTTTTTTTGAGAACAGGCAAAAATCAATGTGCACACAAATGTCATCCTTAAATTAAGTTAAAATTAAATCAGTGTGGCCTTTAGTAGCATCTCCCTACCCAGTCTTCCTCCAGCTCGACCTTCCCCACGTCCTGCTGCCGTATCGCCTCCTGCAGCTGCCTCTCTCTGTCGGCCTGCTCTGTGTAGAACTGCTGCAGCACCGCCAGAGTGTCTGCAGGCAGCTGGGGGACGTCATCATCACTGTCGCACTCCGACATGGCCGCAAGGTTTCAACAAGACCTAGGAAAAAAATGTTGTGTTTCCTGTTAATGAATGGTTTATTTAGTTCAAAACCAATGACACAAACTTTGCAGCCAAAACGGCTGAATTGCGTTACGACATTTGTTAATTGCAGTCCTGAAGAAATTAGGGTCGGTAGAATGGTAGGGATTATCTTTTTTCCCAACGCCCCCCACCCCCTTCTACCTAAGTAATTTAGGCGGTGCAACGTACTGGGTTTCTGTCTTTTTAGCGTCAAGCTATGTGTACTATAATGTAATTAAATGGCTTAATGTCAATACTACGTAGATATACAAACATACTCTGTTCTGATCGAGTGGAAAAGGTACTGATGTCCCACGTTGCGTTGTTTCAGCATGACCCGTACTGCAGTTTTTATTAATGTCGCAAGGCGGCCTATACAGAAGGGGTCACTGGAAGTGAACACTGCCCGATGGGTACATCTAAAACAACTAGACATATTTTACTTTAATACTTTGGTAGGTAATAAAAGATAGTTTTAAAAATGTAATCAAAATAATTCAAATATCAATACCGTGTTTACTACTGATAGACTTATCAATCTAACCATACTGATGAAAACTGGTTCAACAACCCCTACTACATTAATAGACTATTCTACACCGCAACGAACGCATAGATGGATGGAGGAATATCTAAAAGATTTTGATTTATATACTCTAAAAATATTCAAGATACAATGTAATAACTCTTTCTAATAATAAATATTGTTTTATCTTATATATTTAGCGTCCATTGACTTTGTTATTTTGTCTATCGTGTCCTTTGAGTTTCATTTTACGTTTGGCACCGCATGCCTAGAGACCCAGCTGTCCGTGGGAATGGCGTGCCTTTGTTGTTTGTTGTCAGGTGCCGCCAGGTGTCACTCAGGTTGGCGGCGACCTACACAGGCGGACCGGCAGGACAGGTAGGTCTCACAGGCTAGATAATTATCTGTCATGGCACATCACAATTTTCTTTTTGAGTGCAGACGCGAGCAAGGGAAAGATAACTTAAATGTTTGTTTGTTTCAATGTTTGTTCAAAATGTTTGCCTGTGTTTTGTTGACATAGTTAGCAGGTAACGTTACTAGTAATGTAAAAGTTTGACAGGTGACGCCGGTAGTTTAAAGTGTGCTCTCTCTCCCGTCATATGTACACAAACAGAAATATGGGAAAGAATTGCTTACAATCTACAGGCGTGCATTATTAATATAGAAATCAAACCTAGAACTAGAACATTTGTCTGAAATTTATATGTCCTCGTTTTTTGATGGCAGGAACTTATTTCAACTGGCAACTTTAAAGCCTTATCTGGTACCACGTTTCTGTTTACAAGGCGGTAGTTTCAGTGAGGCAAGTTTACACATCTGACGTGTTTACTAGTCTGAATGTTCGTACTATAGATATACAAGAAAGGTGCAACAAAAATCCAATATCAAAGATCAAGGGGTGTGTTGTGAAAACCTGCGGTCTGTATATACCCAAACACATCACGATATGACCCCCTGTATCGACCGCTTCTGTGGCTGTTATTTAGAGAGTAAACCTCGCTGCAAACTTTCACACACAGGAGTTATTGTTCCAGTGTTGTGATATCTATGAAAGGGCTTGAAGCTCCGCTGACTTCTGTATTTGTGTAGGCAAGGCCAGTGTGAATAACATGCCAATTGTCGGCCTAATCAACATTGACAGAATGGTTATTACAGTTATTACCACTGTGATTATGAAAGATCGCATCAATTATGTATGAGCAAGTACTTATGGTAAGTGTCATGTGATAGAAATGCCTATTAGTATTTTCATACTGAAATACACATCAAGAGCAATTATGCTAAATGAAGGGAGGTAGTGGCAGGTGGCAATCTACGATTTCTTGATCAAAATGGGTCCTAATGCAGTTGCTTTTTTCCTCACTGTTCATTTCCTTCTATTTGCTACTCACAACTAGCCTCTATCAGGCTTTGGGAGGCGGCTGGATAGAGTAGAAATTGGCCAAATAGACTAAGATAACATGCTGAAGGAGTTGGTCTGCTAGAGTGTACATTTTGCCATACTGGGTGCCTTTCCAGTGGCCTCCTGAAGCCTGGTAGAGGCTAAATCACATCATCTCCCTGTTCCCACGTGTAAAATGACTTAACAGCATTCTTTTCTGTTTGAATCCAGGTACCAGACAGGAATGGAAACAGAACACACAGTAATGCTCACAACATTCCGGAGCAAATTGTAATGGCTCTCCTGGGATTGGTTACCTGGTAACACTAACTACAACAACTGGCAGTGGGAAGAAAGTACAAGAACTGCCAAAGCTGCTGCTTGTAGTACTGGGCACATGGACGCCCGTCCTGTTTGTGTGTTGGGATGACGCCAAGAGGAAACCGTGAGACCGTGGGCATCACAGAGGTTCGGACGCTGGAGACTGCGCCCATACACAGCCGACCCATCCTGGCACCCATCAACACAGAAGAACAGAAACACAGGTTCCTGCATCATGGACACTTACCACAGTGAGTGCAGATCTTCATATGATGTGTTACATCAAGGAGTTATAGGGGGAGACCTTCTGGTTACATTCAGTCAAACCTGCCCAAGAAGACTAGTCGTCGGACTGATAAAACCTGGTCAATGAAATGGATAGGTGGTCACTATAGACAGGATTATTACCGTTTGTATCAATGGGGAATATCATCTACTAGTAAAGGACCATGAAAAAGGGAGGTTATATTGGCCAGGTGGTTGTTATTTACAGGTGTTCGCTTGTACATGTGTTGTTGACTATTGATACTAGTATTTTGACATATCAAGGGAGCGCACATATTAGATATAAATTCATTTTTATGAATGGGAAATGTTTCCTTTTAATACCTGATACTGTTTTATTACCTCCACTTGATGTTTCTGGTATTTCTGGAAGCTTTCAGGGGGAAACTGAAGTTGTTTCTCTTTGTTGTCTTCTTTGAATGTCCTTGACAAAAATAGAATGAAGTCAGTGTGCTGAAGGTAATACTATTGTTGTAATAGTACCAAAAATTGTTCACATGGTCATGAGAATGTTGTGTGCAGCAGGGATAAAGTCTGCTGCTGTATTGAGTCAGAACAAAGGTATTAGGCACAAGGTCATCCGAACAAGGTCACATTGATTGATCACATTAGGATTACCTGGGAGTTTGGACTGGGCTGTAGGACTAACAACTGGGTAATATTAGACCAAGGAGGTCTATTATATATAATCCTTTACCTGTGGAGTCTAAGCCTTCCCACTGCATTGGTTACACTTACAGGGCTCAAGCAGTAGCCTAGTAGTGAGGATTCTAGGAAGAAGTTTAAAAAGATTTGTTCTATTGTTTGTGTTGTAAAATAGACTATTCCTGCTGGGGGTAATGTTACATGGTTTGTCTGAACAGGATTTATTAATTTATCTGTCTGAGAACAAAGAGAAGTAAGTGAATAGTTTAATGTCATACATTCTTTCATTTTAACAAAGTTTAGATAAATAATATTCTCCTGTTGTCTACTCCCAGGTTTCACCTGCGCGGTTCAGAGGAGCGTGTTCAGGGGGCCATGAGGACAAAAGTGGCGCAGATCAAGTTTGACCACTTCCCGGAGGCAAAGAAAATCCTGGAGCTCGTCCGACAGAAGTTTGGTGACGATGACAGACTGGTGGAGGCAGCGTTTGGGCCGCTGATTGACCAGAGAGAGGCGACACACGTCGTGAGTCAGTACCTGCTGGAACATGGAGTGGACGGGATGCTGAAAGTCCTGTGGAGCGGAGATCTCAACTGCAGGTGGGGAACCTTATGAAGTGTTTTATGTTAAGCAGTTTATGTAGTCAGTCACAGAGCAGATAGTTTGTTCTTACATGGGCTGCAAGTTTCTGGACAGAGTTCCGTTTTTACACACTTCCTTGTTTTTTTTAAACACACTTCCTTGTTGTTTTTAAAAACACACTTCCTTGTTTTTTTTTAAACACACTTCCTTGTTATGTTTGCCTTCGAATTGTTTTTGCTCAGTTTCTTCTTCTCCAAACACATTAGGTCAATGACCTGGACCAAAGAGCTGTCACCATGGTAACTGAGCTGTAGCTGACAGCCCCACACACCCTGTGGTGTCAGGCTACATAATGTTGCAAGTTGCAGTTAGAGGGGCTACGAATGGTTTGAGTAATAGATAGAGCAGTAGTTTTTTTAGGCTGAGACCATGTGAAGAGAAACATTAAAAAAATATACTTTTGCTTTGCAAATGTTACCTTTCTAGTTTTAAGTATGTTTCTCATTCCTGTGTATGTGCAGTGGTCGGATGCAGTGGAGAGGTCCTGCGCAGAAGTACAACCGTCCTGAGCTGCGGAGGTACTCCTTGTGGCTGCAGAACACCGCAGAGAACATGTACCTCCGACAGCACGGCATCAAGTGTCTCATCGACCACGAGGTCGGCACGCACTTCGTATCCTTCGTGAAGGAAAACATATTGTTTTTGCTCTGTTTCTTCTTCCTCTTCTTCTTCCTCTTATCCAGATCTTCCTATCCAAACAAATAAAGTCAATGACCTGAACCAGATGTCTGTCACCATGGTAACTAGTGTTGGGTTACATCATGTTGCAATTCTATAGCAGGAGGGATTTAGACTGTACAAAACCTTCCTTAACCCCACCATCAGTTCCGTATGCTGAACGATGGTTTCCAGCCCTGGTACTCCAACCGTGACGGGTTCGGGCTGCGGTCCTGCCGATCGTGGGAGGCTGTTGCTATCGAGGAGGGTCTGGCTACAGTCAACACCATGCTGCAGGCCAAAGTTAAATACCTCTGGGTACCCGCACTGCTATACTGTGAGTATTGGGACTGGTCTTCATATAGATTATTCTCTGGGTGATCTGGTTTTTATCTTGTGCCCTGCCCTTAAATAATTAATATGTAATACCACACAACTAGGTTATTTATCAGAAGACACATCTGCACTTGCATTGATATATAAGGTATGTCCATGGGTAATTCTTAGTTGTGAACACCTCAAACAATGCATTACATCAAAATAGGAGGTATTGTCTTCAAATTTAAAGAAATACAAACATAAAACGTCATATCAAACAGACCCCTTGCTTCAGGCTGGAGATCTTATAAAAAGTCAACTATAAATTAGTGTAATCTGAAGGAAGTGTTGCTTCAATCCTAGATGCGTCCTGTATGTCCACGGAGATGACCTTCAGTGACCTTTTCCACCATCTTGAGACGTTCATCAAGGACGTTCACCAGCGCTGGAAGATTGTGCTGAGAATCAAGTGCGGTCTGCCTGACCCAGCTAAGGACTTGGGAGGATGTGGGAAAGACCAGGCTTACTTTGCAGGTGGGTGCATGGGTCTGTCTAGGTGTTCTTTTCTATTCTCGTTCCCGCCCTAAAACTGACACATTTTTAAAAGCATGTTACTGAAGCATGTATTTCCTAGGGATTTAACTGTTGCTGCCTTAGTAGGTTTGTTCAAGTTTACCATGTTTTTAATGTGGTGGTCGTAGGGCACCCAGCAGAATTACCATAGTGTCATGCACATCTCTTGGTTTGGTTTTCTTTTAATGCCTCTTGCATACTCATTTACACCTGAGCGAAATGAGGAAAGTTGTGTTAAGTGCCATCTTTTAAGATGATGTAAGTTCCTTCCATATGATAAGCACAGTTGATGTTGTGCTTCACAGGTGCTGTGGAAATCCTGAGGAATCTGGAAACCATCGACTTCCACCTGCTGTACTCAGGAAAGGTCTGCATTGACGAGCTTCCCCGCATCAGGCGCTTGGCTCGGCGCGACTGCATCAAACTGCCACACTTCTTACTAGACCAGGAGGCGTACAGGAAGAAGCTACGGCAAATGGCTGCTATAAACAATATCGACAGTCTGCACAAGAAAAATGAGACCAAGAAGACTACCTCTGTGCCCAAACAACGAGCAGGAAACATGACAAGAAAGTTCAGCGTCTCTGTACCAAACTTACCAAAGTACGCTCCTGCGGCTGAGGCGCCCAAGAAAAGCCTGTTGAATCGGAGGAAGGTTTCTCCCAATGTTGTGACATATAGTAGGAAATATCAGTATGTTTCAGGGTGAACTTGGTACATGCATGTATGTATAAAGAGTTAGTGGAAAATGTCAGTATTGTGTAGCTTGTTATGTTGAACATGGCTCAACTGAAAGGTGGACTCTAAAATATGTGCCATGTAGCAGAAGTGTGATGTTGGGAAACAGATTGGTAAAAAGATTTTTGTCGTGTCCAACCATATTTATTCATCATAGAATGAGCTTGGTAAAATTCTTGGTTTTACCCCTTAGCCTATTGTTATAACATATCAAAATCAAACATTCCCATTGGTTATACCTTTGATTTTTGAACCATCAGCCAAATAGAACACTTACCTCAGAAATTGGGCACAATCATAAGATGTGAGACATGACATATTGACAGACATGTTGTACTATGATGTAACATCCTACATTGTTTTTCTTTCTCATACTCTTGCCATGTAAAGTCATATTTTTCTTATCTTTGATGTACCAGGTTTTAGCCACAGTTTGTATCAGTGACCTCATGAGGACACTTTTAACCTGTAAAAAACGTAAATGTGTGATCCTTGGAGCTTTTTATTTGTACAGAAAGATTCCTCAGTTTATGCTGATAAAATTGCTATTTTTCAAAAGATTCTTAAAGTCTATATTATACCTTTGGTCAGGACATGTTGCTTTTATACAACTATTTATGATTATGTTTTATACCTTTTTGTGCAATTTAAAGGGTGTTGCTGCTATTTTGCCTAAGCTAATGTTCATGACTATTTGGCACTATGATTTACCCTAAGAAGCAGTGCCATTTTAAAGCCGTTTGTAGTGTTGTCCCATTCTAAATGGGTAGTGAGTGTGTGAAAGGTGCCGTATTTTGCCCGAAAATCATGACAAACAAGTTGTACCTCCAGAGTAGATTGTTGATGACAATTGTATTTATAAGACTGTACAAAATGTACACCATTTTACAGATCTTGTACCATCATCAAATGTATTTGTGAGTATGGAACATTCCTAGGTGAGAACATATTTGTACATCATTCCATTGACGAAAGTTTTGTATCATGACAACTGCTGCTGTTGCAGAACTTGATTGAATGTGCATCTAAGATGTAAAACATGTTTTTGTATTGTCTTCACACAAAATGTGTTGTTTGTTGTCTTCATTTTGTCAGAGGTTGGTTGATATCTCACTCACTCACTCACTCACTCACTCTCACTCACTCACTCACTCACTCACTCACTCACTCACTCACTCACTCACTCACTCACTCACTCACTCACTCACTCACTCACTCACCACCCACCCACCCACTCACTCACTCGCTCGCTCGCTCGCTCGCTCACTCACTCACTCACTCACTCACTCACTCACTGTCCAGTAGTGTGTGACCTGACTGCGGCTGTAAAGCACGAAGCATGGTCGTGATGAAAATGATTTATCTATTGGCCAATAAAACTGGCTAGATTTATGAAGAGAGCCAGCGCCAGACTTTGTCCCCATGGTGATGCCGATCTGGATGCTGCAGCTGCCTGGCACTGTTCGGGATTTCCCGTAACTGAAAACCACAATCAAGAAAAGATGTAAATAAAAGACAAACCACATATGTCAAGAATATATCCACTGACTTGCAGCGTATGCTTCGACATTGGAACTGCGTCTATTTTTACAAATGGTTGATTCAGTCTTTTCGAAATCCGGCAAGCTACCTCCATATATTGCTGTTGCATGAAGACTTACTAAAATTGGCAAAACACAGTTGACAAATCTCTGGAAATATAAAGAGATGCTCGTTTGAGCCTTTGAGGTGTTGCCTTTGAGACGTGAAAATAACTCTCCAATGTGTCCCGTCATGTACACACACACACACACACATACAAACAGCACACAGACACACACACACACACATACACACACACACACACACACACGCGCGCGCGCGCGCGCGCGCGCGCGCGCGCACACCTGTCGTGTTGAGGAGATCTGGCACGAAGTTCTCCCACAGGGCACACTCCCTGGCCTTCTGCCCGGTCACCATGCGGGGCGCGCCCGTGTCCAACATCAGGTAGCCTCGGCTGGACTCCGTGTAGGGGCTCCACACTGTCTCCGTGTCGTTGTTGGGGTTTCTATTGAAATAGATGGCAGGTGTTCATTCACAGAAGGAAAACATATTGTTTTTGCTCTGTTTCTTCTTGTTCTTCTTCTCCAAACAAATAAGGTCAATGACCAGGACCAGACGTCTGTCACCATGGTGACTGGTGTTGGGTTACATAATACTTATTATTGCAAGAGGGGCTGCATCGTCGTCATACATTTGAGAATAAACTGTATTTTGTGAAGCTGGGCCATGTGAAGCTAAACATAATGCATTAGCTTTGCAAATGTTACTAGTTTCTTACGCTGCATTTTGTAGACACCAATTGCAAGGATTGAGATTGAAATAGTGACAGTTACCCTGTTCTGGCAAAGTTAGCCCAATATCGCATCATCCTACGGGACAGGTCGGCCTCCTCGGCGGTGTACCCCAGGGCAGCATTCAGGGGCCTCCCGAACGCGAACTGTATTTCCGCGGAGTGGATCACGCCCGTCCAGTCGGGAGTAGTGAGAGAGTTAGAGGGCCGATGGGCAAACTCGTACACGTACGCCGCGGTCCCGGCTCGGGTGTGGGCGCGCGCCGTGCTGAAGGCCGGGCATCGGTACATCTGATCCGTCATGGCCGCGTCCAGGGCGTCTCGGTACATGTTCCCGTCCTCCGGACGTAACCAGTCGGTGTACTGGAAGGCGACTGCCTCCACAGCCAGCTCGTTAGTAAGACCGTTAAGCCCAGCCAACGCCTTGATGTTCTGTATGAACTGGTCCCTGTCGATACTGTTCTCCGAGCCTACAATGTACCCCGGAACTCGGAAGATCAAGAGAAACAGCATACCCTCATTCGCATTGCTGCCTAGTAAAATGTCCGTATGTTTGAACTGCCCATCACTAAGGGCCTTTTCGGGTTTTTCTGGGATGAAGCTCCCATCGATGACCGGATAGATGGGCGGGTAGCCGGCCACAAGGCTCTCGGCGTCCTGTTCTCTCAGGCAGGCCATCATGGCTGTCGGTCCTTGCTCAGTGGGGCATCCCAGGCTCCCTGCCAGGGCCTTGGTGTTGTCGTGCATGTCGTCTGTGGAGTAGAGCTGCAGCATGCGTACAGCCGTTCCACTCTGCATGATGGCGCGGTTAAACGCGTCCCTGCTCTGCGGAGACAGCAGGTGCACGGCGGCGCTCATCCCGCCCGCGCTCTCCCCGAAGATGGTGACCTACAAAGAAAGACAAAGACAAACTGGAAAGGGTACAGAATCAAGCAAGATTCTGCCTGAACAACTATTAAAGGGGTGCTAGTGTCACGGAGGTGAAAAGAAACCTACACTGGGTGTCACTGGAGGACAGACAAAAATGTAGCCTGGTTACCAAACCTATTATATCTCCCGAGTCAATTTGCGGAGAGGCTGTAGGACTCGGGACAATGTTTAGAGTTAGATGTTCAAAGGGTAGGTGTAAGAAGTCGTTCGGTGTAATGCGCCGCGTGCCTGCGAAGCTGGCGTGTTACGCCCAAGGGCAGTTATACTGGCTATACAGATACAGATACCTTGTCTGGGTCGCCTCCGAACGACGCGACGTTGTCCTGCAGCCACTGCAGCGCCAGGAGCTGGTCCGTCAGCCCCATGTTTCCTGGCGCGTCCTCCGTCCCGGCGTAGGCGAACCCCAGCGTGCTGAGCCGGTAGTTCACGCTCACCACCAGGACTCCCTCTGTGGCGGCGAGGTACCGGCCGTCGTACCCGTCAGCGACAGACGTACCACTGCGAACAAAGTTAGCAAACGTTAGCACAACGCGTAGTGTCTGTTTAAACCGCTGTATCTGTGTTTATCAACCAGTTCTACCATTTCGGAAGTAATAACTCGTTCGGGATGTCACGGTACAGACCTTAAGACTTCACGAATATCATGGAAGATAGAGACGCCTGGAGAAACAAAGTGGTCTTGGGCAAGAAATTGCAGCCCGACAACACGATGATTAAGGTTTTGACTGCTTTTATGGCTTTACGCCTATATGAAGAGCAAATGTATATGAAATACATGTCTCGTCGATGAAGGTTAGACATCCAGGTAATAAGATACGCCAAAAAGCAGTTACTCGAGCAACTGGATATGATTTTGGAACGTCAGACGTTTCAGCTAGTATCCACTAGCTTTCATCAGTGACTGACTTAGCCAGAGGAAAAAGCAGGTTTACAAACTGTTCATTGATATGCAAATAAAATGAAGACAATTTTTTGGATGTCAAAAAGGGAACAAAAGTCAGACGAGTTAAGACAAGTTTATGCTAAGTCAGGAATCCAAAATCATATCCAGTTGCTTGAGTAACTGCTTATTGGCGTGAATTACATGTCTGTCTATCTAAATTTTGTAGATGTGCTTCTGCTGAAGTTGAAGCAATGGATCTCATCAGTAACGCACCTACTGAATCCTCCGCCGTGGAACCAGACCATGACGGCGGCCGCGGTGGGGGCGGGGGACGGCTGCCACACGTTCAGGTACAGACAGTCCTCGCTCAGCGGCGTGTTCACCTGCAGGTCCGGCAGGAGTCCGCCGGTCCTGTCGGCGGCCTGGATGCAGGCGTTTGGTTTCCTAGAGGCAGTGATTAGAAGCAACAATAACATGAAATACTAATAGTAACTACTTCTTTTACAAGGTACATACACACCGACCTCCCTCCGTATCGGTAGACGATAGGCTTGGTATATGTAATTCTTCTTGATCTTGAAAAGTTACTGTGAAACACACCTCTGTTATGGGTAAGACGCACAGGGGGTTGCATGCTATGAATTTATTAGCTGTCTAGAAAACGCCATGCCTTGGTGACCACCAAGCAACAGCGTTATGGCGTAACGGTTGGTATCTGTTCATATTGTTTTGTTGTGACCTTTACTTAGCCCAGTGTGGTAAAAATGTGCAATAAAGGTCGTCCTTAATTCATTTGCGTTTGGATGACGGGTCTGACCTGGTCGCGTTGCAGTCTCTCGGCCCGCCGGAAGCGCCGGTCCCCCACGGGCGGGTGAGCGAACGGGATCCCCAGGAAGGCGTTGACCGTCGTCCCGTCCACGTCCTGCTCCAGCCCGGCCACCCTCCCCGCCGGGGCCGTCACGTCAGCCGCCGCCTGGACAGCTACAGGGCCGAACACGGCGGTAAACACCGCGGGTAGGAACCACAGGGACATGGCGCTCGTCTGGTACATTCCTGTAGCCATTATGTAAAAAGGGGATTAAAGTGATCAGAAATGTCTTATTCTTGGTAAATCTGGATTCAGATCCCTTGCCCTAACAGGTAGCCTTTACCAGGCTTCAGGAGGCGGCTGGAGAGAGTAGAAATTGGCCAAATGGAGAGATAACATGCCAGGAGAGTTTGTCTGCTGGGAGAGAACATTTTGCCGCACCCGTGTTCTCTCCCAGCAGACAAACTCTCCTGGCATGCTTATCTCTCTATTTGGCCGATTTCTAGTCTTCCCAGCCGTCTCCCGAAGCCTGGTAGAAGCTACCTAACAGGGGCATGGCGCTCGTCTGGAACATACCTGTAGTCGTTCTGTAAAACGGGAGAAAATTGATCAGAAATATCTTATTCTTGGTTATTCTGTATTCAGATCCCTCCGCCAAGAAAACAACAAGGCTTGATCAGTTCAAAGGGCATTGAGAATCCGCTGACTTTTGAGTGTATTTAACCTTTTACCTTTACACACACAGAGAGACGGTAAATGGTCACACCTAGACCTAAGGGCAACACAGTATCCTTAGATCGATCCCGGTGCTTCTTTGAAATAAGACGTTTTGTCAGAGTAAGAAACGTTACTATTGTCCCGAACATTTTGAGCATTTGATTTTGGACATAACCAATAGTGTTACTTGCTCAGGCTAAGCTGTGTTTTAACGTTTACCAACCCCCTTCTATGGGCGATGTTATGCTGTAGCTACAGGGTACCAACATTATTTGCAACATTTTCGTCTGAGATTTGCCCCTCAAGCAGAATATGTGACAGATAACAAAGCTTTCGGCTTACCTGAATCTTTATGGACGATCTGCCAGTGCCCTCGACCCTTCAGTGTCTGCAAGCCTTTATTTGCCTTGCGGTGATGTTGTGAAGATAGCCTTGACCCGTACATTACTTAGTATACAGACCAGCGACCAATAGTAGCTCGCTAGGACTTTAAGTGACCATTAGGTCAAACAGTTCAAGACAAACGAGACCTGTTGCCGCCAAGTTTCTAACCCCTCTCTAAAGTAACTTTAAAGCCTCGGCCACACACATCGCACGATGCACCAGCTCTATTATTACACGGTTTCCTCCTAATGCACGACGCGACGTGCGGCATAGCCTGGGTGCCATCCCCTACCGCGAGTCAGCGATAATTCCTCGGCCCGGGAAAGCCACACGCCCCGCCGACCCTGATTTGCACACTGGCTCTAATTTAATATCTCCTCGCGTGAAAGATATTGGGTTTGGGGCAGCCTGGGGTTGGGCGGCGGATACAGTAGCGGACACAAAAAAATCTATCGCTTTATGAACGCTAGCGTCTGGCACCCAGGCTACGTGCGGCACGATCGTCATAGAAAACCCTCGAGCCATCTTGGTGCGTCTGACGACGTGTGTGCCCGAGGATCGGTGCGCTAAGATGCACATGTGGACAACTATAAAAAAAATCACCGTGACGCCGAATTCGGTCCCTGACATTTTAATGACTTAATTTGCCAGTCAAATAACTACTATTTATCAGCCCTGTTGCACAAATCCGCCGCCTGTTTTTCTCTAGTAGAGCACACCCTCCCCCAGACACAGTTTAAAATCGCAGGAAGAGTGCATCATGCTGAGGATGTTGTCTTGAATATCTCTACTATCTATAGTCTATAGACGTATTTCTTCTACTACAGTGTGGCGGATATATGTCAGTGGATGAATGTCAATGGAGGTTACTTCGGTGATGTTATTCGGTGATGTTATTCTTGCGATTAGAAAATAAACAATTCCACAACTTCATCAGAATGCTTGCACGTCATTTCCGATGGCATCTTATCTATCAGTACATCTTTAAGTTGAGGCTAAACTTTTCTACATGTTCTGAGCACCGGAGTGTCCAGTCAGGTGGTGTGGCGCTCGTGCTGCTGTTTTGCATAGGTTCCGACTGTCCCACCAGATGTGCTTCTCCCGCTGCTCTTCTCAAGGACCTGAAACAGGGAACTCAACTTTAGTAAGGGGGAGGACCTGAAAAGGATACTGTAACAGCTACATTTGCTAACTGCAAACATCTTTTCAAATTCGAAGTAACCACTTTTCCTTTTTTAGGCCTTAACAGTACTGTTAAGGCCTAAAAAAGGAAAAATGTCAGGTTGCATCCGTCATTTTATTTGGTGAAGAGTTTCATGCATTGGCCTCAACTGTCAAACCTCTGAACGTGAAAGAACACATGGCTTACACAATACGCGAGTCGTAATGACGCTGCATCGCACTACCAGCTAATAAAATGGGCCTTGCTTCGTCCTCAGCCTGAGGTGGGCCGGAAAGAAAAAAAAAGACTAGACAGGTAACATTTGCAAAGCAAATGCACAATGTTTACCTTCGCATAAGGTCTGCTCAGTTAATTCCTAGTTTAAAGTTTAACACATCAATATATATGGTGACAGGAGTCTAAATCCCTCCTGCTATAAAATTGCAACATGATGTAACCCAATACCATTTACCATGATAACAGTCGTCTGGCCAGGTCATTGACCTTTTGTGTTTGGAGAAGAGGAAACTGAGCAAAAACAATATGTTTTCCTTCGGTGAACATAAAAAGCGACATTATGAAAGTGGTCCTTACAGACGAGGGGGATGCCTGTGGAGTTTGTCGCCGCGTGGACCCAACTCCCCTCCAAACACGACATGTCGTGGTCGCCCTCTACCGGCTCCTGCATGTCGCTGCACTGGAAGAAGCAAATGTCGCCGGTGATGTACGGCGCCTCGCAGCTCTCACCCATCTTCTCCACTCCCTCGTTCAGATCTAGCTCCGGGCAGTCCGCTGGGAAGACGGACATACATGTTTAGGGTACATAAATACTGACAATGGTTGGACAGTCGGTTAGACCAAGGGTCCATCTGAGAAAGTAACTCTAACGGATGCTGGTGAGGATCAATACAATCGATATTCTAGTCGGTGACTTACACAGTCTACTATTCAGTGGCCATTGGTCACCATAGCTAGCCTGGGTGCCATCCTAGGTAGTTTACCAGGCCTGCAGCACGAGCGAGTATATGAGGCTTGGTAGCTGATCAGGATGGCACCTAGGCTGCACCATGCATAGCATGTTGTAGAGATAAATCTGAAGAAGTAAGATAAATCTGAAGAAGTGGAGTATACCATTATATTGCAGTAATCTGCAAGCCGATGTAGAAACCGGCTAAGTGTTTTACATGTGCTCTAGCGGCGTTTTTTTTTCAGTTTGAAAACAGCGAACCATTCGAAAGACGTACAAAACGCCACGAAAGCACACGTAAATCCTTATCACACATTCAGGACCTTCCCGACCGCTCCCCACCCAAGATCGGCGCTGGGTTGGGAGTAGGGCACTGAGTCGCACCCTACATCTGCTTTTTTTCATTCCAACATTTCATGACTACTACTGACTAGACATGGTGACGGCACACTCAAGTTATTTCAACTTATTTTATGCCGCCACCAACGCAGAGGACAAATACAGGATAGGACAATACTCATTTTCACTTGAGTTAAGCGAGGAAAGTGCCTTTCCCAAGGGCACAAGATCGGTGGACTCGTCACGGCAGGACTCGAACCCGGGACCTCTTGGTTTCGATTCGAGCACTCTGCCGTTACGCCACGCGACCGCACAATTGTTACGTCTGTTAGGAGATTACGTTTGCAGGCCATGAAGGGTCCGTGCCAGTTCCCGTCCAGGCATGTGGCGGCGGCGGAGGAGACGGTCCCCTCGTACAGGTGGTACCCCGGCGAGCATGAGTAGACACAGATCTCCTGCTGGTCATACGGCTCCTCGCACCCGGTCATGAAGGTGTTCGGCTGAAAAGGCGCCTCGTCACATGCTGGACAACAACAAGGATTTCGCATGAGAAACAGGAAATAGTAAAGTCATACTTTTATTCTTTTGTTTTTCTTCACGCCATCGCTACCCGTCACCTTAGCTACCAGCTTGGTATCCAAACTTACTCTACAGCTGCCGAGTCTCATAAATTTCGTCCTCATGCTCCGAAAAAGGACGAAGAGACGAAAAAGGCGAAAGAGACGAAAAAGACTTGGCAGCTAAAATAGGTTTAGATACCAGGCTAACATCTGTAGGTCTTTCTCTGGTCTGTTACTCACTGGTACGATGGATCTCGACTGTGTAGATATTATTGCTACAGCGGGAAGGGACAGATACTTTATTACACTGGATAATCTACATGGGGATGAACACACTTGTAGATCAATATATCGCGCATTTATCACGCAGGACACGTCGCTGTTGCCGGTGTTGAGCCAAATCCTTGAGCTGTTACGTGAGAGGTCAGGTGTGCAGGGCCAGGGTTAGGGTTAGGGTAGGTTTTAGAGTGGCGGTTAGGGTTGGTATTAGAGTTAGAAGTTAAGGTTAGGGTTGGGATCATTGTTCAGGGCTAGCGTTAGACTTACGATTAGGGTTAGGTTTAGACCAGTCTTCGGGAGGCGGCTGGAAAGAGTAGAAACTGGCCAGATCGAGAGATAACATGCCGGGGGAGTTGGTCCGCTGGAGATTACTAGTACAATTTGCTCCACACGGACTAGCGGACGAACTCCCCTGGAACGTTATCTCTCTATCATGTTGGCCAATTTCTACTCTTTCCATCCGGCTTCTGACTCCTGGTAGAGGCTAACATTCTAGATGTCAAAGCGACGCCAGCATGACCCATGTGCCCATACCCGGACATTGTAACGTTTATTTATGTCAACACTGTTGTCAGTTTGTCAATCATTCTGACAATATACGACGTTTCTGGTTTGCCACACGTAGTCGCGATCGGAAGGATGATGAAATCACACTGTGAGAAAGTCTCAGTAGACCAGTCAAGATACGGACTGACGCGTTCTCGTGTGTCACATGTACAGATGCTACTCATAGGTATGGTACAAATCCCTTGTCACATTCGGTACCCGGTTAAGATGTTTTAAGCGCTTCTATTAAAAAACTCGTACGATCCTAAGCCCTTACATGTATATCGCGCTATGGCTTAACTTTCCTACTCCTGCCCTGCGTGACGCCAGAACGACCTGTCGTACGCTGCCAATAGACTAGTGCATAGCGACTCGGGATATCGATAGGAGAAATATCTGCACTGATTACAATGTCGCAGACACAAGAGTAAGGGCTGGTAGGCAGGGAAAACATGTCCTAAGTTATGTCACAGACACTATAGCAAGGGCTGGTAGGTAGGTCAAAACATGTCAACGTTATAAGTTACTAAGTCGAAGACAGTATAGCCAGGGCTGGTCCGTAGGTAGAAGTACGTCTTGTAAGTTACCCGATGGGGTATCGTACATGTTCCGGTTTTACAGATACTTACTTGGTGCGTGCTCACAGATGAAGGGCAGCAGGTCACTGGACAGAAAAAACAAAAGTGAAGAAAGTTGAGTTTAATTATTCCAACGACTGCATGTTGAGCAGCTGAGTCAACCTAGGCTCTTGAACAGACTATAATGGGTTTCCAGTAGATAGACTGAATATTATGAATGGATGAATGAATGAATGAAAGACCTTTATTATAGGTATATGCTCTTACAAGCTAAGTACAGGTCATGAATAAAGCAGTAAAATTACAGCAATATTTTACCAAAATACATACTAATGTTGGCTACTATGTGCATGTTCAACTTTTCGCTTCTTATTAAGACAATCGTAGATAGATATATTAACATATGGGAGCTAAGGATACATGGCTTGTCTAGTTTCATAATTAATACGAATTTTTCTGTTCTAATAAACTTCTATCTAAATGTCTGAAGCTAGGAAACTTGTCCTGTATACAGGTATGGCGGATATCTCTCTTATTTCTCTAAAATGCACAGCCAACACCATAGGGGCACATTGTAAAGTGGACTCTTAATCCTATGGCCGGCTAAAACATCTATGTTCAGGCTATTTGCCCAATTTCTACTATTTTCCAGCCACGCATTGGAGTCTGTTTAGAGACTATATCTGTCTGGAGTCAGCCTGCATGTCTGATGTAGAGTTGACATCAACATGTCTGACAATGCGGGGACTGTTGTGACAACTGGCCAGTTCAAACAACCATATCACTGAGGGAGTTCGGCACATTATTGATGTACACAAGTGAAGAATAACGAATAAACACTGGCCCGGACTGTGTTCTCGGATTCAAGCCTCAAATATACACTTCGCGATGAATGCACAAAACGTGTAAGACTAGTATATACCGTTATGTATCATTACATCTTTAGAATCGATCTAATTTTGTTGGGTACAGATTTCGAAGTTGATTGATCTTGTCAAAGTTCCCGTGTGTTTACAAATCAGAGTGACTGTCTGTACATTTCAGTTCGCATTCCTTACCCCCCATTTAACAATTGAGACGGTATGTAATTGATAAGCCAACGGACCGGCTTACAGATAGCCGATAGGAAGGGTACACAGAATCAGAATAAGTTAGATGTAACAGTTTGATATCACAAAAAAAAAAAACGTCACTCAACTCTGGTCTGTGGTGTCCACTGCCGCAGTCTTCCTCTGTATCCGGACTGATCCAGGCGCTATGTGAGGAAACAACATTTTTACTGAGTATTCAGTCCACAAACCACGCATTTCCAGTAACCTGTTATCCATGTTACCCCTCATATTGTCTCACTCACTTTCTGCGAGCTCAGCATTCGCATAATATAAACCAACTTTGCTAGAAATGATCAAAAGATTGTAGACCGGATAAGAAAAATGTCCACTGTAACCCACAGGAAAATCAATAAACTGCATGCGTTTGTCAGTGTGATTCAGTAATATTATCCAGTTTGTCACTCGGATTTCAAACAACGGAAGAATTAGAACTATTCAAAAGTACAAAAAGTACAAAACAGAAAAGTCTGGAGGGACGCTGTTTTCTCAACACATACAATATAAGTTATAGGAGGAGCTAACGGCTCGAAAGGTAAGGTTTGTCAGTCCATATGTTGCATGCGCTTTACTAATTGCTGCTGATATATTACCCACCATCTATGCTAGTCTGGCATATTTGTATTGTAATACATTTGAATTTCGAAAACGTTCTTTTGTAGCGTTCAACGGTGGCTAGACTAGATCGTTGTTGAATCTCCTTGGACTAATCTACAAATGATCAGGGTGGTGACCCCACTGACCCCCCAACCTCTGTCCCCAAACGGCCTGTAGTGTCCATCGATCTGTGACATTAGAATCGTTAACGGTTTGGGGTCAGGCGAGTCCATCATCATCATCATCATCATTCAAGGTTGTCATTCAAGCGAGCCCATTTCTACCAAAGTTGGATCTTATCAAGCGAAGGTGGCAATTGTTTCAAGCTTAGTTTTCAGTTTTTTCTGAGGTTACCCGCCCAGTGATTACATTTTACGTGGTAGTTGTCCTTGTCAACAAATTTATGTATTGAATAATATTTCATATAGGTGCCAGTTTCAGGATCCGTATACTAGAGTATATTTTGTATGCGGTTGGCAATTTGGCACAAGCATACATATGTGCGAACCCTCAAAACTACAGCCATGTCTTCATTTCTTTACCCTAACCTCGGCCATTTCCTTACTGTATAGATCTATGTACACTCCACTCACTGTGTTCTGTAGAAGAACTCGGCCGCGTGTTCGTCATGACAGTCGGGCGCGGCCAGACGTCCGTCCTGCGCCTCACAAAATGCGGCGGCCCCGGAGTAAGTCTCCATCTCCGTGGAGAAGTAGTAACAGTGTCCTTCGTGTTCTTCGTAACCCTCCGGACATTCTGGAAAAATTACCAACGGAGAGCGAGTCATCTTTATCGAGCATTTTGTACTTTTCGTAGCCGATAAGAGTGTCAAAGAAGTGCACTTCACACTTGCACATGTACTATATATGTACATATATGTTAAAAACTCAATAAAGGTCTAAGAAAATGGCGGGAATGGCGCGTAAAACTTAACTCTACATCCAATAAGAAGTTCTAAGAGTTGTAGCGATTGTCTACGTGGCACTCCATGACGTCATACATGTTAGGAGCGCCCTAGCTCACTCGGAGGCCGTACAGTCTACAGTCTAGTCTCCTGGGCAGACATTTGGGGTGGCAGGTACGTAATTTTATCTGGCTTGAATCTGATCGCTTGCATGTTCTAATGTTTGGTAGGACACCCCTAGGTTATGGTAGTACCAAAGTGAACCGCCAGCAACCCCAAAAAGAGGACTACGTTGTCGTACAGCCAAACGTTTACTAATTTTTACCACGTCCAGCTGAAATTCGTGCACTTTATACGACTTTCTTGTCTTCCACGGATTCCTTTCTTTAGTTTCTGACAAATATAGCAGCTCTTTGTCAAAATTAGCCGGATAATTTGCCAAGTGCGCTGGCGCTAGTAGGTCCGGGTGCCTAGTCTCAGTAGCAGACCCAGCCGGACGTTTTTTTAATAAACAACGTACTTTTTAGAAAATAAACAACGTATTCCGTTGTTCCCGCTCGAACAGTATTTAGGTCAGTGCCCGGTAGTGATCAGAAAGCTTCGTCGAAAACTGCGTCGCAAAAATAAAGAATAAGCCCGGTGTGTTCTGCAACAGAAGATACAAGTGGCCGCCTGTCCTCTCGTCGGCTATACTACGTAACGGCTCGAGCAACTTGTTCGGTCTGCCTGTAATTAACTAATTAACAATCAACATAGTCCGCATTATAAGTTCAACTCTTACCGTGCGCGTGTTCGTCCTCATGTTCGTGCTCGTGTCCGTGCACCTCGTCGCCGTGCTCGTCCGCAGAGCCCGTACGGGGACCCAACAGCCCGACGGCCGCTAGGAGAAGAACACCGACCACCAGGCGGGGCATCGCGTCGCTCGGAACGGTTGCTGACTAGTACTGCTGGCACAAAGGTTGAAAGGACACAGGGCACCTCTTTTGCGCGCTTGTGGAACGTAAGGTTTACCGTACACACTTGTAGACGACAGGTATAAACCCTAGCCTGGTGTTTTCAAACTTTTCCTGGTGTCTTCTGGAACAAACTCTCGGAGAGATGAGAGAGAATTTGCCACGTATATCGTATCCTGTCTGGCACCAGGCCCTGTAATGACGTCTTCATATCTGTCAATTAAACTAGATTAGCGAACATGTGATGGTGAGGAGCTTTTGATGTCACCCACTCTGCACCGCAATCAAGGTGTGTGATTGGGCCTCGCGAGTTGGCGGTCTACATCCGCGCGCAGTTTGAGTCGGGTCTGTTTCTCTACAAAAAGAAGGAAAGAAAGAAAAAGACGAGGTACCACTAAAACTCATTTATACCAGTAAATTGGTACCTAAGGCTTTGACAGTCAAGAGGTGTGAGGAAGGGGTAAAGATCTGTCTTTTCCAGCCTTTCCTCGTTTCTCAGAACGATTTTCTTTGGGAAATGTTTGAAACACTAGTCCCTCCTCCCGTATCCTGTCTGGCAAAAGGCCCATGACTCGTTGAGATCTGCCAATCAAAGCGCGGGTGCACGACTGTTGGTATTGCAACATTTTTCTTCAATAACGTGATCTGGCCACACAAGATTAATTCCATGTATGCTATCAGTTCTTGAAAATTATGACCTGTCCAACGATATGCTATTACACCTGCTGAATACTAGTAGTTTCCTGTCGCGTACGATGGCCATGGAGGGGTCTCATTGACTGATATATGGTACCTATCGACCAGCTTTTCCAAGGTGAGAAAAATACAATATATCGGCCTGTTCTAATTACCATTCACGCAACGTCGACATCCTATATTTAGTGTGTTGTTTGGGCATCAGGAAGTTGCGTCTAGTCAAGTCGTCGATGTTTAGGAAAGGGATACGTGTAGGAAGAGATAATCTATATTAAACGTACAGAAGCATTTGTCTATTGAAATTCAATTTCAAGCACAATAATATCGACTGTATTGCATATTGGTTTATCACGCTACGTTCCTTCACAGGCGTCAGGTCACAAAGTTTTTGTTGAAATGGCCGTTGCGTTATAAACTCACAATTATACACTTAATTAAAGCACACTGTGTACGCTCAGTCCTCTAAAATATTCCAGAGAATTAGACACTAAACATGCTGTACTCGATCCGATCAACCAATTCCTATATAAACTTGTGTATGAAACACGCACTGTGTACTCGCTTCACCGATCGAGGACTCCAAAGAATACGAAAGGTGCCGAATTCACCTGGAGATTGCCGAGAGCTAATTAAAAAGCGACTTCCGCAGCGCACGAGGAATTTTGGTCGAGAGTGAATATCGTTTGTCACATATTATTAGCCTGACTGAACCTCGCTTTTCGCCGGCTCCCTAGTTAGTCCGCCACCCTAGTTAGTTTTGGGTGGCGGACTATGTAGGGAGCCCCCCGGAGCTTGGGTTTCACAGGCTAGTCACATATCATTTGATATATTACATATAAGGTCATCCATAGAATGAAGTATCTGTGGTCTTGCCTTGACAATAAAACGCCCAGTGTGCAACACCAGTGTCTGTGTGTCCGCCAGGACTTTACATCAATCAGTAACGGTCTTTGAACTTTTCATTGATCTGTTGGACATTTAGACAGAGCTACCTGATGTTTGTTAACAATGACACATACAAAACCCAATCAAGCTTTGAAGTCTCTTTAAAGCAGGATCTATATTTAAACATGAAAACATTTTTAGATCTTTTTCAACTGTAAACATGTTATTCAGCCTTGTTCCAAGTAAGAAATCATAGAAACTGGCAGTTAGTATCAAATTGTACAAGAAACAAACATGTAGCCAGTGACAGATAATACTGCTAGTATTGGGTTATAACACAAAAATAAAGGTCAGAACATTTTGTATCAGATATAGGAGTTTTATTATTAAGTTATAGAAAACATACTGTACAAGTAATGAGATTCCTTGTAGGTAAGACTACGAAAGATACATGTACATCTTACAGTAGATTTTCTGCTATTCCCTACATTTGTATCTTGGCTCTCTTCAGACAATCAAATCAGGACAATGATATCTCAAAATGTATGATGAACGTTTTGGATTTTGTTGATGAAAATGACCAGGTGTGCTTGGTGATAGGGCTGACGTTTATCTCTGCATTCATTTGGATCAAGAATAGCAGGCCCACTTCTGTGTACTTGTGGAAACTTACTGACATGTAGTCTTTTACTTCCAAACACTGGTCACACCCCTGCCAACAAGATTGGCAACTTTTTGTCAACCAAGCATGATAGCGGAAAGCGAGGGAGGGCCCAAGAAAAGCCGATAGGTTTCTGGGGCTCCTGTGCACGTTTCTTGATTTTGAGACTGTATTTAGCTACTGTTATTTTCTGTTGGAAATTACATTGAAACCTGCTTCAGGACCAATGCAATGCTTTACAAATGTCCTTGAAGTTTAGCCTGGGTACCATCCGGATTTTGTATACGGGAATTTGGTACCCAGACTTGAAGTTGACTTGATGTAGAAAAGGTTCTGTCAGCGAATGTTGATGTTCCTGATGACGTAGATGGCCTCTGCGTCCGTCCCACACACCACGTTCCTGCCCACGATGTCCAGGGAGTTGACCGACATGATGTTGTCCGGCAGGAGACTGGACACCTCCACCTTCTGTTTCCCTGTGTTGGCCAGAAGCCAGGGGCTGGACTGGGCCTGACTGGCGGCCGGCGCACGGGACGGGAACGGTGTGCCTGGAAGTTCAAAAAGAATTAAAACACATTTCAATCGGATTATCCAGAACATTCTGTTTTATTTTTATTTTTTTCACTCACTCAATCACTATCCAGGATTTAATCATTCTGATGCCGGTGTCAATGACAGGGGTCGGCGGCAGTTTGTTTTAGTTACATTTATGCAGGATGCTTGTAAGAAGCCACCTCCTCAAAAATATAAATTCAAATACATGTATGACAATCATATTGGGAATACATTAGAAATACAAGATGAGCCACTGAAAACAAGCAAAAAGGAGACCTACCAGTACAAGAAAAGTATGAACAAATTTCATCATGTTGTGATTCACACATAAATGATAAAGACAATGTTCATTTACGAGCAAGGAGGTTAAAATTTTTAAAAACCTCCTTGGTACAAGTGACCTACTTGCTGTTGGTGTTGCCATGGCGAGGGGTGTGGCCGTTGCCATGGAGACATCCCAGTGCCAGAGGGAGCCGTCCTGGGAGCAGCTGAACAGGTGGTCAGGGTGGGTGGGGTGGAACAGCACCTCCCACACGTGGGGGGGGGGATAGAGGGTGTTAGGTCATAGGTGATAAGAGCTCCCCTTAACCACTAACACATGAAACTTCAACTGTGCTGGTACAAGGCACTGCGAGAAAGGTCTAAGTTCACCCCCAGTAACATTGTTAGAAAATTGTTCTCCACAAATTTCCAAACTTCACACTAGAGAGCTGGGGCCTAGGGTTAACTAGGGACAACTTGAGGCCCTATGCCTAAAATAGAACATCCTGGAGACACCTGTCTACAGCAGACATTTATGATAGATTTATTCATTGATAATCTTCTTCAGGTATTTGGTAACATTTGGTATCATCAGCAGAAAAGACAAAGAAGAATGATTTGACTCACTGTCCCACAAATTTGTAGCGTGTCTTAAGAGGGCTGGGACCTAAGGGTTACCCAGGGACAACTTGAGGCCCTATGCATAAAATAGAACATCCTGGAGACACCTGTCTACAGCAGACATGCGTAAGCTCCTGATGCCCACGGATTATAGATTTATTGATTGATAATCTTCTTCAGGTATTTGGTAACATTTGGTAAGAACTGTTAGATTCCTGTTGTTATCATCAACTCAGAGAACAAAGCAGAAAGATCTGTCTCCTTCGGTACTCACTGTCCCATGCGTGAGCGTCCATGACTGACACGGGGTGTCTCTCCTGCCGCAGGTCCCACATGTACAGTGACCCGTCCTGACCTCCCGTCGCCACGATGTGCGGCTGGCCAGGATGTTTGTCTAGACAGTGCAGCGGGATGCGGTCACCTGACCTACAGGACACACAAAAGTCAAAGACCTTCAAAACTTTATTTTCAACTTTATGACACTTAATTATGTACCATGCAATACTCTATTATGTATAATGTATTTGATAGTTTGGGATGGAATGTGCTTTGTACGTAAGCGAGGGGAATTGATGTGACATCATATTGAACCGAAAATCATTGATATACATGTACAATGTTAAGATTAGGTTCACTTTGCACTGATGAGAAAAAAAAAATTCTTCTGCAATATCTGGGTCCATCTGTACTTCTATCTAATAGACATATTTTTAACTATTGTTATTAGGTGTATTTTTATCTGTATGTTTTCCTTTATATGGGCGAGTGATGCCTGAAATAAAGAATAAAGAAAACTGTATCTTGTTACATTCTGTCTTACTCTGATGTCTCATGATCTCAGGGAAAAGCAGCCAGAAGGCTAATTTGAGCATTTCATGAATAAAGAAAGATTCAAACAAACCAATGACCTTTACATAGAATATTTCACTGCAGAATTCTATCTTATCAGCAAAGACATAACTGATATCAAATTGAACCCAAAATAACCTACAGTAAAAATATTCTGGTTGGTTCTGAGCTGGGTCGTCTGAGGTCAAACACCTTCAGCTGGCCAGTAGAGTTAACTGTGATGACTTCAAATGCTTTAAGGGACACGGCATTCAGGGTACAGCTGTCTGCATTGTCTGGAAAATAGTGGGTAAAACAAAATCAATCTACACGTCAAAATGTAATAAAAACAAGCACTATAAGACTGTTACTGACACAAAAAAAAGTGGAAGTTTAGGTTACTGTTATGTCTTTGAGTACATAATGTTCGAACCAGTGAAGGTTCCCTGGCTGTTGTACGAAGAAGTGAAAGTGTGTAGGGATTGACATCAAACTCAGAGGTAAAAGTTGCTCTACATACAGGGGAAAGTTAAATCTGTATCTATTATATTCTCTCTCTATTTATTTATTTATTTCTGTTTTATTTATACAGGGCGTATGCACTCAGTGCTAAATGCACTGCTTTTCAGGCATGCCCTGTAACAAACAGTCAAATGTGAAAACAGTGAAATCAACACATAATACAATACAATACAACAATAAGGTGGAAGTTTCCCTACCTATAGTTCTGATGGGTGCCCTGTGATCCAGCCTGACTACGTTGATGCGCCCGTCCTCCCCGACAGTGACAATGTCGGGTAAGGTGGCGGCCAGGCCTGTACAGGGACAGCCGTGTCCGTTGTGGTGGTGTAGACTCTCCCACGTTTGACCAACTGACAGAGTCTGCAAATAACACACACAACTTTAGTGCTCTTAAACTTTTTAAGAAGATTCTCAATCATATGATTATTATCTAAGTGTTTGGAGCAAAGGGCTTGAAATACTGGCGCATACTAGTATGCACTGTTGTGCTCCCAAAATTGGAGCTGCGCATCTGCACCTATTTGTGAAGGTTTACGTTTGTTACGCTATGATGATGTACACTATAATAATAATTAATATACAACATATTTTTGATATTGGTGTGAGAAAAGATAACATTTGTTGTATAAATGTTGTGTACCCGATATTTTTGCTGTGAAATCTAAATCTTTACGTTAGGGTGACTAAGTAGTACATCTGTAAACCTATATACTCAGCTACATAGAGACTACAAAGCCAGACAAACCTGTGAGTTGTGATGATGTTTGTACAAAGTAACGTTCCCTGCTGAAGAGGCTGCCAGGATTTTGTCATAATCCAGGAACTGAAACAGAAGGGAAGGAGACATGTGAAATACAACAAATCAATGTTCTAATGGCTGTGAATAACTTCACCTAAATACACACACATTCATCTTGTGCTTATTCGATCTTCAATAAAGAGTCCCTGCGATTTTTAAGTACTAAAGTAAGGATAACGGAAAAACAGTCACCATCAAGTTTAGCATCACATGGATCATAAAACAGGCATCTTGCAAGTGAAAGTGATCAGTTTAGCTCAATGACCAATGTTGCAGCTGTATTACATAGCTTTAAACAATGCTTAGACTTAGAGTTAGATGCTCAAAGGGTAGGTGTTACAAGTCGTTCGTTGTAATGTAGCTACTAGTAGCTGCTGCCGCGCCGCGTGCCTGTGAAGCTGCTGGGTTATGCCGAAGGGCGGTTATTCTGGCTATACTGATACAGAATGTCGCAAGACTTTATTCCCATCCTGATTACTAGTACCTTGAGGTCTTTCACATCCCCCCGGTGCGGCACCTCACACACCAGTCTGGGCTCAGCAGACCTGGCCGGGAGCTGGCCTTTTGCAGAAGCGCCCTCTGTCTTTGCCGGCGTGTTCGGCAGGTGCCAAAGCCGAACTCTGTTCTCCTGAAAAGATGAAATTAAGATGTGACATTTTTTCACGTTAATAAGTTTTTTTACAATAAATCACAAAAGGCGTACACTTTAAATAAGCCAAATAAACCCAAACTCAATTTCCTGAAATAATCATATGAAGGATTAAAAAAAATATTTTCTGTACAAAAACTATACAATGACTGTAAGACATGGTATGGTATATATGGGTGGTATGTAGGTCAATAATAGTGTGAATATAATTTTACGGCACACGCAAAACTTGATCAGTTCACACCTGCACACCTTTGGAACTCTGTGCCCCCCTCCCTCCCATATCTCACATGGCCTTGTGTATCTGTACAGCTAAAATACCTTAAACTGAATAATTTTGACCGTCTACGCTTACCTCATTATCCCAGCTTCCTGACACGAAGACGTCAGACTGCTGAAGTGCCTGTGGACCCTGCGGCCGCCACCGAATCTTATTTACTTTTTCGGAAACAAATTCTGCGATGCATTCCGCCATTTTGAATTTAGAGACTTGCCGCCAACATCCGGGACCTCTTTTAGGAATATTTCATAGTTTCAAAGGGATATTTTGTTTATAAAACAAACTCGCCTTACACTGTTGTTTTGTAAAGACAAATACAAAATTGTCATCATTACATGAATATAGGTTTGACATGTGTATAGTCTATTGAATACCGAGTAACGTTTAGAAATCTGAGCAAAACTAAATGTCGTTTAAAATGTTGGACCCTTTTCTAAAGGTAGACTAGTCCGACCGGAAGTAGAGGAGAACAGATACGAGGAAGTGACATTTGAGTTGCTCCCGTGACACTCGTAGAATCCACAAGTTATGGTGAGTTTAGGGAGCGAAGGAGCCCGGCAAGGCGCCTATTTCTTCGACCAAGAAGCAAGCCTGACTTCTAAAGACGAGGAGTTACTTGTAGACCAGACTTTATCCGCGGAAAGCGACCCAGAATTCCACCCCATCTCCACCGTTTGGGCCGGGGTAACCCAGGCTGTCTTGGTCGTTGCGTTCGCCGTAGCTTGTTTCGTTCTTCCCGAGTTAGACATCTCCATATCTATACTTGTATACTGTCAGACTGGTCTCTGGTTCCTGACGTTTCTCCTAGAGCGGTACATGCGGTATCAGCACTTTGTTTCCCGACGAAACGGTTACTTGGAGTTCTACCGACAGACGAAAGACATCCGTCGGCTGCCCTTCATCGTGATCTCGGCGGGTTCGTCGCTGCTACTGGCCGTGCTCCAACTTCTGAGCGAGCTCAGGGAGAAAGACCAGAAGAACGCAGCCTTAAAACCCGATCATTACATACAAGGTCTGTTCGAACTTCGAAGTAAAAACAACGTTTGAATGGATTATTTTACATATGTTTAAACTGTATTATCGTTTGTCTATGATTATGTCAAAATGAGGTTAAAGTCAAGTACATGTCTGTAAACTAGTACATGTTTAAGGACATGCACGCACATGCCCAGTGTCAAAGCTCAACATTACTTAAGGAATCTATACAAAAAATGGTCTGTTGATTTTGTTTTCCGGACGTTTGTCAACATAACCTTTGGCACTGGGCATGCAGCACAGTTGTAATTAATACTAATTATGAACCTGACTCTGTTCTTTGCAGTCCTGGCAGCCCTGGAGCTTGTGACCACCCTGCCGTGCCTGATCCTGTACCTGGTGCGAACCGTCCGGTTCAACAGCAGCCGTGCCTCGCCTGACGTGCAGCAGGACGAGCTGGGCTTCATGCAGTCACACGTCACCTCTACAGAGGTCGGCTTCAGGGACGGCGACTACCTGGACGAGGTGCGGTTACACATACATGTACTGTATAAAAAAAAACAAAAAACATGTTGCAGCTTGTTGCTTTAGTTTTATTGAGCCTGGGTGCCATCCTCTGAAGTGTAGTACTGATGACTTGCATCACTCTTCTTCCTCGAGTCCCTTCACATATATGCAAAACATGTTTACATGTATATCTAGTATAACAACAACCTGTTAAAGAATGTACGGTTAAATACTGATGGCAGTATTTGTTATTGTTCAAAAGTCACAAAACTGAGAACACATTGCCTTTCAGTTTGTGAGGAGAAGTTTGTTGCTAACTTTCTTCTGCTGTTTTAGGCCTATATATAAAATGGCCAATACTTGGGTGATTGTCACTACACATGTACATCTGTTCTGACATGTCTTTCTCTCCTCCCAGGTGCTGGAGAAACAGGCGGACATGATCCGCTACCTGCAGCAGCACAACGCGCACCTGGGCAGGCGTATCCTGCACCTGACACAGGACCAGTCACAGGCCAACTCCAGACACTGAAGTCTGGGGGAAGACTCGATACTGCATATGGCAACCAGTTCCTGTAAATAATTGTAAGGAACATGTAGAAAGCCTCCTTGACTTATCTTTGTGTACATGCATGGGTTCAATTTATTTTGGTACATTTTTTTTGTTCAAGCGAAATGTTTCTTTGATGTTTGGGTAAAAGTTGAGTGGCAGGAAAAACACTCTATAGAGTATACTTGTACATCAGTTGATTATAACATCTTCTTAATGATAATAGAAAAATACCTTACAAGGTATATTCTCAGTCTGCAGATGTGGAGAATGACTATTTAAGAAAGTATTTTGTATAGGTCATGTAGATACAAGATTCAAGATTGACTACTTAATATAAAGGTAACAAAATCTAAGTCTTTACTAGTAGATTCTAGGATTTTTTGTTAAACATTGTTGTTATCATAAAGTGCAATGGGTAAAATGAACGGAAAGTACACTGGTACAGTAATGTGGATTATGCTTTGCCAGCTGTAATATATTTATCTATCACCTTGCTGGAATATTTGTCATGGGAATCAGACAGCAGACTTTCCAAGAACTTATTAAAACACGGATCTTGCAGAGATGAGATTGAATATTGACTTGTCAGAGACTTGTGTAAAAAATGTTGATGAAGGTTAGTCATTCGGGTAGAATATTACAAAATAATACAAAATAAGTCAAGCAACTGGATAAAGTTGGTTCAGATAGCATCCAATATCTTTCATCAGTCAAAGATGAAAGATAGTGGATGCTAAATTAGAAATGCCTGACACTTGAAGAGAATTTATCCAGTTGTTTGATTAACCTGTGTAAGGAACTTTGTAAATATCTGCAATTTTGATAGGCAAATATGTTGAAAATTGTATTCTGAATGTTAATAAACCATTTTGACAAGAATCATTTGTCTGATTGTACTGTTTTTATGTCCTAATAAACACAATGTCAAAAAGAAAGTCTTTAGCATTAAAAGTCATTTATGTTAAAAACTTAAATCCCATGGGCTTCTTGTAAAGGACACTAGCTTGCAAATTCTGTTTTACACAACCATTGAGCACTCTGATGTACAATATACATGTACATATTGTGCTTTATACCACAGATAGCACCAGTCACACTTGGTATTAAGCCACACAAATACATGATTAATTGTTTGAATCTTTGTTTATTCATGAAATACTGCAATTGGTCTGATCCTTATTTGAACATTTTGCAAGCAAGCACCAACAAAACCAACACAGTGTTTATACAGTTGACTACAAAGATTTATGTACCTGCTGTACTTGCACAAAAGTACATTCACCTCCAATGCAAGAATATCTGTATGGAGGTTGTACTTCCCAGTTTTACATACATTGTGGGTGTGTTAACATTACACCATGAGAGTTAGTTAACATCCTGTGCGATTCAGATCTGGGCAACCTGAGATGCTTAGATAAGGTCAAGTCTTATCAAAGAAGTTAAAACTTTGAGTCTTAAACATGTACATGTACCCTACAGAGCCTCCATCCAACAGTACATGTACATCTCTGGGAAATCTCAGTTCTCTTTTCAACTGTCTTTATGTGTTGCTTCTGGGTCATCCTTGATAGCATGTAGGGCGTAGTTCATCTCCGTGGAGCCTGTCCAACTCCAGTGGTTCAAGAAGGGGTTGTAGGACATACCATGGATCAGGCGGGGGTGGCAGTTATCTGAAAAGGATGAAAATTCAAGTTGTCTTTGTCAGCATAAAATTGATTATAAAGACTTCTATTTCTAAATCTAAAACTGTAACATGATGTCACAATGCAAGACATTGAGACTTTAAAAATATTCTTTCAATAATGGGCCCTTAGGTAGGAAAATGTTTGCTACTATTAAGTCTGTGATTTTCTAGTCCTTTTTACATACTGCTAGCAAAACATTGCAGTGAGGGAGGGAGACAATCAAAAACTCACTAGCTCTCAGTTCTTCTTTCAGCTCCTCTGGAGGGACAAACTTGTTCCAGTTGTGTGTTCCTCTGGGCACGACACGGACTATGTACTCTGCTGCTATCACTGCCAGGTAGTACGACTGGTTCGTACGGTTGATGGTAGTGAAGAACAGTGATCCTCCAGGCTGGAAAATACAAACATTTTTTGTCATTTTGTCAGTTTTGCTGCAATCAGCATGACATACATCTGCAGACAAGGTTACCTATATCTAGTCAAAGGCAAGTTCTGGTAACAAGGATATAAAAAATATCCAAAATTATATGTAGCAGGACATTGAAACCTGGAGGTTGGGGCTTATGTTTTAGGAAAATGGAGCTCTGGTTATCCTAAGACTTTGATTTAGATGAGAAAGAAGCTGGGGAAGTGTGAGCCGATGCAATGACAGAAGTTGTTCTGTAAACCCACCTTGACAAGGTCACAGCTTGAGCCTATAAAGTCATCCAGTGCATCCACATGTTCTATAACTTCTGATGCCACCAAAGCATCGTAGTAATCCCTGACTTCTGATGCGACCAAGTCCTCCACTGTCCCATGGGTGAAGGTGAGTGTGTCCTTGAGTGAAGGGTCGTGAGCCATGTGTGCAGCAGCAGCCTTCACAGCTTCCTCCGAGGCATCCAGACCTGTCACCTGGGCACCCAGCTTTGCTAGGGGCTGTGGCAGGAGAAAATCACATCTGCTTGGTTGTCGAGATTTGAAACCAAAAATTCTAACTACAAAAATGTATTTTGTGACTCTTGCCTCTAGCAAGTGATAATGGACATGAATTATATGTAATGTGAGAAAAATATACTTGTGGAAAACCAGGAACAGGACTAGTTATTCCATCATCCTTGTTACACTTCTAAATCTGCCAAAGTAATGAACAGGAACGACAGCTTCTATCTTGTGCATATGCTGAAAATTTTAGTCTCAAACTGAAAAAGGCCTGATTTCTAGTTACTGTAATTTGTATAGCCACAAGATTAATATTACACCTTACCACAGACAGAATCCCTCCTCCACACCCCACATCCAGGATCCTCAGTCCCTCCAGTGGCCGACTCTTCCTGCTGACACTGTGATGCTTCATCAACGTGTCTCTGATCAGGGGAACTCTCAGTCTGTTCATGGTGTGCAGGGCCTTCAGTTCACCCTGGGAAACAGAAAGGGAAATGTATGTCATAGCTGCGAACTCCCTAAGGCATGACTGGCCTAAGAATGGAGAAACAGGATGGAACTTCAGGTCATGTGGCGTACTGGCAGAGCATTCGGCTCAGAACCAAGAGGTCTCGGGTTCGAACCCTGCCATGTCACTGATCTTGTGCCCTTGGGAACAGCACTTTAATTACAAGACTTTCCTGGATGGAGGCCTGGCAAACCCCATCTCGTATTAGCCACAAAAAGGCAGCAGAATATTCAGCTAGTAGAAGGCGAAATGAAAGCGAAAAGAAGAACTGCATGTACACTCCTCACCTTCGTGTCCCACCATTTACTGGCCAGGGCATTGAACTTCTTCACTTCTTCAGGGTTTATGCTGGTTTTCTTCTTCTTCGCTGCTGACTCACTGCTGGAATATTCAGCTGTACTGCTGCAGTACCTAAAATGCCAAACAACATGACTTTGATTTGGTAACCACAGCCAATAGATCCATCCATCCATCCATCCATCCATCCATCCATCCATCCATCCATCCATCCATCCATCCATCCATCCATCCATCCATCCACCCACCCATCCACCCATCCATCCACCCACCCACCCATCCACCCATCCATCCATCCACCCATCCATCCATCCATCCATCCATCCATCCATCCATCCATCCATCCATCCATCCATCCATCCATCCATCAAATATCAATCAACCAATCAATCAATCAATCAATCAATCAATCAATCACCTTTATTTTTAGTTTAAGTTTTTTCTCAATTTTTTTTCATTATCCTTTCCTTTTTTGATCCTTCTGGATTTTTAACCTCCTTCATCCTTGATACGTACATGTGCAGGTTTGGGAAAGGTAACGTTAACGTTTAATAACGTTATAGCATGGAGGTAGAAAAATGAGACATGGTTATAGTATGCCCTACCTAAGGCTGAATGAAGTATTTCTCCTCGTCGTATTCAATACACCATTTAAACGCAGCAGTGGGGCTCTGTTGGACCGTAGAAACACGCTGATCATCCTTCCACAGAGTTTACACGGGTGCATTTTCCTCAGATTTGTAATAAAGCATGCAAGTCTTTCATAAGGTCTCGGACCGGAGTTTTTTTCACGATTTTGGATCCGGCGGACACCCTCAGACCGAAGGGCTATAACTCCGCCAAAAAAAGTACGCCGGGAAATCTCATTACATCAGTCAACGGAGGTTTCCAACCGGCTTCCGATACAATTTTGGTTATTGTCCGTCGACTCTATAATTTGGGTAGAAACTGTAGTTAAACGTAAATTTTGGATACGAAAAATGTAGTTTTTTTGCAGTTTTTTCAACGGACCTGCTTGGAAAAAACGAATTTTCCCAGGCTAACGGCTTATATGCTGAAATAGCTTACTACTTTCTGTTTCTGAAAAACAGAAAAAAAATATAGGTTGTTGCGATAAGTTTTTCGCAAAATCCGGTGACGCGAACCCCTAGAAATTCCACATAGAACGCAGCTATTTGGGTCATCAGGCGACAAACCGCATCACCCTTGCTCGCGGACTAATACCAAAAACGCTTCGCTGGCCGTCCAACTTCACCGCGCCGAAAAACACTACAATCCCAAGGCTTTTTGATCAATTCGAAACGTAGTTGAAAATCTACAGCGATCGCCGAGCTATGGGGAGCCAAACCTAGCGTGACAACCTCGCAGATCCGGCGATTTACTGCGCACTATTTGGAACCCTGGTCAGAATTAAACTCCGACCCGGAACCATAACATCAATCAAGGGTGAAAGGTCACGGCATGACTTTCGCCAGGTGTGATGGGAAATGTTTAGCCAGGTCCACTCCTAGCTCGGGGGATGTAAAATATTTGGATATCCACTGTTTTATTGATCTATACTGAATATTCTAGATAATGTTTGCGGATAAAATTCAAATGTATAAATTTAAAATGTTAGAAAACTCTTTTATTAAGGTCATTTTGGTGAAGATATTCAGTATGGAGGGAAAATAAAAGAGTAGTTTCCAACCCCTTTTGGAATGGAACATCTGTATGATTCGGTAATTTCCGGAGATGGTCGGTAATATTCGCCTGATGACGGCGAGAGACGGAGGCAGTCAGCCGAGTGCGAGCGAGGTCTCTTTTTCATGTCAAATTCTTTCTGTTTTATGGGGGTTTCAGGACACCTACATCTACATAGAGTGTACACCCACTTCCTTAGCAGGGATCTGAAGGGATGGGATGGTTTGATATCTCCGCGTAGTCGAGGAAAGTGGAATTTGTTTGGTGGATCTCGCTTGCCGCCATTTTGTCTGGTGTTTCCGATCTGTTTGAACGATCGTCTGTGCTGACCTGAGTTATATCTGTACGTGATCAGCGGGGTTACACCGACCTGGGGTCCGATTTGTACCCTCTTTTTGCGCTGACGGTAGTAGGTTTGACTTGCTGTTAGTTTTTACAGGAATAGAATGTGGTCAAGAAGAAAGAACCAGCCTTTTTTTCGGAGTTTTGCTAACGCCACGGTTACCTTGGAATGGGACGAATTTATCTATGTCACGGGAGGGGGCGTGCTAGCTAGATCTTACGGTAGAGCAAGAAGCCTCAAGGATCATCCATGTTTGAAGATACTTGAGTAGACTTAGAGACTTATAGATCATCTAGTCGATGATAGTACTTTATACTTTTCATATAATTTGTTAAGTACTATAAGTTAAATTCACACACGTACTGCAAGATCGAAAGGTGAAACAGAGGTGCCATAAAATAAATAGTTTACAGTGCCCTAAGGCATCAGCTTACTTTTAACTACTGTTCTTCCCATAATTGTCCTAAAAGTGAATAATACTCTTTGTTTTGACTAATCAAGTCTAATGAATTATTTCCATTACCCTCCAGAAATTCTGAATCTTTGTAGTATTTTACGTAGTTTTTAATGGTGTTAAATAGCAATTAGCAGTGTCGGTCATTGGACTAGGTAGGTAGGTATATAGCAATTGGACTTTTGATGTAGCAAAGGAAAAGGGAACATTTTGAATGTTCCTAGGTCAATTTCTTTTTTGTAAATGTCAAGGCGATTTATGTCGCAATATAGGAAACCCCTGCAAGTCCGGACACATTTTGCCCATGCGGGGCGTGAATATGCAATAAAGGTCATTGTCATTGTGCTTACTAGTATTATTTCTAGACCCATCCAGGACCAGGCTCTAGTTGAGGGAGAGACATGTGGCCTGCTCAGGCCCAGCAATGGGGGCAGTGGCCTGCCACACAGCCCAACCCCATGTACCCACAGTCTTCAGATGGTGAGTTTTCTCCAGAGGACTACAGATACCAGCAATCCATGATATGCAGAGATGATTTTGAGATGGCACTGACTTAAGAAAAAGATATTAACAACCACAACTTGTTGCAGAAAAAAGAAATAAAGAATTTTGAGCCCTGGTAGTGGTAGTCCACAAGAAACTGATACAGTAGCACAAAAGCTGCTCAGCCACTAAGTGGACTGTCCACTAACTGGTTTCAGTGACCGCGGGGCGCTGCATTTTTTAGTGGTAAAATACCTCAAATTGCTACCAATTATTCAACATTAGGATGGTACAGTAAAATCATTAATTTATGACATTCTATGGTGGGTGTTTTTACTTTCTATGCATCTTTCTGAAGATTTTTAGGGCACCACCAGGCGAACGTAAATTCATGGTAACAGTCTCTGGGTTTGTCCTAACATTTTCTACATGCGCTACAGGCACGATAGACTGGGCCGCCCTAGCTCAGCAGTGGATCTCTGGGTTCTAACATTTCTTGTACACTTAAGGCACGATAGACTGGGCCGCCCTAGCTCAGCAGTGGATCGCCCAGAAGGAGGCCCAGGAAGCCATGACGGTGCAGCAACCGCCCGCTGTCCAGCCGCCGCCCTCGGAGGGAGCCGCGCCGCCGGTCACCTCGGAAGGCCAGCCGCCCGCGAGTATGCCCGGTGATACTAATGGGAGTGGGATTCCTACAGGAGGCATGGGGTATAGTCAGGCTAATATGCAGCCTTACATGTCAGACACATGGGCGCCAGGTGCGGGAACAAACACTTTTCTTTTCTTTCACTTTAGTGGCAAGTTTCAGTCTGATCAAGCCAGAATCATGTGTTTAGAAGAATCGAGTGAGAATGACTTGTAGAATGTACCACTAATTACAAAATAGAGTCTACTTACTTTTCATATTTTGGTAGGATTAAGTTCTAACTTCCAAGACAATGGAAAATGGGTCTAGTCACTAAGTTTATCGTATATCTAGAATATGACAATGTTACATGATCAAGCACAACGTGATCTTTATTTTAATAAATGAGGAGATGATAAAACAATGATAGGATAATTTCAGTCAATATCAACAGTCTCCTATGGTCTTGAAACATAGTTTTCTTAATGTAGTAGAACCAAGTAAAAAGTTGCCTGTGTCTGAACAGGTTTGAAATAAGGTAGGTAAGGTATGAAATAATCACCTGCCTGTAAAGGTATGCTGACTTGTGTCCTTCCTCCCCACAGCCTGGCCCCCCATGCAGGCCGGCTGGATGGCTCCGCCCAACACCCAGCCCCCACCCCCCGGGGAGGAGGGCTCCCAGCCCCAGACGTTCGACTACGGACACGGGGGCATGCAGAGCTTCGACCACAACCACGGCAGCCAGTTCCCCCCACCCGAGAGGTTTGACTACAATCATGGAGGGGCCGGGACGGCTCCAGCGGGGCAGTATGGCTACCAGCCACAGGTCAGGTTTTTACTGCTGTGTAATACAGGGGGTCTGTATAGGGAAGGTGGGCTAAATGCCTATGTGACCAAAAGTCGTCTAGAAGATGTAAAACATGGAGTATTGAATACCAAACCGTTTCATTCTAATTCTTAATGCTACATTTTTTTTTTCTTTTTTGCACTTTGTCGTTTTCATGTTTTCTTTTCAGCACCATCACCCCACCGGCCGCACTTAGCCGTGCACCCAGCACCCTGGTCGTGATGCCCCAGTGAAGGGTTTTGACCAGTACCACATAGAAATAGAAAAGTCTATATATTAATCAGTAACACTTGATGCTGAATTCAGGAAGGCTGGCTATGCTATGTTTAAGAGTAACACAAAGTATTACTGTACACTAAATTTCCAGTACATGTAATTAGAAGAATGTAGAATACATGACAATGAATTGAGTCAAATGATTGAGTTACAAGATAAAATGGAAAGCTTCCAAAGTTTGTTCAACTTCAAGTTCCCATTCTGACATTCCTAAATGTTTGTGTTATTCCTCAGGGCTATGGTGAGATGTACAACCAGTACTGGCAGGGGGGTCCTGCCCCCGTACCCCCTCCCAGGGAACGCGAGTTCAGGGGGCCGGGGAGGGAGCGGGAACAGCGGAGAGACCGGTCACCCCCCTCCCCGGCTGGGGGGGCAGCTGCAACCATAGGTAGGTTCACAGCACTGGGTGTTAGGTTGTTAACCCTAACAGTAACACTAATAGTAATGTGTGACAACAACTGTAAAACAGGTGCCATACATTTCATAAGCTGCTGTCTCACTTCTCAATCATAGTATACTGTGCACAATATCAATCTGAATCCAGAACATTTCCAATGTTTAATCACTTCTCTCCTTGACTTGCCTGACTTTGCAGAGGTAAAATTAGCAAACACATAATGTGTGACAATAACTGCAAAACAGGTTCCATATACATGTACTTCATAAACTACTGTCTTACTTGTCAACCACAGTATACTGTGCATGGTATCAAAGGATGCAATCTACATCAAGGTCTTCCCCAATGTCTAATCACTTCTTTTCTTTACTTACTTCTACTTACATGTAGTTACTTTTGCAGAGGTAAAATTAACAAACACATGTGACCACAAGTGCAGAAAGCCAATCATTTTGATACCCCTTTCTATAAGTCTCAAGAAATGATTTGCAGATGATGACTTTTTCATCTTAGCTTGCATCCTGTGTTGATTCTAATTACCCAGGGCCACTCGGAACAGTGGCAAGTCACTGATGAGTGCCACCCTGGTAAAAGAATACAGAAATAAGATGAGTTAGCTGCTCTATCTTGACCGATTTCTGTCTTCTTCCCCAGATGCTGCCAAACGTAAGATCCTCCCAGCGTGGATACGAGAAGGTCTGGAGAAGATGGAGCGAGAGAAACAGAAGGCACAGGAGAAGGAGCAGAGGGAGAGAGAACATGCCCAGAGACTGGAGCAGCAGAAGGAGGGAGAGAAAGAAGGACTGGGAGACGACACACAGGCAGTGTCCCCAAAATCTCTGCTGAAGAGCAAATATGTGAGTACGCGGCAGTTTAGTTTGAAGTAATCACTCTTTTCAGTCCCCAGGTTTGGGGGGTTGAATTCTGGCAAGTGTCGAGTGGTTAGCACCTCCTCTTTTAGACAATATGGCCACAGTTTTCTTTCTTTATTTGATGAGACACACATCTTGAGCTTTTAAAAGAACCCACCACACTTCTTGATAAAATGACCGTGTTTGATGTGTAGCTTGTACTCGCCAACTATGTAGAAGACTAGTGTGTTTGCCGACTGCAACCTTTTCATGGTCATAATTTTGGACTTTCTTATTTGAGACGCAAACAAGTCTAAAACTTTACTTGCCAAAACAGCTGCAATCAAATATCACAGAAACAGTGTTGAGTTTTCTCAATATGTTGCAGGAAATGTTAACTGTAATCTTATCCTTGTCTTGAAGGACTCTGATGAGGAAGAAGCAGAGAAGTCCAAACCTTCGGAAGAATCGGGAGACGAGCAGCCGGCCAAGAACAGATGGGATGACAGTGAAGAGGAGGAGGAAAAATCCGAGGAGGAAAAACAGATGGAATTTGTAAGTGTGGCAATTGACCGTTTTAATGTGGCAGTTTGAATCTTTGTTAACATTCCTAATATTCCTTGATGTCATTCCTAAGTCAAGACCAAAGTCAAGAATGCGTTAAACAGATTCCTGCTGAACTCTTCTTAAAGCTTTTCTACTTTATTGATGATTTATTATACATTTATCTATTATGTTATTGATAGAGGTAATGATAACAATGAACACAATGTGTGTAATTAAGTAACTTTGAGTTGTTTTAATGTGGTAATATAGTGATTGAGCCAACACTCATTGTATCAATGCTTACACCAGGCTCACTTTGTATTGATTAGAAAAAAATCCAAAACATTGGGGAGTATTTTATAAAGACTATTTTTAGACAGGTTCTGTTTGATTTCTGTTTTGAGTAAATAGTAATGATGTCTATCAAGTCTAAACCTCTATCCTGGCTTTTATGACAGGCTCTGAAAGTACGACAGATGCTGACTGAAGTGCTGTTAGAAGTGACGAACGAAGAAATGGCCAAGGTGGCTCGGGAAGTCTACCAGAGGGCGAAAGAGAAAGTGGCAAAAGGTACTCCAATTGAACCCAGCCCTCATTGGTTTTCTGTAAGGCTTGATATCTTTGTAATGTTCTCATTATGATGATGTCTGATTGTTATTACAGCTTTTGTACTGTGTAGGGCTTGTAGCAAAATCAGTTACAGTCAAATTTGATAAGAATTGTATAAAATTTACAAGAGGTGGAAGCTTTGAACACGTGAAGTGTTGAATCAGTTGATATGAAAGTTGTCTTCAGCAATATTTGTGTACAGTTCAGGAATGTCCAAGGATAACTTGTGTCAAAAGTATTTTCAATCTTATGTGGCCAATGCTCCTTAAAAAAGGTTGAGAAGCTGGAGAAAATTTCTTCAGTTTCCTTTGCCTTGGGCAGTCCTATTATCTGATATTACCAAGCAGGTACAGTACATAATTCTGGCATTGTAAGACTGACTGGAGTAGAGATGTAGGTGTTGTAGGTGTGCACCGTGACTCAGTGTTTTTCAGGAGTGGCTACAGCCACGCGGAACGTCGGACTTCCCTCTGCCGGCGCCACACACGCCCGCAGCCATCGCTGTAGAGTCAGTGACAGTGTTTTTGGTGTCCATGCATTAACATTTGTCCTGTTATAAACCTAAGCCCCTGCAAAGCAGCTAGCACAGTCCACTGCTCTGGCTTCTATCAGCAGCCTCGGTGAGTATCTCTTTGTTACCTTATTGTCTCAAGTGTTTGAGGTATGGGCACAAAAATTGCTGCTTTTTGTAGACATAATAGTAGTTTTCGCCAGGATGGCTCCCCAACTTGCTACTCTGCTCTCCCAACCGCTTGCTTTCTCATAACTCTTGCCTCTCGCTATCTGGGATCTTTTAAACCAAACTGTGTTGCTCTGCTAAGCTTCTACCTTTCCTGTCGTAATCACATATGACATCCAGGACATAAAATCTTTTCCTTACGCCATATCCATTCTACAAAAGCAGTATCCCTTCAAGCCTTCTATATATTAAGCTTCTGATCAATCTTTTATTTCAAGCTGAACTGCTTTGCCCTTCTGTTCTTTCCCTTCCTCTGAGAGAGCCATTAAGCACCCAGATCTCAGGCTTTCTTTCTTTGCTGGTTAATCTGTGTGCAGGTAAAGATTGTGCAGCAAACCCTGAGATAGTCCAGATCCCGCATTTCAAGTGCAAGCCATGTTTTCTGTCTTTTGGAATTACTAATGAAACTCTAATAAGAGACAGGGAGTGTCAAGTACAAGAGCTAATGTTGCAATATCTTTGACTAGCGAAAAATAAAACATGTAGGTTTTCTCTCTTCTGAGTTGTTAAAACTTAATCAAATGATGCTTTTCAACATTAGTCCTGATAATAAAACCAAAAAAGCTTTTAGATTTCAGACACAAAGACAATTTTGTGTGACTCAATTAAAAAATGCCACAGCAATGAGTATGGTAGCTACATTGGTAGCTTGATATGAAATTGAACATCACCTTGTCGGTTTTGGATATCAGGTTTCACAATTTTGAGTAATAAAGGTGCCACAAAATGGATCCTACAATGTCAGTGTCACTGACGAAAGGTAGTGGATGCTACTGAAATGTCTGTCTGTGTCCAAAATCATATCCAGTTGCTTGAGTAACTGTTTCTGGCATATCTTAGCTGGATGTCTAACCTATACCGATGGATCCTACAATCGTATATTGACAAGAAACTTCACATCCCTTTCCTGACCACCCTGTATAACTGTTCACTGCGTCTGCTCGGCAGGTATCGGTGCGTACGGGTCGGACAGCGAGGACTCGAGCGGAGGGGAGGAGGACGAGGAAGTGGACTCGGACGTGGAGCTGATGGAGACCATCCGCAGGAAGCAGGAACTGCAGCGCCAGAGGGAGCTGCTCATCGCACAGGAACCGGACACCGGTAAGGGCTTCTTCTGGGAGGATAAGATTGCAGCACTTGCAATTCATTTTTGGGAATAGGTGGCCTTTTTTTTTGTGTGCTGTATTTCCTCCATTATGTCTAGTAAAACCGACCGTCCCTAGAAAAAATTGCCGACCTATTTTTTTTTGGTGGACCCTGCAAGGGCCATAAATTTTCGACCTTTTCTAGCTCCACGATCTGACAACACATACAAGTTTCACTTTGCTAAACTGTATTGTATAAGTTGGACACCTATATAGATATCACTGAAGTCTATAAAAAAAAAGATATTCCCTACCTACCGACCCTACTTTTTTCAGGACTGAAACAGGAAACGCAACTTTTTTTTCCTAGGCCTGAGCTATCCTCAGCAGGGCGCAAAATACTGGGTGGTGTACTCAAATATTTTTGAAGGTTTATATATGTAAAGATGTATATTGGTAGTTTACAGCATATTCAAAAATTTTGTTCTGCAATTCAGAAATACTTTCTGCAAATACACACTCAAAAGTCTGGATATAAACCCACAACATATACAAAATTGCATGTTGGCAAACATTTTACGTGCAATTTGAAATATACATGCAAAATTACTCAATACATGTATGTTCTAGAGTCAGTAGTAAACACAAAACTCTTGAACTTTTCTTCTGCAATGTTGTAAATGTCTCTGCAAAATGCATCTTTTTTAACACTGTTGTCCCTTCCAGATGACATATTTCTGGAGGATCGCAAGCCCAAGGTCAACAGGAACGAATCCGTAAGTCCCAAAAAGGAGCCGGAATTCGAACGGAAACCCGCGGAGCATTCCAAATGGGATCAGCTGCCCGCCGCGATGAAAAACCAGGAGCAAAACCATTTTGGGAAAAGGGGTCAATCTGAGGAGAGGGGGTCTCAGGAAGAAGTAAAACAGGAGGAGGGGGGAGGGGAGAAAGAGGGGGAGGAGAATGACGAAGTACCAAAACGACGCAAATCTACGGTTGAAGTTGTGAAAAGGGAGGAAGAGGACAGTGACTCGGTAGATAGTAGCAGTGACAGTAGTTCTAGCGACGATGAGAAATCGAGCTCAAGCTCCGAGGACAGGTCTAGGAAGAAACGACGTAAGGACAGTAAGGTTTCTTCCAGACGGAAGAGCAGACACTCCAGAAGTCGTAGTCGGTCTCCGAGACACAAGCGGCGTAGGGAGAGAAGCGAGAGTAGGGAGAGGAGCAGGAGTAGGGACAGGGATAGGGAGCACAGGCGACATAGGGACAGAAGTAGGAGTAGGGACAGGGACAAGAAGAGTAAGCGGGGTAGGGACAAGGACAAGAAGAGGGACAAGAGGGACAGGAGTGAAGAGAGGGACAAGAGAAGGGATAGAAGGGAGAGTGTTAGGGAGAAGGACAGGCAGAGATCACCCAGTGCCAGTTCAGAAAGTGGCGATTCTCTCTCCAAATCAAAGAGTAGTCGCCATCGGTCGAAAAGTAGGTCCCCGAAACACAAGCGTTCGAGAGGGGACAGGGCCGGGAGGGACAGGAAGGGGGGTCGGGAGGAGGGGGACGAATCCCGCTCGCAGTCTGATGATTACGAGGACACGCCCAGGGAAAAGCGGAAAAAGGACCACCACCAGAGTCGGAGTCGTTCGCGAACGCCCAAGAAATCCCACAAATCCAGCCGGTCGGATTCGCGGAAGCACAGCCGGTCCTACACGCCCGAAAGGTCTGGTAAGAAGTCCGGTCGAAAACACAAGTCTAGATCCCGCTCAAGGTGGTATACAGTTTTCTCTTTTCTCTACTTGCTAAGGAAGGGCCTTTTCAAAGATGGTTGTGCAATGACAAGTTCCATTCTCCCTTGCGCGGAGGGTGCGTAAACCAGAGGCAGGCTCTCCCCATTGTCGACATGTTTGTAAGTTGTTTTTTTCCAGTGGGGCAGCTCTGCCTTCCTACCTGTGCTGTCAGCCAAGTGACAATGGGACAAGCTTTGGTTGCAACCGTTTTTGAAAAGCAGCTTTTTAAAACATGCCCTACCTTATTGTTTAATCCCTGATAGCAGCTTTGGTTGGTCGTAGCTTTTTCTTGGTGGGTCACTTGAGGAGAGAAAAATTGCAGCAGGTTTAAAAAAAAAATTAATCTTTAATTTTGAAAAAGAAAGTGCCAAAATGTGAACTGTTGACTGGAAAAACGTGCGAAACATTTTCCACCGCCCTTCTTCCCTTATAACACGATCTGCCAGGGTTATAGCTAGACCAAGCTACTACCAGAGGACGTTATCAGTAGACAGACTTTAGGTAAAGAAGGCTACAACGTTTGCAGTGTTCCCACTGATATTTTTCACTCGCAAACTTGTAGCCCAAGTTAAACTCTGTCTAGTGATTTCTGAGGGCATCAATAGAGCTGACGTGTTAATCTTACGCCGTTATCGTTTCGTAGTTACAGAGTGGCAATCATCATGATCGTGTCTATGTCTTTGTACATGTACTTTGCATCACATTTGCATGTTTAATTAACACTCGGCCTTTCTGCATTCAATTTCTGTTGTCGTTATCTCTTGTTACACTGAGAAGAACACAGAACTTGATGGTCCTTGTTGTTGTTTTCAGATCTGTGTCGCCGAAGCGGCGAAAGCACTAGGACTGCCTAAGACTTTCCTCACACTGGTTTGCCACCCAGTTGGAGCCATCCATCCATCCACTTCCGCCATTTCCACCTTGTCTTCACAAAACGCGTTTTTCTGCACAGTCAGGTTAGCTGTCCGTGGGAAGAAGTTTCCTCTGTGTTGATGGTGTCTTTCTTCATGTGACTTTTTGAGGCTCTTCGAACAAAGTCTTCTGAATTTCGTATTATTGTAGAATAAGATTTTCGTGTGTCTTTTGACCCTCATAGATCAAAACCTTGGAACGAATTTTGAACGTCATTAAACAACAAAATTCAACTTTTTTTATACAAAACCTCTATGTTGTCTAGGCAACAACATGTCTTGTTAGTAACAATTAAACCCAGGTAAAGAGAGAATACTTCAGCAGAGTTCTGACACTTGAGTATAACGTGGTGTATGCAAATTTGTGACAACTTCCACAGAGTTGTTTTCCTGTAATTACGGTACGAATAATTCCTCCTCCGTCTGCAATAGCAAGGTTGGAACACGTTCTAGCAAATGTCTCGCTGCACACTGATGACCACAGCTGTGATTAGGAATGTGTAATATTGTCAATAAATAAACTTGAGAATTGTCAGAAGTGATGGCTGCTTGTGATCTGTGTGTGATAGTCCACATTTTGTAGATCTCAAAGAAGTGGTGGTAGATTGTTAGTCTCTACCAGGCTTTGGGAGGCGACTGGAAAGAGTAGAAACTGGGCAAATAGAGAGATAACATGCCAGGGGAGTTAGTCCAATGTACTTTATTAGTGGACCAACTCCCTTGGCATGTTATCTATTTGGCCAATTTCTACTCTTTCCAGCCACCTCCCAAAGCCTGGTAGGGGCTATCAGATTGTACGAATTTAAATCCTATCAAGAAAAACATACACTGCACTATCCAAATGCTGTGCAAAGCAAAAGCTTCCCATTGGAAAAAAATTCTTCCCAACTCAGTTTTGTGCATATCTTTTTTATTCCCATGGAAAGTCCTACATGGAACATGTCCTTCAGATGATAGCAACAGCAACAATTTCAGGTTCTAAATTCAACCCTCAGATTTTCCTTGATATGATATTGAGTGGATGGTAGCATATGATTGGCTTGTTCCTAACCAATCAGGGCAGGGACTTGAATATACTGGATTTGTGATTGGCCTATTCATGACCAATCAGGAATCTTCAACACACTGTTAGATGACAGAGCCAACGGCATAGGGTAACCCTTTATTAACCATACTTGCTGTCGCCGAGTTTTGAAGATTTAGAGGTAACATTTAGACAAATCTGACAACCATACATTGTATGGTCCCTTAATTGTCCCTCACAGCTCCCCTTCGTGCTATCACTGGCCAAATACCTGATTAATGTGCAGTTTTCCTTAATTTGCATATACTACGCCAAGAGTCAAAGTTCAAAGGTTACCCCTATCCCATAATGCCCTAGTCCTCATTCTTTTCCTTGGCGCGCCATATTGGAAATACGTCGAGAGTTGTACTCAGCTTTTCATCAAGCTTGATTCCGTTTTTTCGCGTCGTTGTCAACCCTTATACAACCGGGATGTCTTCCAAGAAAGTCAAGACACCGTCGCAGGATGTGAGGGAGGTTCGGACCTCCCAAAAGCCCGCTAAAACCGCGAAAGAGAGTCACGCGGAGGAGAGAAAGTCAGCGGACCCCGCGCTTTCTCCCTCCCATGGGGACGCTGGTATGCCGACGGACACCTCGCAAAACCAGGTCCCTCTCGGCCAAAATCGCGTACAAAATGCCGATTTTGCCGGGCAAGCGGGCGGCTCCGGCTCGTGCTCGGCTCCGGTCGATACGAGTCGTGGGGACGGGTCGGCTGCCCGCCGGGCAGGCGACTCCAGCGTGACGCACATGGAAAGGGAGCCCGCCCAAGGCGGCTTCCCGCGCGGCGGACCACATGTGGCAGCCGCAGCGGCTTACGGACCCAACCCGTGGTTCAACTTCATGCCGCCTCCACCTTCCCCGCTTGGATATGGCTTCCCAGCGCCACCGACTAGCGCCTTTGAGAGCAGAATGTCGGCGATGGAGAGAACCCTCCAGGACGTCACGACAGCTCTCCAAGCCATACAATCCTACCGAACGGGCGGTCCCGGACCCTCTTGCTCCGCGGACTCACAGTCCTACGCCTCGGGAAGCGACTCAGAGGACGGGGAAGAGAACCAATCGGCCTCCGAGGAGGCCGAGGAGGAAGGTATGTCATTTGACAATCCTTACAATGAGAGTAATTCAGGTCTTTCCCCTGCTTCGGAGGATCTAAAAAAGTACCTAAATGATCTTTTCACTAGACGCCTCCCTAAGGAGGAATACGAGAAACGGTGTGGGCAATATTCGGTTCCCTCTAACTTGATTGACATCGTGAGTGCCCCAACCTTCCCCCAGATCAATCGGCGTTGTTGGAATCCAAAACAGCCGAGGGAGAACGGAAATTATTGGGCCTACATAGCCGTTTTATGCAAGTCGCTAAGCCACTGACGCACTGTTTGTATGAACTGAAATATGATCGCCGTCCATGTGACAAGGATTTTGTGGTGGAGACCTTAGAATCGGCTCTAGTGCTGCTGGGTAGTGCCTCCTTCAACTTTTCCCTACATAGAAGAGACCAGTGTGCCAATTTGGTCGGGAAAAAGGAGCTAAAACATCTCCTATCTGAGGATAACCCCACATCAAAACATCTGTTTGGGGATGATTTTGTTAACCAAGTGAAGAATGCCTCCACGTCTAAGAAAGCTCTGGGAGGCGTCTTCTCGTCGGGAGGGCACTACAACCAGAAGTACAACCCAAAGAAAGACTTTCGGAACAAATCCAAGGGTAGATTTCGTTCAGACCACAAGAAGGCTCCCTACCACAAAAAGAAAGCTAACACTCAGTCTCGGGGGGGTTTCGTTCCCCTCCAAAAAACTAGGACTAGTCACTCCAAGATCTCCACCTCCTGGGCCACCCTCTCTCCAGTACCACAACTTTCATCTTCCAACTTGTCACCTCCCTTCCGTGGGGCGAACTGCCCATTTCGTCCACAACTGGCGTATGATTACACAGGACAATTGGGTATTGGACACCATCCAGGGTTACCGTCTAGAACTCTCCTCCCAACCATCACAAATCCACATACCGGTCACCAAAGTTCGCCCCGGCTCAGACACAATTCTAATCGACCAGGAGGTGGAAAAACTCCTCTCAAAAGGAGCTATCCAGAGAGCCTTACCCACAACAGGTCAGTTCATCTCTTCAATTTTTCTTGTCCCCAAAAAATGCGGAGAACTTCGCCCAGTTATCAACCTCAAGTACTTGAACAATTTCATTGTCAAGAAACATTGCAAATTGGAAACATTCCAAAAGGTCTTGGATCTCCTCCAACCGGGGGATTATATGACAAATCTAGATTTGAAGGATGCCTACTTCACCGTACCCATATTCCACAATCACAGGAAATACCTACGGTTCATATGGAAAGACAGTCTTTACGAGTTTGCAGTCCTTCCCTTCGGTTTGTCCTCGGCCCCCAGGGTCTTTACCAAGATTCTCAAGCCAATTGCGGCTCAGCTACGAGCCCTCGGAGTCCGGCTAGTAATATATTTGGACGATATATTGATAATGGCACAAAGTGCAGATCTATGCAGAGAGCACACGGCTCTGACCCGGTCCTTCTTAGAGAACCTGGGGTTTGTAGTCAACTTGGAGAAGTCGCAGTTAACACCATCCCAAACAAGGGAGTTCCTAGGGTTCACTATTTGCTCAGTGAAGATGGAAGTCCTCCTGCCGGACCAGAAAGTACTGAAGATAGTGGATCGATGTCAAAACCTACTATCGAAGGGAAAAGCCTCCCTTCAAGAACTAGCGAGCCTAGTAGGGTTGTTGTCTTCAACCAGCCAAGCGGTGCCACTGGCACCCCTACACTACCGTTACCTACAGAAAGATCTACGTCTCGGTCTCAAGAAGTCGGGACACTACAGCAGTGTGATGCGTCTTTCTCCGATGGCACGACAGGATCTGTGTTGGTGGCCGAAATCGCTAACAAACTCGAACGGGGCTCAACTGAGACCACAAACAGTCCTGGAAGTACAAAGCGATGCCTCCCTCCA